GTATCATGCCATGTTAGCTTCACTCTCAAGATATCGAATTTCACAGTTGTAGAGACGGACCTTCCCAGATAGTATGATACCAGCCCATTACCAGACCATTGTTTACATATCCCGCACCAGATGATGATGAACGATCGCCAGCGGTTGCCTGGGGTCGTAAAAAGAGCCTTGAGGTGGAAGGGGTTCCTGTTCTGCGTAATCTCCGCCTCGATAGTCTCTTTGATCTCGGCGTATTCATGCTGGACGACTGCGTCGTCGGCATCACCTGCGCCATGGTATTTTGTGAGGATATCAAGCGCTGTCTGTTCCCTGCCTTTGCTGCAAAGCCATCGAGGCGATCTACAAGTTGTGGCTCAGCTCTAATTTCGAGTCAAGAACGGATTCTTGGCAAACTTACTCCGGCAAGAAAAAGAGCCCGCAAAGCACCATCGCCGATGGAAACGCCTGAATCAGTGTCGGTGTTCTCCAAGCCCTAGGGATAGCAAAGAATTATCAGTCAGTGCACATATTTCTCGGGCCTCGCGGGGAAAACTTCCCCGATGAGTAAGAAACATACCATGAATCCGAAATTCGGAAACTTCCAAAGGCCACCCAGGCGGCCAAGATGGCCCCGACACTGTATGTCGTGCTGCTCAATGCCGTCGCCGTCGCCCGGTGGGATGGGTACGCCAGCTCCGTCATCAAGACCGTTGAAACGGAAGAGCACATGACTCCTCCCATGCCAAGAAGAATACGCCCAGCAATAAAGGCTCCGTGATTCACTGTTGCTGCGCAAATTGCCGCACCTACGATGCAAAGGCACGAACCTGTCGCAATTGCGGTCCGCCGGCCAAGTCGATCGGCGACAAGGGGGATGAGAATGACTCCTAGGATGTTCCCGATCCAGTATGATGCGCTCATGGCACCTAGGAGACTTGCTCGGGGGTGGTCAAAGTCTGAACTCTGACCTATCAGTATTTTTGAAAGTCCACATTGAAAGAACTCAGAGAAGTGGTGGGTGACTGACCATCCTGCCATTTGCTAATTTGTTGAAGGTTGTTGATCAAGGATCCGTCGAAACCGTGAGCAACATCACCGAACAGAAGGAAGAAGAGACCAAAGTTGAGAGGACGAAGTCCCGGGTCCTTTAACCACGATGTTGTTTTGGTGTTGAGAGGCGTCGTCGACTCTAGAGCCTGACGGTTGTCGCTATTTTTCAATTTGGAGTTCCAGCCCATCGTTTCGATTCTCCAGAAATCTCGGGTCGGTGTTGTTGCTCATACGCGAGCAAATGGACATTGCGAAAACGGACTTTGTCTCTATTAATATTGTAATACTCAACTACATTAAATTGGTACAGGTTGATCGCTAAGAGCTGTTTGCTACCACGTTGATGGCTTGGCTGTCAATCTTTCTCTTGGCCTCTTGTTCTATTCCTTGGTTCACGGGTATCGGTTGGTTGGCGAAATCGACTTGGAGTTTACCAACGCGGGGAAACGCGCTGTGAAATGGTCGCAATTGCGGGGATGCCATGGCTGAATAGCCTCCTTTTCGTCCAAATCGGTCATCCACAATGGCTTTTAAAATGCGGGGCGTTGTATCGGCGCATCGGTAGTCGGGGGAAGATCCGGGGATCACAGTCGTATCGGCGCATCGGGCGATTTGTCGCGCGGGGAACCGTCCATCCTCCTTCGCTCGGCTCAGATTCCCCCGAACTAAACCGGAGGGACCCCGCGTACGTCACCGTGATAGATTATGAAAGTGACGGAGGGGGCACTTCCTCATACGAGCCTTTGGTCTGTAGTGTCGCATGTGCTGAACGGCATCCAAGACTTTGAATTTGCATACACCTGGCAAGGTTCTCGGAAGCGACATGGGTTCACAATTGAAGTTCCTCGCCAAGTCTGAGTTGGCCCTGGATGCGCGGCGAGAGCATCGGATCAACGCCAATTCTTTCCAGCAAGATGCATTGACAACCTTCAATGGATGGCAGTATACCTGCTTCTACACCCACAAAGACGCGACAAGCAACGCCCTCTTCGTCAGCCTTGCTCGACGCCCCATCCGCGACTCACTGGGCAACTGGGAGATGTTGACGTTTGAAGACTACGAACAAACTGCGGATGATGGGCATAACACCATCTCGATAGGAGTGTGTGCTGGGGATGGCACTATTCATGTCTCATTCGACCACCACTGTGATCCGTGAGCTATTTCCCAGTCATCGTCTTTATTGTATGGAGCGTTGCTTATGAGTGTGTTCTATGCAGCTTGCGCTACCGCATGTCTATACTAGGCGTGGCGACAAAACCGGAAGCTCATGAGTGGAAGACCTCTCTCTTCAGCCCAACCCACAATCAGCTTCCGGGATACACTCGCACAGGCCAGTTGGGAATCGAGAAACTCTTCTTGGAGACGACATATCCTCGCTTCATCCGTATCGATGACGACCTCCTGCTGAGCTATCGCATTGGCATGTATGTAACCAGGAACTGCGTGTAGACGCGAGCTTGAGACTGACCGAGATGCAGTGCGGGAGCAGGTTCCGATCATCTATTCAAGTACAGCAGCAAGGACCAGTCATACTCCTACGTCGGACAATTCCTAACCGGCGTCAACAATAACCCGTACATCAACGGCATCTCATACGCCAACGGGCGCATTCATGTATCCGGAACGTATCGCGGGTTCGTATGGTACGAAGGCGTGGACGATCCAGAGGCACGAACGCACACTGTCCAAGCTGGACCGAATGGACCAGAAAACAATCACAATGTGCGTCAAAAGCCCAGCCCGCCGGTGGACGAGTCTTGCAGAGAGCTCGGCTGACTTTGGATCCAGCTATTCTATGTAAACAGCGACGACGGTGGCGAAACGTTCAACAATACAAAAGGCGAAAGGCTAGCGAACCTCGAAGTAGGCGAGACCGTGTACCCCGACAGCGAAGGGCTCATCGTCTTCGACATCCCAATGAACAACGGCATTCTCAACCAGGAGGCGCAAGCGGCAGACGACGAAGGCGGGTTCCACGTCCTGAACCGAGAAAACGAAGTCTGGATACACTATTACCGCAGCCCAGAGGGGCGATGGAGCCGCCACGCGTTGCCCGCGGACCTGCAGCCGACGCGGACAGGAGCGCGCGGAGACGTTATCGCTTTGCCGGGCAAGAAGACCGTCGTCTTTGCGCTACCGGGGAATCGAGATGACAGGCTCACCGTTCTCGGCGCCAGGTTGCCATCTCAGGCCCAGACGGGGTCTGCGGACGAGGAGGTCGCGTTGGAATATCTCACGCTTTGGCAGGCGGATGGGTTCTCAGGCGAGCCACAGGTTGAGACGTTTGAGTCTGGGTCGCAGCAGGTGGTTTCGATTTACACACGAACTGAGGAAAAGGAAAGAAAAGTGGTAGTGCTGGACTTTGCTTTGGAGAAGGACTTGTAATTTTCCTCCATACTCCCAGCCTATCAGATTCAACTGTCCTCAATACATAATCAAAACAATCGCCAACAAGCTAGCCAATTCGAGGGACGGGAAATCGCAGGAAACTTGTGCTGCTTGATTGTGTCTTTGAAACCGACACTCTAGACACAACACGACGTTGGGTTGCACAGGCGAAAGAAGTAAACGCCTGAAAAGTTGGGCGCCGTTTGCCCCGAAAGCGCAAACGGGCGAGGCGGTGTACTTTATTGGACTGAAGAAAGCAAACATGGTGGGCCAGCGCGCGATAGTACCTGCGTGAGTGAGACAGTGAAGGAGATCGTCATGTCCGAGATCTCTCTTCGTCTGCGCAAGGATGGTCAATAGTACTGAGTCGATTCCTTTCTCTCCCACCTTACAAGTTGTAGAGACTCTACAATGGGAGGCAGCCGGGAGGTATCTGGTGGCAATGTAATGGGGTGCTTCCCCCAGGATTGAGCGTCGGACTCACCAACAAATCCACCTGTATGTCGTGCTTGAAGAGACGCACATGAAAGGGATCCATTGGCATAGGCGAGGCGAGCATGAGATCATGACCCAATGGCCGTGTTCCACGACCGGTGGGCTTGCAGGTCTCGGGCTAGAAATCCCATTCCCCTCAACTTCGACTGTAGTGGGCAGTGCAGGATGCCGTCCCCCGGCTTGGGAACAATTCGAAGAGAAGAACGAACAAAACCATCCGATCCTTGTCTTGCGCGGCCCGTTCGCTGGCCAGCCACCGGGAGTTCCAGAGACTCTGATAGGCCGCGGGTGGTGGGTTACGCATCCCGCTCCCTCCCCAACTCTCCTCTTTGTGTCTCTTTTCCTATCAGCCACACGGGCAACCCCCGGCACTCGTCCGGGATTTTGCTTTTCGAGCCCCGTTCCGCCAATGCCGCGCTACTGTGCCTGACCTCGTGTTGGCGACCCGACAAGGCCAGGCCCAGGACCAATTATAGCGCACACATAGCCAGTCAAATCCCCTGGCAGGCCTAAGGTCCCTCCTCGCTTGGGCTGGTGTGTTGGTTTGTATGGCTTTCTCAAGGGGAAAACACGCGCTCTTCGGTCCTCAGGTCCCCTGTTTCTGTTGTCTGTTGCGGATGTTGCCTGACCCTCTTTGGCGAGGCGTTCGTGGACAGTCCCAACGGCCGAATCACCAGAGAGACAGTTGTCCAGCCATCCTTTTCGAACATTCAGTACCCTGGCTCTGGAAGAGTGATCCCACTCCGATAGGCATGCTTACCACCTTGCTCTCTGCCCATGTTTGCTCCTTTGAGTCGGAGAGTCCCTTGACGAGTCCAGTATCCGAACTTTCTTTCCTCGCTTCTCATGCCAAGGGTGGCAGGCATGGCGTGCAGAAGAATCACCTGCAGGCTTTTTTTTTCCTGCGGGATACGGTGAGCGAATGCCGTGTTCCTGGCGTTCCTGCGCAATCATGGGACTAGCAACGTCTTGCCTCCTGGACTGCCGACGTGGGTTATTATCTTCTTAGGAAGCTGCATGTTTTAAATAGAATACCGCCTGTCTTTTGGACGGCTTGCTATCCGTAGTTGCTGCTGAGAGGGGAGAGGTAGGCTTGGATTGCTACGTGTATATACAAAGCCTTCCGGTCCCCCCGCGAGCGATCGTCGCACACAGATTTTTGAAGCGGTCAAGAATTTGCGCACTCATCCCACTTATTCTTGCTCGTCCTCAGAGTCGTTTTCATGGACGCACCACGCTCGCTCTAATAACTAGAATATAAATCCTGTCACTCGCTATATCGCAACGGCGTACCGTCGTAAACAACCTGTACAAACATGATTATCCCTCTACTCAATACGAGATCGGGCGCAAAGACCGACTCCGATCCCGTAGCTGCCGACTTCACCGCCGGACCGACCACTGGCGGCGGCGGCCCCAGCCAACAGACTCTCATCATCGTCTCCACAATCCTCGGCTCAGCGCTTCTCCTCATCATCGCCATCGCTGCCTACTTCACAATAACCCGTCGCCGCCGGAAGAGGCAATTCGCAGAAGAATACAAAAATGCCTGCCTACGCGACCCAGATCTCACGTGGGAGGAGTACACACGGCGAACGAAGCTCACACAGTCGCGCATCATGCTGGCCGAGGAGGAGTTGAGGGACACGATCATCCGCAAGTCGCTACAGAATAGGTCATCTGTCACAGTCACACCCGTCGCCGGCTTCACCGCCGCCACTCCGGATACACCCACCGAGCCCGTCTCACCACCCGCCAGAACACGGTCTAGGACGTGGCATGGACGCAGTAGATCCAAGACGAGCATCGATGCCGAGGAAGGCGAAGGGTTACTCATGTCTCTTCGTGGCGACTGGACAGAGCACGAAGCGCGCGTCGAGAGGACGTGGCAGCTTCTTCACAAGAAGTACCCCACGAGGCGGGTGACGCTACCAGTTGAAGAGGAGTCCGGCGGTCCGATACGGCCGCCTACAATCCGTTTAAAAACGCCGCCGTTGCTTTCGCATCCCATGTTTCGGGGTTGGAATGCAGAGAACACCGTGAAGCACTCCAGTTTGCCGACTTTGCCAACCGAGCTAGAGAAGATAAGGCCTGCACAAATTTGATGGAGTAATGTATCAGGTGTAATGTTCATGTCTATAATGTCTATGACGTATCAACGAATAATGGAATTGGCCCGGAGTTGGCCCAGGGCGGCGTTTGGTCACGGTATATATGGAGGCTCTAGACGACTGAGATATCAACAGAACTAGGCCATGGGCTACAAGATTTGAGATCTTGTAAATTCAATCGCAAAATTTCTAAATTGGTTTTCAGGATTGAGTCAGTTCAACTAGTTTATTATTCCAAATACCGCTCATCAAATCGACAATCATCATCATAGGGGATGAGGAGCAACAAACCGATGCTAGGGATTGAAACACAATTGACGGCCTAGTGGTAAGAATCGTGAACACTCCTACTATCCAGAAGGCAGGCCTAGTCGTAGTCCAGGGTTTGTATGAGGACTGTTCCGTAAGAAAGTGTCAGTAACAGAGTCATGACGCCCCTCACTGCGGTAAAGGCGATGGTAAATCAGCAGGTGGTTGGAGAAAACTGTATCCGTATTCCCATATACGGTTGCCTCGTAGCTAAAGCTCGGGCTAGCGTACTAGAGGCCTTCCTGATTTGATAAATACAATCACATTTGAGTCCTGGCACTGGCTGTGACCATTAGAGGTCCTGCCAGATCACTAACCCCCACGCTGATAAGTTCCGGCAAGACCCCGTGAAAGCTTCCATTCGCAGCAAGTGCTCTCTCCCTAGGATCAGCTAGCTGAAAGTCAAACTCACGCAGCAAGGTGCTGGTCAGCTTGTAGATGTTGGATTGCGCCAGCGTCTTTCCCAGGCACTGGCGACCGCCCAGGCCGAAATGCATCAGATAGCGGGCGCGAACAGCTGTCTCTGGTCGATCCCACCTTGACGGGTCGAAGGTGTCGTGGTCGTCGCCCCATACTTGCGGATTGTGATGGAATGCGTGGTTGCATACTGCCACGGACGTCTATGACTCACAATGTTAGCTCGATGAATCCATCACTGTGAGTAGCTCGTAAGGCAGAGTAAGTTTCCTTAGGCGAAGTCTAAAGAACTTTAGTTGGATCTTACCCCTTGTTTGATGTGACGGCCCGCGATCATGATTCCTTCAGGAGCGGTCACACGTCTCGCCAGCGGCATCGTGAAGACAGGGGTGATGCGATAGTTCTCCTTGACACATGTCCTAAGAAATGGTAGGGAGCTTTCTACTTCCGTGATTGAATAGGCGTCTTTCCCGTTGTCTAGAGAAGTCAGGTTCTCGTCCACTTCCTGTACGCACTTGCTTAGTGCCTCTTGATTATGTAGCAAGTTCCAGAAGAGGAGTGTTGTAGTTGCGCTGGTCGTGTGCGTTCCTGCAATACTATCAAATAAGGTTAGTATCGTTTGTATAACATCCAGCATGCTTTTGACCTACATCATTCCGAATGCCTCGGCCTCCAGGTCAACCCTCGCAATCTTCTCTCCAGTGTCTGGATGTCTAGCCAAGATTAGACTGGTCAAGATATCTTTTCTCTGCACTTTGCCCTGGTTCTCATCCTCTTCAACCTCCGCCAGTCGTTTCTGAACGCACTCAGCCGCCAGCCCAGCGCACTTGGCCCGCCCCGCAAACAAACTCTGTAGGCCAGTGTTCGGTACCTTGGGTAGCCATTGCTTGAGGGTTTGTGTCATGGCCGGCCATGCTCCCAAAGTCGAGCCTAGCAGAGTATGCGGGATGACGGGCGGTACACGAGACTCGTCGCCAGAGACCTGGACCCCAAAGGAGCGACTGAAGGCTAGCTCGCCTAACACGTCAATGGTGTAGAAGTGCAGGAGCTTCTTGAGATCAAAAGCCTCTCCCGTCTTTGTGAAATGTGAAATCTTATCACGCAGGATCTTGATATTTTGGTCTAAGTACTCCTCCATGCCCTTCACGCTGGTGATGGAGAAGCTATGTGACATGTGACGTCGCCTGATGGAGTGAAGCTACAAGTCCACATCAGTACAAAGGTCTGTCAATCTTGTAGAGGCACAACCATTCGTACCTCTGTGGATCTCATGCCAAAGATGTTCGGGGTCTTGGAGCCGAAGGCATCGTAGTACTCTGTCTTGGGCATCCGCTGACCACCCTTCTGATAGACCAGCGGAACGACCTCTTCGGCGGTGATACTCAACTTATCTGGTCCGTATCGCACGAACTCGCCGTGCTTTTCGTGAAGCTCAGTCAAGTTGTAAGGCTGCTGCAAAGACAGGAACTGGTTGACTTGCCACAGATCCGTGATAGACGCCCAAAATGGACCCGGATAAACAGCTAGTGGGTGGAGGAATCTCTGATAGACGACATAGATCACGGCGCTAATTACCGCGAGACCCAAAAGGAATCCCGAAAAGGTAACCTGAACATAGTCTGAATCAAGTATGGAGGATCTCATCGTGTACTATGCTTGCCCAATCTTGATCTTGTAATTTGAAATGAAAGTAATAGGAGATGGGTGTGAGGAAGTTGTGCTCATGAAGTATCTCCGGCCCCGCGCTGCCGGAGCATAAATACCGTCCAAACCGCATCTGCCGAACTCTCCCCGCACCAATTGTCCCGATCAATCCGAAACTTGCGGAGGAAGGGCACTCGCTAAGAGCCTTACAATCAAACGATTCTGAAGTCGGGGTAGCTTGATGAGGGGGAGACAAGGGTACCGCTTCAAAGATCGATCATAGACCCATGCTCCGCTGGTTCTGCTCGAGTTGTGAGACCGGCGGCTCTTCCTTGCTATGTGGGTATAGGTAGTCAACCAAAAACCTATTCGGTATATGATTACTTCTTTCATGAGTTGAATTTTTGAAGTTCAGACACCATGCACGCTGATATCTGTTCGTGGTACATTGGTTGTTGAGCTTCAGCTCTTAACGTCCGCATTCAAGCAACGTTTGAAGTAAAGTTTGACCAGCTATGAAGAGCGTTTGGATCGCGGGAGGAGAAGGACAATCACTCAATGAGACTCATTCCATCACACGTCTGTCATTTCGCTTTGGATTGAAAGTGAGGCCCTCACAACCGCAAAAATGAAACCGACCTACGTAGGGATCGAACCTACAATCTTCACAGTATGACTAGGTAGCCGAAATGTGACGCGATGCCATTTCGCCAGCAGGCCTGGTCGATGCATTTTCGGCTAAACTTTGTGACCATGTAGCCCGCCTGGAGGATGAGCTTGGACCAGTCCAGTCGCTGGATCTCTGAAGACAGCTGCATGTAAGTGGGCTAGCAGCAGTTGAGGCTTCAGGTACTCACTTTAGGTAGGTCAAATCTGGTCGTGCAAGTTGTGATGATAAAAGATCAAAAGATCAAAAGGGATTATCACTTAAGCTGACCATCTCCTTGGGGTATCGGCGAAGGATCGAGATCTGCACCGGCAGTGCGCATGCGGGTGTAAGACAAATCATGCGGACCGCTCCGTATGCCGACGGACACCCGCTGTTCGGTTGGCACTGAAGCCTGCCAGCATACTATCGTCTCCGTTGAGCATCGCAGAACACGAGAGTCTGTACCACAGTATCTACATAAGTGTATTTGAGTTCGATGATGCTATTTCCATGAGTAAGGTAGGCTCCGGGTATTTTTACATATCTTAAAAAGCCTCCCGGTGGTCTCTTGTCCTTAAGCCCAGACGTGTATCTCTTCGACTGTCCAGATTCTAGTCTCGTCAAATCCTCACCACCATCTTTTTCCTTACCGCCACAATGACGAGCATCCGCAAAGTCATCATCTCCCAATACGGCGACGTCGACGTGATCAAAGTGGTCACAGATGTCTGCCCACCGCCGCCCCCAGGTGAAATCCAAATCGCCACCGAATACTCTGGCTTCTCCGGCGCCGACGTCAACATGCGCAAGGGCATCTACCCCTTCATGAAGAAAGCGCCCCTCACGCCAGGCTACTGTCTTGTCGGCACCGTCCGCGCCCTAGGCGAGGGCTCCAAGAACTTCCAAATCGGCGACGTCGTCGCCGTCCTGACCAAATACGACTCCGAGGCGGAGCTGGTCAACCAGCCGGAGAAGTACTGCATCCGCGTGCCCGACGGCGTTGATCACCGCCAGGCGACGGCGCTCATCTGCGACTGGAATACCGCGTACGGCATGGTGATGCACTCGGCGAGGGTGTCCAAGGGCCAGCGGGTGTTTGTGCACGGGATGAGCGGCGCCGTGGGGTTCGCGCTCATGAAGCTCGCGCAGCTGCAGGGCGCGACGGTGTACGGTACCGCGAGCCAGCGGAACCACATTGACGTCCGGCGTGAGGGCGGGATCCCCTTTGTCTACAGCGACAAGAACTGGATGAAGGAGATGAACGCACTGGGCGGCGCGCATGCCGTATTTGATCCGCTTGGCTTTGAGAGCTTTGACGAAAGCTACTCCATCCTCGCGGAAGACGGCACACTCGTCGGGTTCGGGAATAACAAGGCTTCGTTGAACGAGGGTGCTCCTCCACGGAACCCGACGGGTGCGCTGTTGAAGTTGTTTGCGAGGAATTTGAACTTGTTGACGAAGAGGAGCACGACTTTCTATGCGTTGAACAGGGACTCTGCGACGTATGTGCCTAATGTCACAGCGTTGTTGGATATGTTGAGGACGGGGACGATTACGGTGCCAATCAAGTGTGTATGGGACATGGAGGATATTCAGACTGCGCATCGGCAGTGGGGTGGTGGGAGCGGTGTTGGATCTTTGTTAATCAAGGTGGCCAAGAACTAGTGCCTGGCAAGAGGTTATTAGGAGATCTTGTCTTTGTTCACGACTCAGAGTGCGTTTTTGATATTGAGGAGTTTGGGTAGAATCTACAGTCGTAGTGCGTAAATGACCTCGTTCTTACACAAGTTGAAATTACATTATCAGAGAGATCCGTGGAAGAATTTGGATTGAATGGAGATTTCGGTATTATGAACGCCATTATCAAGCTTCTCAAAATGGAAATATTCGCCCCCATTCGCAACCTTCCGTTCGGGGAAAGTTTCGGCGCATCCACGTAGTGCCCGGCCCTCCACTATCCGGCTTTCGGCCCCGCCATCTTGGTTTACGTTCGACTGATGTCGCAATTCAAAACAGTCAAGATAGGTAGGATCCGACAGAGCCGGTGTTGGATTAATAATACAAGTCGAGGTATCCGTAAATGGACCCTGATGGGAAATACTAAAGCAAACATTGAAGGTCTGAAATTATCGTCTTCAAGTTCACTAGTTCTAGAAAAAACTTCTAAGGTCTACCAGCTAATGTATTATAACATCCGCATGGCTTACTCTAGTCCCCAAGGTACGATGTCGAGAAACAAGGCTGCTTGGCTTACGCGTGCAAAGAACTATCCATTCAAGGTTGACGATGCCCCGTTTCCGACTGCCGGGCCAGGCGAGGTAGTCATCAAGAACATAACAACTGCTCTGGTAAGCGGTATCTTTCAGTCAGATGTAACGCTTCTAGGATTTCTTTTCTAACATTGCAGGAGAATCCTGCAGAATGGAAGATCCAGTAAGTACTCCCTACGTTTTGAGCTGTGATAATTGCAACTGATATGGCTCAGGGATATGGGCATCATCGTGCAGAAGTATCCCACAGTTCTCGGAGCAGATGCAGCAGGTCTCATCGAGGAGGTTGGCGACGGCGTGACACATCTCAAAAGAGGACAACGGGTCATAGGGTGTGTCTCCATCACCTGTCCAAGAAGGCAGTTCCGCCGGCTAGACTTACCTACCTGGATCATCTTGTCTGCTGCCGATCAAATTCGACTAACACCACGGGTAGGTACTGTACCGGGCTAGGCAAGCAGAACCACGAGTTTGGAACCTTTCAGCTCTACAGTAAAGCAGACGCGAACCTTGTCTCCCCCATCCCAGGTGACATGAGTTTCGAAAGCGCCTCAGTCTTACCTCTCGCTATCGCAACAGCTGCAGTAGGACTCTACAAGAAGCAGCATCTCGGGCTACCACTCCCATCTCACAACCCGCGCCAAACGGGCAAGACGGTCCTGATATGGGGCGGTGCGTCATCTGTAGGAGGTACTGCGGTGCAGTTGGCCGTCGCATCAGGGCTCAGAGTGGTTACCACGGCTTCACAGCGCAACTTTGACAAGGTGTTGGAGCTGGGAGCTGAGGTGGTCCTTGATTACCACTCTGATACCCTAGTCCACGACGCGTTGAAGGCATTGTCTGGGGCGGATCTTGTCGGTGTGTACGATGCCATCTCGGGCCCAGAATCGTTAGAGCCCATTAGTTCAATTTTGGATCAAATTAGGCGATGTAAGGTCACAGTTGTGTTACCAACGGAGGACGACTATGGGAAGAACATGGATATTAGCATGAGTGAGTCGGCTCCGAATGCCTTGATGATGGATGCTGATTGTCTTGCAGTGACTGCCTATCAGATAACACAAGACGCAGAGGAGGTGCAGAATCCCGTGTGGAGAAATTTTGTTCCGGGTGCTCTTAAGAACGGCCAGCTAAAGCCGAAGCCGGACCCTGAGGTAGCTGGCAAAGGCCTCGAGTCGATCCAAGCTGGACTTGATGTGTTGAAGCAGGGCGTATCTGCTAAGAAGTTAGTTATCCAGCTCTGAAAGCTACTCACATGCAGAAGTTGTTCCTTGCTTGTTCTCGTTTTTCTCATCTGCATAAAGGACTTTGGCGGCCACAGGCAGCTTCATGCAAGATGCAATTGAGTTGATCCCATCTTTTTCCTGTGAAACATGAAGGCTCGCACTAGTGCAAAGGCATGAAATTGTTCAGAGGAATCAATTCTCTGTTTGGTTTCTTGGTTTCACATGTGAGTAGACAACGCAAAAGAACCACCAATTGGGGTTTTTCGATCTGCTTCTGTTATGGATGAGAGCAGCCCTTCATCTCTTGCCTCATCGCGCTCACCTGGACAGCCGCCCTCGGTGAGTGTCAGGTGAGCAGGTGTGTCAGATGGGAATAGCGACGGCGGGATTGGCTCGGTTGACGCCGATCTTGTAGACAAGCAATAAAGATAAGTGGAGACGGAGCGGAGGAACGGAATTCGGGGTGGGAGATGATCCATGTCGCCAGTACATGGCACGTGCGTTCCCCGAATGCGGCCAATCGCTGAGGGTGAGCCGTGCGTGCTTGCCCCGCCATGGAGCCATTCCGCATGTCGCAGCTTGCAGCAGGCAGCTCCCACTTTCGTGCTTTCCCATCTGACAGTCAGGTTCCAGGTGCAGGCGCACTTTCTCCGAAGCAGCCGGCACACCGCACACCGTCAGACGATGACATACCACAGCAGTACGTACCCTGAACCCCTCCATCCTCCAGATTCGGCCCAAAATCAAGGCCAAGGCCGTGAGCTGGCTGCGCTCGGCCGATGCTGCAGACTCAAACCAGACACCAGACCAGACCAGACAAGACACCGGACCATGTCTCTACCGCAACTCTGAGTCTTTCTTTCCCTGCTCTTCGTTGTGGTACCTCATGCCCTCCTCCACTTTGAACAGGGTACATACTCCTTTGACGCCTCACCAAGCCTGTTTGGATAGCTTCAAAGGCAACACTCTATGTACCGCCCATCTACCGCCTCATACCCTCGTATGCGACCTTACCTTGTCTGACCTAACTATCTGACCATCCTTACCCTGCCCTAAGTCTACATGCCGAACCACAGCTTGACACCTTCAACCGCAATGACGCCGTATGCATAGCAGCTCCAGACTCCTCCAAGGCACCGAAGCTCACCTAACCCGTCTGACGCACATCGACACTCCTATTCTTGACTTTTCTTCCAGCCTACAATTTAACGAACTTCGAACGTTTCTCCATTGCCCCGCCCTCGGTGGCCCTGATCGACCGTCTCCTCCCTCGACCCTCCGACCCCGCCGCGCCAGGCATCACCCTGGCTATCGACTGTCCAGCTGCTCGTCTCACATGCTAGGTCGCACGCGACGTCACGGCCAGCTTCTTCACTACCGCGAAACGAAAACCTCGTCCCCCATAAGTCCCAAAGCGATCAATCCTACGTTCCGGGTGGTCGCCATCCTGTCGATACCCTCCTCATGCCTCTCGAATCTCCCCTTCAAGGCTACGACCGAATAAATAATCCCATAACCGCCATCATGGCGACCAACGTCCACAAAACCGATGCGAAAGGCGATGCAAAAGGCGATACCAAGGTTCCTGCGCCAGCACCCAACGCAGGCCTGGTCAGGAAACCAAGCGATCCTCACCCGGCTGGTCGCGTCAAGCACAGCCTATTGGTGCAGGTCCTCCGGGGCTTCTCATTTGGCGTTTACTTTGCTGCTTGTTGTCTTGCGTACGTCCCCCTCGGAGCTGCTTCGTCAACTTTTGCGACAGCGTTGTGCTAATCTGTTTCGCATGCAGCATCATCACGACCCAGCTCTTAGGAGTTCCACTATACTGGGCGAATCGCGACATGTTTTACTCCTACATGGCGCTCACGAAGCAGTCCTTCGGCCTTACCATCACCGCCATGACGCACATTTGGAGCCCGACTACCATCAGGATAAGCGGCGATGCGTCGATGAACGGACAGATCCAAAAGACGGCGGACGGGAGGGTCCAATTCAATTTCCCAGAGCGTGTGGTGCTCATCGCGAACCATCAGGTATGGTACCCCTGGCCTTTGCGACATTTGCGATATAGCATACGGGAATACTGATGGCGCTGGACAGATCTACACCGACTGGCTCTACCTATGGTGGGTGGCCTACGCGAACTCCCCGAGCATGCACGGCCACATCTACATCATTCTCAAGGAGTCGCTCAAGTACATTCCCGGTGTCGGCGCAGGCATGATGTTCTACGGCTTCATCTTCATGTCGCGCAAGATGTCGACCGACCAGCCACGACTCGCACATAGACTTCAGAAGCTGAAGAAGCAACATACTGGCGCCAACGGGAACAAGTACCTCGATCCCATGTGGCTCCTACTCTTCCCAGAGGGTACGAATTTGTCCACCAACGGTCGCAGGAAATCAGCGGCGTGGGCAAAGAAGAATGACCTCAAGGAGCCTGAACACGTCCTTCTTCCCCGGAGCACAGGCACATTTTTCTGCTTGAACGAACTGAAGGGTTCATTGGACTACGTTTACGACTGCACAGTTGCGTATGAAGGAGTTCCGTAAGTGAAGTCTTCACCCCGCATTCGTTTGCGACATTGTCTGCGAACTGCACTAACAGGATTCCAGCCGAGGCAAGTTTGGCGACCAGTTCTTCACTCTCACAAGCACCTATTTCCAAGGTCGCCCGCCAAAATCGGTCAACTTCCACTGGCGCCGCTTCCGCCTTGCCGATATTCCTCTCGATGACGCCAAAACTTTTGACACGTGGCTTCGTGAGCGTTGGTACGAGAAGGACGCCATCATGGAGGAGTACCTGTCCACTGGACGGTTCCCCGCAAGCCAGGACCTCAAGGGCGGTTTCCTCGAGACGGAGGTCCGTCTCAAGAGCTGGATCGAGCTCGGACAGATCTTTGTTGTACTCGGCATTGCCGGCCTCGTCTTGCGCATTGTCGTCAACTCCATCACTAGATTCGCTTCGGTTCTCTAGAGCAGAGGGATATGGCTACCTCGAAAGACTCAAACAGTCAGGTCGCTTTTGGGGCTAGTTTCTATTTATTGACGATTTATTGCAGGTACATAAGTAGCGGCCAGGTTATCATCAGAGAGGTTGTCGGTTACGGTAGCGAGTGAACTTGGGGACATGGGAGTTTCGGCTTGAATTTGAGGGCGTCATTGGAGTGTTCGGTGTTAGGCTATTGATAGTCTTTCTTTGATACGAGGTACAGACTACAGTGCATCATCTACATCAGATTTGAACCATGAGGTCTTGACGCCTGAGATCCAATTCTCCTTATTAGTTCCAAGGTCCTAATCGCTGTCACCCTCCGTCCATGTCTTTTGGTAACGACTGAAGGACTGATCCAGGAGGGCATGCTTACGTTGGGGCATATTTTGCAGATTTCGGCGACGTCGTTATGATTGCTTCGCCGCCACAAACTAGTTATTCATGCGGTAAGTGGTAAAGTGTTGGCGCCACGGCAGCTCTATGCTCGATCTCCATCGCCTTTTTCCGATATTTGCAACGGGGCTGGATGGTCTTTACATGTTTCGCGATACGGTAGTCGATGAAGCTCAGTCGTTGGCTTCGGATGGTAAGGGAATCGCCGAGCGAAGGATCCGAGTGCTTTTATTTGCCGACGCTTTCCGGTGGGTTGAAGGGGATTGAAAGCCTAGGCTAGCCTTGAAGAGTTCGTGAATAATTCGTGGATACTACAGTCAGGAGCTCCATCTTGAAGCTCACTTGTCCTTGCTCGGTCTACCGTGGCAGGGTCTTACTTTACTCGATGTTCCCTTTCACTGTAGTGTACACTGAAACTAGGTGATATTTGTCAATGACTCTTGGAGGAGGACTTGGAAAAGGGAAGAGGTGGTTGAGATCGTGTGACTATCAACCAGAATGGCGGAAGCCTCTCCCTTGCCTATACCGCACCAACTCGACCGTGCTCTCGTTTCTTGCGCTTTTGCCATTGGAGAAGAATGACTGAGCGCGAGACAACTAGTCTGCCTGGTTTATTGTTGATCCCAGAACATGTCTGCATCGTAGACCCGGCTTCTCGAGGCTGAGCCCCTGAGGAAGTGAAGGGATATAACTTATTGACACATGTTTTGATATTGACTGAGCGCCGGAAATATTTGGATTATCCATGTTTTTAGCAGTCAAGAAAGTAGCTCGGCAGCTGGCTGGCTCAGTCAAAGCTGCGATCTGCGGCTCAATTAGTGCGAGCCACGACCGGAGCCCCATTCGGCTTGCACATCTCTTAGTTGTAGAGAGCTGACTTATTCCACGGAAAAGGTGGCCATACCTTGCAGTTAGGTCAGAGAGTACAGTTTGCTGGTACTCACAAATGTGACCTAACTCAACATCCTGCAAGCTCTTCAGCTTGGCTTCATTTCGTAGTACTGTACTACTAAAGCTATGAGGCTCTTGCTGATTGAGGTCCCCTGAACGAACTCTCCGGAGGACACCTTGCCAACAAAGGCTTTTACCAATAATCTCTGTGAGCTTTCATATATCGGTAAAAAGTCTTCTTGAGCTGTCTGCTAGCCAATGAGTTGGGATGATCATGAATGATAGATCGGTTGGGCTAGTGTCCCAACAAGTGTCCGGGATCTCGATGCTACTCATGCTCCACGGATAGACTGGAGGCATAAGCCCGATACTCATGCCTGCGGCTAGCCTGACTGCAGCCGTACCCATGCCACTTGGACATCGGGTCCTGGATACTGGGTCGCCTCTTGCGGAGGGAAGTGCGTACTGCAGTCTTACGCCCACACTGTCCCGCGTCGGTATGTGGGCAACAGCGGCAAGAAGCCCCCTGGCCTGCATGGAAGCCTCTTCCAACCTGGTGGTATTTACGGACAATGTCCGTTACTACAACAATTCTCCGACTTACACTTTGGGTGTCTTTACATGTAATTATCTTTTCCGGGGACTCGCTGGCGGGACTCCAGAGGGCCTGTCTGCTTATGTTCAAACAAAAAACAGCAGGCTGGGCTCTTGATCTCATTTGGCAGGTCTGCTAGTCGCTACCTTTACCCGCACGTCAGATCAGCCCTTCACAGGGAGTGTGAGGTGGCTCGATGCATTTAGCCCGCATTAGCACACACATCTTATGGGATACTTCCCGTCTCTGTGCCGTCAAAGTCGGTCTGTCCCCGTGATCCGTAATGAAAGGTTTGCATGACTCAATTTTCTCGGTGAGATCTTGCCGATCTGGGAAGTATTTTAACGAAATCCTGTGGGTTTTTGACATGGGGCAACTGCCGGGAGGGGCTCTTAGTCTGAATGAAGATACCAGATCATAGGCTGGTGGAGAAGCGGAATATGAGCCTTCATTTACGATGAGGATATTAGATGGGTATGGCTAGAGGCACGTGGACTTAGGCGGGGATTAATAGTTGACTCCATGATATCAGGGCAGGCAATCGAAGTCTTTATGATGGCCGAACCATGTAAACTGTTCATTCGCATAATCTCCCCCAAAGATACGATCGTCAACGGCTCCACGTTCCGTGTCACATGCTTTGCGGCATGCCCCGCGTCCACAATTGAAAGAAACTTGCGCCCTCGTTCGAACACTCAAATCCATTGTCGGCCAAGAAAAGAATGCGAGGCTTAGACGTGGTACCTCTTGCCAGCCTCCTCCCGTCTATCATATTACATCATTTCTTGACCCGTCTCTCATGTTGTGTCGTTTTGCGAGCTGAGGGGAGATGACTGAGAATTCGACCGTCTTGGCTGACGGTTGCTGCTGTGGTGGGCTGTCTTCAATCTTTTGTACTCGGCGACTATTCTGATGAAGGTTTGCTGCGGTATTATAATATCCTCTTCTAGTTCGATGACGATATTCTGCCCGTCTTGAAACATGTATACCCCTGGGCGTTCGCGAAGCTCCTGTTTGACTGTTGGGTATAAGCGGCTGAGCGCATTCTCTTCATCTTCGGTCAGTCTCCGATACTCGCGTTGAGCGTTATTCATATTTCCGTAATTTCGCAATTGGAAAGAAGACGGTTGTTCTGGAGTCTAGATCGAAGTGGTGGGCTCTTTGATGAAATGCCAATCGCATTCACCGAAATGCCGTGTACTTTCGGCTTCATTTATTCATTTCTTGGCCCTGAACTGAAGATCTCTCTCATGATAGATAGCAGCCCATTGCGATGTTCTCGCGAGTCAACTTGCGAACGGGCACTTTTCAGCTCTCGGGCAATGTTGAAGATTGCAAATAAGCAACATTCCTCCTCCAGCGAATGCCAACGAAGGATGGGAGTTCAGACAAAACCGGTGAACAAGCGTCAGAACTTACGGTCAATCCGTCGGTCGATGCTGGTCCGCGACCCTGTCAGTGGCTTGCAAGGGCGGCCAGCCATCCCATGCTATTGAGGCGTTCTTGGGCACGGGCAGTTGGGCAGAATGAATGCCCGTCCGACAGGGCGTCCACGAGACCCTTGCTAGGGTATTCCTTGGGATGTTAAAGTGCTTCGATTGGCAACCGGTGGGAGAAGAATGATCTTCGTGGCGCGCATCTCGGTGAGCTTCCTGGCCTACTCGTGTTTCTATGCGTGCCTGTCATTTGTCCCACGTCCTATGCTCAGTTCTATCCAACGCGTGCTGACACCTGGTAATAATAGGATTGACCTTATTATATCAGGTGGCGAATCTCGCCGACTCATGATAATTCTGACTTCAAGTCATCTCGTGTCATGTTGCTGGGGATCTGGGGCTACTTCAGCCTTCGCCCTATCCTGGGATTCAGGCGTGAGTTGAGATCCAGCTGCCTACACGTAGGTGGACTATGGAAGTCCGGAATGCTTCTAGTGATTCCTCCAATCGGGGGCATTTTAAATGGCTGGGATTGAAGTTTTTAGTGAATTTCTAGCGTAGTATTCACACACCTCCAGCTGAGCAATCCCTATTACCGGTCTTCATCCGTACATGTCGTTGCCGTACACCACGAAGGAACGTTCCAGTCCGGAAACTCGTCGGCAACAACCCTTATTGCAACTTCAATCACCGCCTGAAGGTCTCTGCAATAGTTTTCAGTCTCTCTGAACACGGACACAGCTTTGCTGCGCACGAACACAACTCCCTTCAGCCCCGGCATACGCCGTGGAAGTTCACGAATGGTACGCGTAACCAGTTCGGACACAGAACCCCTGTCGAGTCCGTTTCCAAAAACGGAATCGTCGATAGCCAAGTAGCGGACGTCCATCAGGTCTGATGCGTCGGACAAAGACATGGCCGTAAAGTACTGTGCGGATGCCGCCATGAAACCTTTTAGTGGACCAAAGTGTAAGACGTCGACTTCGGGGTTGAAATAGATTTTTGATAAGCCAGCTATTCCGAACTTCAAGTTACCATAGAATCGTATGGCCTCTTGTCTTGATTCGCGACAGGCGTGTAAGATGGCCGGGACTTTTGCTGGGGAAGTTCCCCAGGTTGAATGGGCTGTATCGCATCGAATGGAAACTGTTCGGGTGGTCGGTAGACTTAAACGCCATATTGTCATTCGAATCTTGGTCGGGAGCCTGGGGAATGGATGCTTCAAGTCGTGAATTTGTGAGTTCAGGGACCCCCAAAGGTCGTATGGTGCGCAAAGTGTGAAGTTGACTTACAAACACCATATCTGCCACACTGTGGTGATCTCCGGCCATTGCTGCTGATACAAGTACTGTACCGGAGGGAGTCATGTTACTCGAGTCGTATGCAAGGAATGAAGAGCATGTTCATCATGGCCAAGGGTTGGAATGCTATCATGTATTACAGACATCTTCAATGCACAGATTACCGTGATGTTGGGCATTGTTGCTCGCAAATTTGTTGATGTTTTATCCCATTCTGAGAGACATTGATCTTTAGCTAAAGCTTGAGTCGTGTGATCGCAGCCCTACGGCGAGCTGAGTCTGTCTTGCGAAAGTGATTACGAGCTTCATCGACGACACGGCTCGGTAGTTATCCTAGCAGTATTGAATATTGATTTGCCTGTCAAGCTGAGGCTAAAATCGAGATCAAACACAAGAAAAAGAAAGCTGACACGAAGAACAATCTCTGAGAGGACCAGTTGTATAAACAACTGGGCAAATCACCGTTCTGAGCCATCCTGCTAACTTTACCGGTGAGGAGATGACTTGCAGTTTGCCCTCAATCAACAGTTTCTCGATCGTGGCTACAATCATAAATCATATTGCGCTTCATGTGCATTCGCTTACTCGGAGACACGATTGGGTAGTGACGAGGTACTTGGTCTTGAGCGTGTCTAGGGCCCTTGATTCGTGACGGTGGGTATTACCGTATCACAATGACAGCCAAATCGTCCGAACGGATCGGACTTCGAATCCAAGTCAGAAAAGAGGCCTCATATTACCAGCCACATAAACAGACTCGCAGTTTTACATGCCATTGGGCAGCGTGGCCAGGGTCAGTCAGACCCGCAGTTTTGCGCTCAGGCAAAAGTAGCAAATAGCGAACCGACATTTCCTCGGGTCTGTCCAAGTTGAGACAGCGGCAGAACGGCAGAGAAGTAACAGGGACATTAAGTGATAATCGCCCCATTTCTGTCACCTGTCAGAATCCAAGCCGGAACGGGCTGAACTTACGTTGCACCACGTACATGGGTCCATCTTGTGGCGTTGGATCGGTGAGCTAGAACCATCTATCCTAGACATCAGATTGGAAGGCGTCTCCGGGTCCCGACCGCCTGGTACAAGGATCCATGGGCGATCTGTTTAGCTTGGGCTTACAAACCTTTATTTTAGCCCTTGAGCAGAAATTCCTGGATTTTTGCCCAGTGATCAAGAAGGGCGCTGTTGGAAGTGGCGTGATTTTTCCCATGTGGGAATGGTTGGTTTCAAATCAGCCCGGCAGGTGAAGTCCTTAGGAGCTCTAAATATGCCTGAACGCCGACTTCAACGTTGGGGCTCTCGGAAAAAGGGAAAACAACACTACTTGGCACGAGGTGGCTGGCTAAAGAACCCCTAGATCATGGCAATCATCTAGGGTGGTGCCAGCCACACCGTCACAAAACATCATAGTTTTGGCAATGTCAGCCCACAGTCTTGTCTACGATAGTCATTTCGACTTACCTATTGATTTACAGCGCCCGCTGTCTGTAAGGCCTTAGGTCGGCGTGGGAGAAGGATCGAGAGAACGATCCCAGCTACTCGAGAAGTTTGAGGGACGGGCACAACATCGGAGAAACATCCCTTGCTGCTTATGAATGGTTTTAGTACCTACCATGTGGAGGGGCAAGTCGCGTATCCAGCTACGTGAAGCGCAGGCCCGCCGCATCGTCTACGCCCGACAGATCCCGATGTAACCGACTTATGCTATGAAATGACATATCATGGTGGATGTAGCTTGACCGGAAGTTTTTGTTATGAGTCGTGCAGAGATCCACCACCTCTTGACGGATATGGAGTCGGATTAAACGGATAGCAGATGACTGGGCGATTTGTGAAAGCACATGATATAGAGCAATCTCCCTCCGTCACTTCCAACACTACTAAGGCTGACGGAACTCATTCCCATCGGCTATCTTGAAGTCAAATTCGGACCAAATACCGCTATGCGTCCAGGACGCGTGGGACATGAGGGGCTGTCAGGTTGACCTACACTTCTCCACAGGCGGAGCATGGGCTAGGATTGCAGATAACACCCCCAACCTCCTGTCAAAGGTTTGACTTTCCCAACATGGCAAAATTTTCAGAATATTCCACAAGTAGAAATAGGCATGAGCTTGGCATGACTGCTATGGCGTTCACACCCGAAGTGCTCAGACTAACGATCACAGCAGCATCAGGCAGTAAGCCCGCACTGATTATCTCTTACCGGTCCTTATACTCAGAGAATTATCCTCGCCAAGGAGACCTGAATCAAAGCCCGAGCATGTTACCGTTCACATGCAAAGTAGTGAAGATTAGGGAACGAGTTATGACATGCGTGCCGGTTGCTAGGTCCAGCTCTAGCCTTTTTCATGCCTGATATTATCATTAGAAGAGACAGCGCACTCCGTCAGGGATGGGTCTGACTCCTTACACCAGTCCATTTGGGGACCATCGCGGCCAATTGGACTCCAATTACGGCCCAATTCCCGGGCTTGTCCTGTTCATCAGCGCCTCATTTTCTAGTCGTCATAGAAAACTTGTAAATGAAACAACTACCGCTCTACAACTCTTTAGTCACAATTCGCAATCACCACTTTCCTACTGCGGCTTCACGCATATGAGCCTAGCATGGTTGAACAAGTCGCAACCGGGAAGAAGCCCGGGAGCCACTTTGTCCATGCCCACATCAAGGTCTCAGTATGTCGTGTCTCGTAGGGTAGAAGTCGCAGATAGAGAATGATGCTAATGTCATGGAAAGCTACGAGGATATAAGCCATAATGATTCCGATCATTCTCGCCAATGAAGGCGAAGCCATCTCGAAATCGTTATGAGTCATATTGGCCAAATTTCCGAGGCTCAAACAAGAAGTCCCCACGATTTGTCAACATACCACGTCGACTTTACACGTCCGCCATGGATCGCTATCCGTGTGTCAACAGATACAAGTACACCGTCAATTGCCCATCTTGGGTTTGGGTATATCGTACCCGTTGCGAAAACTGCGTTTTGGTAGGTAATTAACTCCATTCAGCGAGGTTTTATAGAAAAGTCTTGACATTGAGTAGAATGATCTTTAGGAACATCGAGGTTCAAGATTCGGTCATGGGGGAAAAGGTCACATCCGCATTAGGCAATAGCAAAATTCACCAAGGAATCATACGCCCTGCTTAGGTGATTCAAATGCCCAACACTACAGACGTCAAACCATGAAATCCAACAATAGAGCCTGTACCTATGTGTGGGTCAACCCTGTGTACCTTACAGAGGAGGCTTGGGCATACAAGCGCGCAACACGCGCTTTCAAGGAGCTACATGTACGCAAGAACCAAGGCACGACTTGGCCATACTCCGCTGCTACCCTGCTGCCGCCGCTGATCCGTCTCAAAACGAGTTCTTGCCGTGGAGCTGATAAGATACTCGATGCAGCGAGTTGCATTGCTCAGGACCTCCAATCAAGACTTGACATATTTTGTCAGCCGCAAATGAACTTCTACCGGGCCAGTCTCTCCGGCGAAGGGTCCAGAAGTAAGGGTAGACGCTTACTCCGCTCATGTAGCCCATAGGGAAGGCCCAGGGCGAGGTTGAAAGCCTTGGGAAAGGGGCCTATACAAGGGGGAAGCAAGCGCACCGTATGGATGTAACGCAGCCATGTGGGTTAGGCCCAGCCGAGCCGTCTCCGTCCCCTGTATGTATGCATGTCTTGTGATAATTGCTCAACGCTTTGACCAGCGACAATAAGTTTTGTATGTAGATGCTTCCCAACAAGTTCGATGACAGCCTGATCAACGCGTCAAAGGCTTGTAATTCGTCATTGCCTGTGATCGGCAAAATTATTCATTACTCGCATTCTGCCGTTCGGGACGACCGTAGACTCGAGGGTTATGCCGCCTTTGGGAAGACCACAGGGGGTGCCCGATAGCCCATGCTCTGCATATGAGGACATGAAAAGTCTGCAAGATGCCGGCTTCAAATTGCAACTTACACCCGAAATACGAGTGGGTTATTATCATATGGCCTGTGGGAGTTCCTCTTCGCTACTTGCACCAAAACCTAATGTGACCTCCAAGGTAAAGTAAGTTACATTTCGTTGCTGTCCGAACCGAATAATGTATGTTCACCAGAACCGACGGCTTGGACGAACCCATAGTAGCACTCGTAGCTCTGGGTTGCCTGAAGTACGTGCCGGAGGATTTGGTGTGTGTGTGATCAGTACGTCAAGTATTCGTACTGTGGCAATGGCACGTTGCTCTGTTGGCTACATGCAAGGCTGAACTGCCTACTTCCAACACCGTCACTCTACAATCTCTAACTTTTCCTTCCCACCAACCTGTTGAGCGCTTAGCCTTTTCGACCTCTCAAAGATGGCATCACCGAATCCCACCGACATCAGACGGCTGTGACCTACGCAGCCTACGATAACATCACTTCAAGACCTCACTCTTATCGAAGCCTGGGACAACGATGCGAATGCGCCAAATTACGTCACCTTCTACCACATAACGGACGAAGCGGAACTATGGTTTGCTCAAAGCTCCAAAAACAAGCGAGAGATACCTCTCGAAGAATACCGACAGGCACTGGAGCTCGTACCCGATGAAGAGATCTATCCCGAAATCCCAACTGGTGCCAAGCTCACCATCGCACCAGACAACATCGATGATCCAGTATTCATCAAACGCCTCGGCCTCAACTGCTACGAGTCGATGAAGGGAACGCCTTACGTGTGGAAGTCCGTCCTCGACGAGACATTGATCATGGAAAAGGTCTCCAAAAATCCACATCCGTATATCATCAATTACTATGGCTGCCGAACCACACGCGGCCGCATTACGTCTCTCGTTCTCGAGTCGTACGACTGCACGCTCACCCAATTTGCTCGGCAGCCAGGTTTCAAAGACCTCGACAAGGAGAAATTTCTGGACGGCCTAGAATCAGCAGTGGCGTATGTGCACTCGTTGGGTCTGGCTCACAACGACATCAACCCGGACAACATCATGATGGGAGAAGACGGTATGCACGTTCTCATTGACTTTGGGTCTTGTGCGCCGTACGGGCAGAATCTTCAGTTCTTGGGCACTGATGGATGGTATGAGGAGGTATTCTTCACGTCAGAGAAGTCACACGATGACTTCGCCATGAAGAAGATGAGAGTTTAGATACAGGATCCGCCAGTATGATGGAACAAGTCCGTAGTGAAATATGATGGGGGTTTTCCGGCTTTGCTGGAGCATTGATAAGATGTACCTCCATGGGATCCGGCTTTCACGAAATAAATACAGCGATAGAAAGGGAGGTAGATTAAGGAGGATCTTGTCTCCATCATGCCGCAATGCTACACGTTGTGCTGCCCCCTGATTACTGCCTGACGATGCTGCTCACCTCGATGCGAGAACTCGATACTGGAAGTCTCTAATCTATGTTGGAATGTGAGAGCAGAGAAGAGCAATTGGAAGATGGTAGGGGCTTTTTGCACCGGCCCTTTTCACGAACGTACACCCAACGGAAGAATCGTAGGCTACTATATATCCGCCAATTTTCTCCTCCCATGTGCCACCCAGTAGTTCATTATTGGACTTTGTACCGGCCAAAAGGCTGCTCTGCTCACCGAAACTTGCCTTTGGGATTTGTTCGCGTTCGAAGCGGAAATGACAATAACATGTTGGGACGTATTAGATGTAGACTGATGGCCGTAGGGAATGATGTTGGCTAGCAGACGAAAGAAACGAATGAAGCGATTTCGTCGGACGACAGAATGTTAGTAAAGTATCTGGATGAGCCCGAAACGGCGGGCTGACATCAACAAGTACCCATCAAGTATAGCTGCCCTATTTTGCTGTTACTGAAGGACACTTGCAAGTCCTCAACCATGGGAAGTAGCTACCTGAGCAACAAGTGGAGGATGACCTATCCATTTTGGCTCTGATGCAGTAGTGATGGGCTCCAGTGCCACCTCTCGCCTTCCATCTCAAATTTCCTTCAGAGGCGACCGTGGTTTCGATCCTGTAAGTTCTACTGGCCCAAGAATGATGATGAAGAAGAGACATTGTTTTTCAAACAGGCCCAGGATCAGGGTAGCGGGCGTGATCATGCTCAAACTTTAGTATAGAGCGGAATATGCAGACCGAAATAGACTCGACATACGGGGCTCAATATCGTCGTCTTGAATTTAGCGGTAGCGGTGGTGGCGGTGATGGCAGTATCGAAGACTCGTGATGGCTTCCTCTGGTGAAATGCAAATGCCTCAGTTGATGACCGTGTCCAAGGTACCTGTAACTTACCTTACTCAAGCTTAGGCAACATCCAAGAATGCAAGGCCGATGAAGTTACTCGAAGAAATAACTCACCCGTATTTGCTGTCTGGGAGGTCCTTCCGGGCCATCCTAGAGCCTCCCCTTACTGATGTCAGACTTTATTCCTATCCCCTGCATCCTTCCCGCCTGACTACGAACCTCCTTACACTTCTTCCATCTTCTTCTGAGTTTCTTTACTCTTACCCTCCAGACCTTTTCCTCTTCATTCAAACTTCAATCTCGCTCGTCTCTGAACCTTACCTTACCTCAGCGTATCTGCAAAATACACACACAAGTATGAGAGGAACAAAGCCACTGAGGGGTCACTCTAGCGGTTGCCGATCATGGGACTCTTCCCGAGACACAAGGTCTTACCATTACGCCCAAAATCTCAGAAGAGGGAAGAAATTAAGGCTAATCACGAAAGACCAAGATCGCAGGTTCTCGATCAGCGACTGCCTAGTGTCCTCTTCATCAGTACGTCATCATTTTGACCGGGAGGAATCATTATTCAATATCGAACATTAATCGTTGCGTATCATTAAACGCTATCTATGCGGAAATTGATTCTATCATGCTATCGTACTGGAACAGATTGTCCTCAAGAGCTGACTAAGGAGCTTCCAGTCCAGAAGCCAGATGCCCTCCATGGAGCAAGCCAGGCAACTGTTTCTCAACACAATCAAGAAGTCCTGGATGTAGATTCTACACCTTTTGTCTAACCCAATAATTTGTTTACTCATTATCCGTAACCTTGATAACAGTGGACTTGAATTGGCGCGCAGGGATCTTGCGGTTGAAGAGAATATCGGCCTCACGGTACGAGCGATGCTTGAGCTCAGGCAGGAAGAAGAAGGCCATGATCCAGCACACACAAGCAGTGCCACCCCAAACGAAACCGCACTTTCCAGCAACGTTCCAGCCTGTGGGGTTGAGGAGCTGCGAGGCGAGGTAGATCATGGGGATCTCGGCGACGTAGTACGCGGCGCGACCGACGGCGGTGCTGAGGGCACGGAGGCGGACGGCAGAGGTCTCGGCGATGATGGTGTAGGAGATGGGGCCAAGGGTACCCGCGAAGACGAAGGAGATCAATATTCCAAGGACGGCTTGGGCGTAGTTGGTGGCGCTGTTCTGGGGGATTGAGGCGCAGACGCCTAGGAGCATGAGGAAGGTGATGTTGACGGCCGTGCCCCAGAGGTAGATTGTGCGGCGGCCGAACCAGGCGGTCAAGGGCCAGGACAGAGCGTTGGCGACGAACTGGAGGCATGAGTTGATGAGGTTAAGGTTGAAAGCCATGTCGTGGGCCATGCCAGCTTGCTCGAAGAAGAAGGTAGCCTGGTTGGCGATGAGGTTGCCGGCGAAGTTCTGCGAGGCGTAAATCAGGCAGGTGATTGTGGTACGGCGGAGATCAACGCCCTTGAAGAGATCAAGAAGGGTCGGGGTACCACCGATGTTGGCCTCGATTTGGACGGTACGCTCGATCATGGCAAGCTTGCGCTGGGCTTGACCGGCGGTGCCGTGGGTGGGGCCGAGACGCTGGACGGAGCGGAGGGCTTCCTCCTTACGGCCGCGGCGGATGAGCCACCAAGGGGACTCGGGGGCGAACCAGAGGATCACCATGAGAGGAAGCTGGGAATCTGGTCAGTCTATGGTCATGCGAAGTACACGAAAGATGAGTAAACTCACGGGGAAGATCCACTGGAGAGCGAGGGGCGCGCGCCACGCCCACTCGTCTGTACGGCTGTTGAAGCCAAGAGTTGCACCGGCGACGATGATGGAACCAATGGACCAAGACATCTGCAGGGTGGCCGTGCAGGCACCACGCAGGGCGAGGGGGACAATCTCAGAGGCGTAAGCGGGGCCGATCGCGATGAAGAAACCCCAGGGAACACCCTCAAATGCCTGTCCGATGGTGAGGACTTCAAGCGAGTTGGCCTGGATTGAGATCAGTACACATCTAGATGAAGAACATTGTCATCGAGATTGCTTACAAAGAAGGAGATGAAGATGGTGGCATTCATCATGACCAAGGCAACCATGGTGGCCAGGCGGTATCCGAGCTTGTTGACAACCGGGCCGGCGAGGAAGACACCGACAAAGGCACCGCACTGGCCGGCCTGGAAGAGGGCGGACTGCCACTTTGTCTCGATGGCCTTGCCGCCGCCAGCAACTTCAACACCGTATCTATCCTGGAAAGCCTTTTGGGCAACAAAGTTACCGTTCAAGAACATGTCGAAAGATTCCATGACCTGTTGGACGAGTACCCCAATTAGCAACTGACTCGCGAGCTTGAAGACGGGACGGCGGCCCGAAGAGCCGCCAACACACGCAGGGGTCGAAACCCCAAGCACAGGCAATGGAGGGAAACTTACAATGGTAAAGCACATGATAAAGGCCCAGAAACAAGCCTTGGGATGCGTCTTGACGGCCTGCCACAGGCCCTGGTTGTGCTCTTCGTTCTCGCCGTCAAAGGCATCGTTCATAAGGTCCGTATCGGCCAGGGTCTTGTTGCCTGCCGCGTCAATGTGGTGGGCATCGCCGGCCTTTTCGTCGACAAAGACATTGTCGTCCCTGCTGGAGGCGTCGTGCCCGTCGTGGGCGAGACCTGTCGACATCTTGGGCTGAGTTTGTGAGAAAGGTCCGAGGGTGATCGTGGTCGGTGGTGGCTGCAAAATCGGAGGACTTTTGGCCAACAGCAAATTGCAACTAGCAAAAAGCCAAGAGAGAACAAGCAACGGCCAAGAGACAACAAGCAAAAAAGCCAAGAGAAATTTGGAGTCGCCCTGGTGACCAAGATTTCTTTCTAGGAAAGGGGAAATCGGGAGCATCCGGTCTTATACCATCCACCTGCCCTCAACGCCGGGGACGGGAGCGGCCTTCGAAGGCTTGCTTCTGCTGACGAGATGGACTTGACAGAGACTAGAAAATGCTGATTCTGATGTTCCCATTGGTGCGCGTAAGGATACGGGTAGGACGGGGCTCTGCGGAGCTTTGGAGTAAGCATCGTGTCCTGACCATGTCCCTGAGGGCGTCTGGGGTGTCGGGGGAACAAGGAGACTCTTGATAGGTGGGAGAACTCTAGTGTCTCTTCGTGCGGGGGGATCGTGCGGGGAGCGGGGAGTGTCGAGGTCCAGTTCTCCAAAGGCCAGCCGAGGTGACGGAGGTGTTGGACTGGAAGTGCCTAGGAGGTGGATGATGTGGATGAAGAGGAGGAGGAGAATGGATGGAGAAGAGAAGTTTGGAGAAAAGTTGGAGAGACCCAGTCTTGTTTTGATCCAAGACTAAGCCAAACCTTGCCTAGCTGTGTTATCCTGGCTCACCCCCTTGCTTGAGGCAGCTTGAAGCCGCATTGTGCAAATTGCAACTGGTTGCATTTCAGATGGGCTTCGGATGGCTTCGGGCACTAGTCAAAGGCCCGATGCCGTTTCATGCGCTGATGCGCTCGCTTCAGCAACCAGCGTTTGCATATCTGTAGATTCGCGTGGCCTGACAATGACATTTCATCCGTCCATCCGGTATCCGGTCGTGTAGGGAGAGTAGCATTTTACTATAGCCAAAGGTCGTCGCAGAAAGCGGCCCCGATTTCCCCAGGAAACTTTGACGCGGGTACGAATAGTCGTACTCCGTACTCACCCGCTCAACCCCGTTTGGTTCCCACTCAACTTAGCCTATGACGACCGTCGACGTGGTTGGGTTTCTTTCCTAACCCGGGCTTAGAAAAAGTTCATTCTGGTCGGCCCGTATTCAAGGGGCAGTGTGGAGACAAAGAATTGCTTTTGGCCAGGGTTCGGTCAGTGAAATTCTTGAGGAATCAGACGAAACTAATCGCCCCCTCTTGAACATGCCTTATCGATTGGCATGTCAACTCGAGAACACTGGAGAACGGACGAGTGAACTGCTTTAAGCTTGGGTTCATTCTTCTCCCCCAGATAGGCCCGCTGAACTCCAGACTCCAGAATATGATGGACAAATGGAAGAAATGACGACTATCAATTCCCCACGGGTGCCGCGGGGATGCAAACCTTGATTCTTTGACATAGCATCAGTATCACGAGGGTGGCCCATACCCACCATCCACCCCAGACCCAGACAACTTTCGACTCACCTCATAGCATGTGACTTGGTGATTTAAATCTTTAGCCGAACTTTTGCTAGCCGGCCCACCGCTACTCACAATATCTAGGATCTCCAGAAAACGGTGTGCCTAACCCTATGCGTGCGAATCAGACGTAGTCGCCGTTGGCCCGTTGATGCTATTCACATCTCCCTCCCCACAACCTCAACCACGGCCCCATACCCCGCAACAGCAAAGTCTCAACCGCTAGGTTTCGAACTACGATCAAGATATAACCGTGATCAAGCCAGCCGCTCGGTCAGCCGGACAGCCGGTAATCTTGCACGCCGTCTATGCCCCCGTCACTCTTTCGACACTTTGCTAGCCGGATGCCGCGGCCGTGGTCGTGGTTCCTCGGTACGCATGCTGCTGCAAAAACGACACGGGTATCCCTCGCTCTCGGCAGCGAGCTCCGAGGGCGTCGTCTATCGCCGCAAGCCAACCGGCTTGGCGTTGATCCTTTGACAGCCGTCAGCGTCAGCGGCTGATTTCGGTCTTCCGTTTCAATAAAATCGCTTCCCGGCTACCGACGCAGCTGCTGATTGGTCACATCTGGTAAGGTTCATCTGCGGTGTAGTTCAGGCGCTTTTGCCAAAGTGTTTAACCGTTCGATTTGTTCTATTACTTCGGCTTTGATACACACACGGCGTCTCCTCGCGGAAAGAATTTACTACCTTATCTGTCCAACTCTTTGGACTCCAGATTGTGATTGCTCGCATTGCTCGTGGTTCCGAGGAGAAATACGATTTACCATTTTTCATGCATTACTACATCAGTACGTGCGTTTTATGTCGTTGTTCAACTTTGCCTCTTCAACATTGATAAAGGGCGGATATGCGAAAATCTGCGACAAAATAAGACATACCTCGTCATCAGCCAATTAGTGAAAGTACATCACTGACGCCATCTATCGGCCGAAGGAATCTCGAAGCACAGAATGAGCAACTTGGTGAAGAGTTCGTACCACGGCCACAGTGCGCTGATAATCCGCCCAGAGCGTAACAACACCTAACCAAAGAGCTTTGGCGAGTGAGTCAGCCTAGGAGCCCAACTCCAAGATGATGTAGACACATCGGCGCAATTGGCTCTTTGGGTTGAGGCAACTTCTGTTATGGAGAATTGAGCAACGACGGAATGGTAGTGTTCGGATTCTGGGAATCTAGGTCCCGAGATTCTATTTTGAATGATCTAGGATATGGCTGGCAATCCTCTAGGGGCTCGACTTTTTCCGCTCCGACTGCACTGCAACCTTTCGCTCACTCGTAATCACGAGTGACGACTTCAAATTCGTCCGAGATGCCTTCAAACGGTGTTGCAACCGCCAGACTTCACTGCGCGAGCTGCATGTGGACATTATGACACCCGAATACAGGCACAGCTTAGGGCCCCTCGGATATCGTCCAGAACATGGCACACTGCGGCATTGCCCACACGGAGATTCTGAGACGGTTGATGCTCATGCTGTCCGAATGGCCAGACGACACGCGAGTATCATTGTCCATCGGCCTCGATGATAAACGCTACAGACAATCGAAAAACCCCAAGCTTCACCATTTCAATGTGGTGAATCCTCAACTCCTTCCGATCATGCCGTGCGTCCGTAGCTTGAGGTTCTCGTTCTGTTACCAACCCCGGTCTCCGAGACGGAATGTCGAGGGCGACTTCCTCCTCATGCAAAAGTTTCCCAACTTGGAGTCTTTCCACCTCGACGCTCCGGAGTTTCCCTTCTTTATCAAACCGCGACGAGAAATTCGAAAGTCTTTGATCAACACCCTGTCATATCAGTTCCCGACATCGGCGAGGCACGGAAAGCTTATCATCCTGCCCAATAAATACGGTCCCTTTCAGCAGCTACCGCAGATGATCAAAGACGGGAAGAGCGATCCTCTCTTCGTAGGCCTGCGCCGAACGATTGACGGCTTTCAGAATTTGAGTACGGTGGCCATCTCAGCTCTTCGTTCTTCTAGTCGCCACCCCCTAGTCTGGACGATGCAGTCCCTTATTGGCAGAACATGACCAAGCTCAAGGTTGATTGCGACATGGTTTCGCCCAGCGGGGAGCGGTACCTGAAGCACTATAACACGCGCCTTCTCGACCTTCTGCGCAGCGCCGGCAGGATGGCGCCAGGCCTACTCCGGGAAGGAGATGCTGAGGAGCCGGTGTGGAAAGCTGATGTTTCGGAACTCGTCAGGCGCAGAAACATCGAACGTTCCTATTTAGAGAATGACTCCCAAGACAGGCAGTAGAGCGTCAGCGGCGACGACAAAGTAGCCGCCTGGACCGTCAATGAGAAGGCCATGGTGCCAATGCTTACATCCATTGCGAAGGCGGTGGGCCACATGATCTCTCTCAAAGAAGTTCGATTCAGAGTAATCTTGGCCAAGTACGATAGACGCGAGGGCGACGAATGGTCCCATCGCTTCCACGTTGATTATCTCGCTCCTGTGGTGATGCCAGATGTGGGCGACGAAAGGTTCCCGCGGTGCAGGTGCTATGCTAAGGACTGGACACCGGAGTATAGGGCGCGCCAGGCCGGCGACTTAGAGAAGGCTCGTTTGCTACTCACAATCGAGACTGAGAATCAGAAGTGTGAAAGTACAAAGGACTCCTGTCCGGACAGCCCAAGATGGTTGTTGAATATGGACCAGTGGCAGCCGAATGAAGATTTGCTCGACTTGTTTAGGCAAGCAGGGAGAAAGGCCCATTCAAAGGATGCGGTCATCATTCGACACGTACACCATCATAAATAGAATTACGCTGTGGGCGAGGGCTAGCTGTGGCATCAGTGGAGCCGAGTCACTTGTGATTATGAAACGAAGCCACCGTTTTGAGATTTCGACTTTGTAATATTACTCCGGGCTACCAACTTGTGTCGTTAGCATCAGAACCCGCCGAACTGGGTGACAGTTTGAGAAGTATTCCGTCATTATTCTCAATGTCGTTTGCAGCTTAGAACCTTTTTCGGTGTCTACCGTTCCATGAGACTTTGATAAGATCGAAAGTGACGTAAAACTAGGACCTGACAGCTGGATTGGATATCCGAGCCAAGTGTTCTTATCTACGAACCTTATGTACTGTTAGTCCGTAACACTTGTCTGTCAGTTTGACAACTTAATGGAATAATAGAGACTATGGCTATAACTCAAGATACATCAATACATGAACGTGTCGAGGACATACGGTGTGGAGGATATCTCACCACTCAGAGCATAAGAGATTAGGCAAAAGAACTCAGTCTCTTGGTTGAAGGAGCTTGCCCTTGGCAACAGTGCAGCAAGATTCACACAATTATGAACCGCATACGCAATCCACGCATGGTAAAGATCAATAGGCGTAGAACTTTTGATTATTTTTACTCATACATCTACATCATCCGCATCATTACAACATTACACATTCGTTTAATCCCATCTTTACATCGCCAGCAGGGCCAATAGGGAGAGGCCCACGGCACCCATGCTGACGGAAACCATGCTAGCGCCGCTAGAGCCAGAGGTAGAAGTCGGGGTGGCACCGGTACCGGTGGCAGTGCCAGAAGGAGTAGACGCGGTGCCGTTGGTTGTGACAATGCGGCCCTCAATCTTGGCCTCGACGGGGCTCTTGGCCTCAACATACTGAACGAGAACCTCGTCCTGGGTATCAAGGGTCACAAAGTCAGTGGTAGCGACAAAGATGTTGTCACCGCCGCCGGCCAGGAAGTCGAGGGTGACGACCTTGTAGTCCTTGGCATCGTCCAGGGCCTCACCGCCGACCTCAACAGAGACGAGCTTGGAGCCGTTGTTACCGGCCGGGTTGTATTCGATGATGATGTTCTTGGAGACCTGGAAGAAGGAGGTGATGGCCTCCTGGTTGAACTGGTTGACCTTTGTCACAGCACCCTCGAGGATCTTGCGCAGGTCGGAGCCCTTGTAGGTGATCTCGACAATGGAGTTGCCAAAGGGGAAGGAGGTGAGGACCTCGCCACGGGTGATGTTGCCCTCGTCAATGGTGGCGCGGATGCCGCCGGCGTTGATGAGCGCAAAGTCGGGCGGGCTGTCGGCGGAGGAGTTGAGGCGGTACTCGTACATGGCGTCGGTCATGACGTTGCCGAGAATGCACTCCTGCTTCTGGCAGAGGGACTGGTCGAGCTCGACGTTGGAGACGCCGACGACTTCGGCGGCAAAGGCCTCGAAGGGTCCGCGCCACGACTCGATCTGGGCCTGGAGGGCGGCGTCCTGCTCGGTGGTGTTGGTGAGGTGGATGGGGCCGCCGTGGTAGGCGAGGATCTTGCCCTCCGCGTCGTAGGTGACGTCGATGTAGCCGACGTATTCGCCCCAGCGGTAGGCGGTGACGATGAAGACGTCGTCGCCGTCCTTGTTCTGCTTCACGGTCGGGTAGGGGCCCTCTGCGTCCTCCATCGAGCCGAGGAGGGTGTGGGAGTGGCCGCCCATGATGAGGTAGAGGCCGGTGGTCTGCTCGGCGAGCTTCTGGTCCTCCTCGTAGCCAATGTGGGTGATGGCTGCAATGCGGGTGATGTTGGTGGTGGACTTGATGTGGTCGATGGTGGACTGCACAGTGCTCACGACATCGAGGAACTTTGTGCCCTCGCCGGGGGAAGAGATGCCTGGAGTGGTGGTGGTGGTGACACCGATGACGGCCAGACCTTGGTCCTCAAAGATGTGGTAGGGCTTGATGGTCTTGTTGAGCTTCTCGTTATCGGAGACAATGTTGGCCGAGATGACGGGGAACGTGAGGTTCAGCAAGAAGTCACCGAGCTGGTCGTCGCCGCCGTCAAACTCGTGGTTGCCGAGGGTCATGGCATCGAAGCCGAGCTGGTTGATGGTCTCCGCAATCTTCTCGCCCTTGTAGAAGGAGTAGAAGAGCGTGCCTTGGAACTCATCGCCAACGTTGAGCCACAGAGAGTCGTTGTATTGCGGGCGCAGCTCGTCGACGGTGTGCTTGATGCGCGCATAACCTCCGTAGCAGCCGCGCTCGGGACGGGTGCAGTCAGTGCCCGAGGAGGAAAACTCGTCGAGATGGGCGTGCACATCGTTGACGTGGAAGAAGGAGATGTTGTAGTTGCCCTCGGCGTCGATGCCACGCTTGGAGAGGCGGGACGAGTACAGGTGGTCACCGTCCTCCTTCTCGGGGACCGCAAAGGCGGCGCCGGCCAAGGCCAGGGCCAGCGTCGCAAGAGACTGGCGCATTGTGAGTGAGGGGATTGCGAAGTTCGGAAGGTGGGAGGCAACAGAAGGGGAAGCTCAAGAGGCCGCAATCAAGCTCGGTCTGGTGTCAAGGTTGCACGGGAAGTCAATTAAGCCTTCACGATGCCACGGTTGAGTATGCGCCACGCAGAGTTCTTGGAGGGAGAAAGAAGGAAGACTTTCTTCTACTAACGATCGCAATTCCTCTCTTTCTGGGTTCCTGGAGCTACCCGCGCGAATATATACAAATTTTTGCTTCTGCCCAGAGCTTGCGGGCAGCAATTGGAGAGTGGAACAAACAAGAACCACATGCGATCGATTGTGACGGCGGTGGCACGGGCAACGCAGCGCGACAGCTTCGAACGTGGGCCTGCATCTCGGAAAGCATCTCTCTCTGAGTGCTGAGTGGCTGGATAGACACGACAAGATACCAAAGAACCCCCGTTGGAGGTTCTTCTGGCCGCATGCCAAGACATTGGCAAAGTGGTTGATGCCGGGAAAGACAGCTCCTTCGGTGATGAAGTAGCATTTGCCAAGAGACGCGGACAGATGAGGGGTGAAATACACGTTGTGGTGGTGGTTTGGATGATTGGCTTATCAGCGGTCCCTTTGCCTCTTCTGGAGCACGCGTTGGCCCGGCGGAGGTCCTTTGACTTCTGTCATGGAGGGACGGACGGGTCTGGGGGACCTGAACCAGGGTTCATGATCTGGTAGTGCAGTGCTCCTCCGGACGATGCCATGCGACTCGCGGCCAATGTGCGGTCAGTTACGCATCACGCTCTCTCTTCCCGTTGGGCTTTCCACAAAGGGTGACCGAGAAAGGGCTTGTCTGACCTGTGGACGGATGCAGCCGAACCTGTGCTGGCAAATGGGGTGACGGGCAGAGTTCATCGACCTTTGCTTCTCTATCCGGTCCCGTGCCATCACTTGGTGGCATGGGTACCGCATGGCGAGGAGCCTCAACTGGTTCAGTGTGAAAGGAACACCCTGATGAACATCTGCGGAGCAACTAGGCGCTCATCATGGAGACCAATTGATGCACTCCAGAGTGCCTGCAGAGCGAGACACTCCCTCGGTAACACGACGTGACCTTGATCCAGGTCTAGGGTGGCAACCCAACCCATGGCAAGTCACCATCATGCTGTGCCAGGCCGGCTGGGCCCCCGTCTCCCTTGACTCTGACAGTTCGTCCGTCCTTCTGCTTCCATCCAAGCTTCAGGCAGCGTGCGTCTCGTCGCGTGGAATGACCACCTGGAAAAGAAACTTGACGCTTCCCAAAATCTTTCCTACCATCGCTTCACCCCCGCCGGCTTGTGATGGACAAGGACTTCTGGGCTGGGCTGTGGGGTTTGGAGGAGCAACAAATAACGTTAATCCACTCACTGTCCAATCCCACGCCGCACTTAGGAACTTTCCCTGATAACGTTGGGGAGACACCTAGGCCGAAGACGGAAGGTCAATGTTATTGCGCTGATCTCCGCTCCGCCTGTCGAGAACCTGCGTGCGTGTGTTCAGCTGCGATCCCGGCGGATGAGGCTGGGCCAGCTGCTGCTCCGAGCTTGCACAACACTGTGGGTTATTGGTTCCTTAACTCGGAATCACAGAAGAAAGCCAAGATTCCCAGCGATAAGAAGGCCTTCGATATTGTGGCTGCTTCTTCCCCGGGAATGAGCTACCCTTTCAGGGCAAGAGAGCACGCGAGCCTATCTCTCTCGCTCAATATTCTGATAGGAAGCTTTAAAGACAAGAACGGATTATGGCTATGAAGCAGTCGGATGTCGCCGAGGAGCGGCCCTATAGCTGGGTATTTGCGGTGACTAGTCGATGCAGCAGTACGGCGCAGCGAGAGCTTGGAAGTAGATATCAATTATGTATTGAGTCGGCGCATGCTATACGTAATTGACCAAGTATCCCCGTATTTCGGACGAATTGATGTCGCGTTGATATGCAGTATCTCATGACGTGGGTACTCCGTACAGCTTGAGAGGAGAGGAGGGCGGGCAACCGGCGGGAATGTGGGGGAGGTCCGGAGATGCCAACGGAAGCCCCCAGCTATCGGGATCGCCCGATGCAAGACTTGACCTCACTTCATGTAACTAGTAATATATCCAATGGATGGTGATCTGGATGTGATAATCTAGATTAGAGCTAACCCAACTCACAGTTTTTCTTTAGAAACTGTCGCATGAAGCCGCTCGCTCTAGTGACAAGAAGGACGGTGTGAATAAACAACGTGTCAATGACACACCAGTGAAGCTCAAATTCTTAACCACATGTGACAGAAAAGTGAGATAATAAGTCCATTACTCAAGTGACTAAACATCAAACCGAAAATAAAGACACTCTCTAAAGAGCTCAAAGTGATGTCTAACCATAATTCTGCCTACACTTGCGCTTTTCAAGCTCGTCTAACCGCTGTTGCACTGCACTCTTCCATCGCCATTCACCTGAAGGCTCGAGCACGAGAAACACGTGCTATCCTTCGCTCCCGCATCGCGGCACCGTCTGTTGAAGTCATCTCCATCGATCTTCCACTTCTTAATCATATTTTGAAGCTGATGCTGTTAGCTTGGCTCCATCGAATCTACTTCCTCAAGGTTCGGCTTACGTATTGTCCATCCTTACGAGGGCCAGGGCTGTGTGCGAACCAATCTGTTTTAGAACTCGCCAGATGCTCAGATGGACCTTGATTTAGTTAGCCGATTGAATTCTAACGAGCAACATTCATGTTGTAGCACCTACCCCAGACATAGCCGTAGCATGGCTTCGCGGCAACCTTCGCTGTTGCAGCGTGGTCCACGGGGCCGTTGGACCATTGCTGGCAAGCACAGTAGTCATGGGAGTCTGCCACGGCGCCAGAGCTGTTTCTGATCAGTGAAGTCCCTAAATGTAGACAGGGTTGAGGATATCCTACATTAGCGCAATTGCTGCCACAGCTAATTGGAAGCGCATTTTGTGATGTTTGATAGTTTGATAAAGTAAGGTAAGAGAGGATGCAGCGAATCAGGGGGGAAAAACACTGTACTCCTTGGGTCAGAGGGAGAAAAATTCAATTGTTGAATGTAGTCAGCGAGGGTAATGACCATGAACAGCGTGGGAATAACCTCTTGGTATATGTATTTAGACACAACCCGACGGGCACTTTCCCCTTGTGTTGCTAGAGAGATGATTAGTTCAACGGCCTGGCCGACCCGTGGGTTAATTGCATCGGCTATTTGGAGAGCGAGTATAGAGACTAGTGAACTTTGACCGGTCCCGTTTTCTGGATTTTCTCGACTTTGACTATGATCATTAATCTTTCGATGTCATGCAATTGCTTCTCAGGGGCCCCAGAGTTCATTTTATCGCCTTTTTAATATAGTATTTCGCGTTTATGAACTCTCCGGATTACTCCTTACTGACTAGTCAGTGGACAGAGTTTTCGTGTCCAAGACGCCCGGTCCAGCAAATTTTATGAAGTTGATTAAATCTGGGTACGTGCGCTGTTGAGTCTCTGCGATGAGGGTTTTCCTGTTACCTTAGTCGACACATATAATACCATGAACCTGCGCATGAGGCTTGAATGGTGTAGGTAGCTTATCAGTATCATTCTTTTTTATCTCCAAGTTTGGAAAAGACTCAGCTCCAACATGAAGGCTTCCGCTCTTTTCTACATTCCACTCTTTGGCCTTGCGCTTGCCGCGCCTGCAACTCCGCAGGATCAATGCAGTGTTGAGACAAGCAATGTCTTCCAACAAGTATCTAGCCCAGATGGATCGTATGTAGACTCTCGTCTCTGTATGTATCAATGAGGTAACATGCTGACAGATTATCTTTGACAGTGGCGTTCAAGTAAAGGGATGCGACATTGCCATTCCGCAATCCTCAATCGAGGCCAACGGCCTTGATAAGCGAGCGATGCATGGGACACTCCAGGTCATGTGGACCATCACACTCTCAACCGCACAAGATATCATCATTCGCGCACTGGTGAACATGGTCAATGACCAAGTCACCTTGTTCACAGAGATGGCAGGCATGGGCGTCACTGTCGATAACGTCGCTCGGCTCTCGGGCACCCAAGTCGCCTTTGAGGTGAATGCCGCAGGAAGATGGGGTGACACCGCTGCCAGATTTGTCTATGACTTTGGCGTAGGAACCATCATCACCTTTATTAGAGAAGGTGCCCGGGACCCAAGAGGATACAATTTGCCAGTTGACACCCAGTACTGCTACACGAGACCGTGAGTTTGTCCACATCCGATTCGGAATCTATATTCTAACTCTGGTATAGGGCATAAACTTCAAATTACGGTGATGGTATGCACTGGCTAGTTGCGTTGTATCTCTTAGATAAATCCTTTTACCTAGAGATCGCATAGCATTGTACGGACGGATAGTGATGGTGGTCAGTGAAAGCATGGCTCACAGCATTACGTGGAGAGCAGAGCCATTCCGGTCTTCTGTGGGCAACGTAGAGATTGATATTAGTCTATTGTAGGCAAGGTGGAAGATGTTTGAGCTTCCCATAGGGTCTAAAGATACTTGAACCAGGACTGAACTAAGGGAGAAGAGCCAAGCGCGACCCGGAAGGGAGATTCTTCGAGTTATACTGCAATACATTCTTGACTGAGCGTGAAGTGTTCGAGTCAGCATATGTTTCGTCCTTACACAGAGTCTGATTCAGCAACTTACCTTCGCTCCAGCTGAAAGGCTCGACCTTGGACACGGCAATCTCCCACCAAAGCCGCAAACACCACGTCGCGACCAACCCATCTCTGATATCTTGGCTCAATGGGACCACGATCTGTAGCTTGTGAATCCCCTCCTCGCTCGTCTCATGCGCGAGAAGCGTCTTGTCGCTCCCATCGCGCCATTCCTGCCGTCCGCTACCCCGCGTCTTGACGTTAAACATCATCTCCTTGGCTTCTAGATCCGCCCCTTCTCTCGCTCTCGTCGCCCTCCAGGCGCGGTAACCCGATCCAACCAAGCGTCGGTGTGTCTTAATACCCACATGTCCCACGTTTCCGCGAGACACCGAGTTCAAGTGGTATGGGAAAGGGGGCTCAGTGACTGTTGGGTCTCGCTTTAGGTCGAAGATGTGCTTCTTTCTTGATGCTACCTGAGGACCGGATGCCCCAGAAGAGTCCCGCACACTGTTCTCATAGCGGTAAAACGAAACTGATGTATTGGACTCCCGCAAGTGTCCGATGGGGTAAGTGAGTTCGTATAATGGCGGTGATGAAGCTGAGGCGGTATTAAAAATGGTTGTTCCGGCGAGGAGAAGGGTCCCGGCGGGGATGAGGCCATCACTTGAAGTCGGGACTCCTTCAGAGTAGGAAGGAGGAACGTCGGCTACAGGATCACCCCCTGAGTATGCAGGGGTGGCTTTCTCGCTTTTGTCGCCGAACATCTTGTCGCAATGTCGTGTCGTAGGCAGACGACTTCAGTGCAGGAAAACGGCTTTGAGTACTAGGTTGTCCCGGGACTAGAGGCTTAAGCGTCGCTGAAAGGTCGAATAACTGCTGATTATGGTGGTGTTGTCAGGTACTCTCGAAACAATTGACAGGATTTATAACCTAAGGCTAGGAGATAATGTCCGACAATGCAAGATGGAGATCCTCAACGGCGATGGGTCCTTTGAGGTCGGGATGTTATAAGCTTGAAATATGTGGTTCGGAACGGTTGGGATTCCCGTCTTGGCTCTATGAGCTGTACTAACGCCACAGTTCCCGTGGTATGTATGATCTTCACGAATTCACTGTTTGGCATCGAAAACGAGCAGCAAACTTCCAATAATTTGGCTCACTGCAAGTTGCGCCACACCATATGACGTGTGAGAGGCCGAAATCGTGAACTGCTCACAGGGGCGGTGTAAATCCCAGTGGGGTTGTTTAGAGACTGCGCCCTGGCCTCTGGGCGCCTACCGCCTTGGCAGTGATGATGATGACTGCAGCCTGCGAGGGACTAGCCGGGTTGGGGAAAATATTGGTAAGACTTTGAGAAGGAATTGATCTTTTGTCAACTGCTCCATTTTGTAACGGGGCTTTTTAAGAGGTTACCATAGAGACCCTCGGGACATAAGGTCAGATGGTTCAGACAACAGCCAAAATGGTTCCAACCATCGTGGGGCCCCATGCAACACTTCAAAATGCGACATCGCAGCGGCCTTTCACCACCCGAGGTATCTGGAGGACGACTTTGGGAGGATGGCGGTCCATTTCATTGGGTTTTTATGAATACAAGGCTCCATTGAAAGCCGAACAGCTCAGGTCCCAATGTATTACCCTTCGACTTCTGTGATCAATAGTTCTCGGCCTTCAATACGGCCTCGAGGCGCGGGATATCAAACTGTTCCAGCGTTAGCCCCAGCCCAGAAATAACAGATAATCGATGCTCTGCGAAACCTTACCTCGATGCCGGCTTTGGTGTCCCATATCAATACTTCTCTAGAAAAGAGCATGTACGATAGGTTCTCATCCAGATTGAGTGCCGCGCTATCCAGTTTTGTTTGTGAAGCCCGAAGTTGTGTGATGGCTGACCCGCTGTCATTGAGCCACAATTTGATGACAGTATTGATGATCGGCATGTCCGCTCCACCAAAGTAAGGCCTCACATCGGCGCCTGGGATAGGGACGTGGATACTGGCGTTGTAAATCGTTCCGGCGGGCAAGGGTTTGATGAGCGCATCCGCCAGATTTCTCGCAAACGTCTCGTTCGACGTAGCATTCTTCGTAGCCATGGCCCAGAAGAAGGCGACCGGAGGCTCATTGCCGGGCTTCGCAGGAGGTTTCGGGGTACCCACAGTGATGTTGGTCAGAAAGGTCTCCGTCGCGATCATTGACATGGCAACCGGAAAGTCGTTGAAGTTGGCTCCATCAGGACCGATCACCGTCTCGGTGTAGTTCGTGGAGGGTGGGCCCAAGAAGGACGTTGGGGAGCTGCTGTAAAGCTCTGCGATGTCGTCGCGGCCGACGTAGACTTGGTTTGCTACGCTATTGTTGGCACCGAAGACCCCGTCAAAGACATGGCTTTGAATGTAGGCTGCCGGGAAGGAGTCGTCTCGAGGTGCGTTCCATGACTTCTGCCCGTGAACTAGTGTATGGTAGTACAGATACTCTTTGTGCGTGAGACCAGAGCGACGACGGACTACGGCGAGTTGCTTCGGGAGAGACTGCGCACGAGCGGAAATGATCTGACTCGCAACTAGGCCAAGCAGGAGGCCGATGGATGAGACTTGAACCATCTTAGCAATTCCGAAAAACAAGATTGAAGGTTGGCTGGATGCGATATCAAATCACGAAGAAAGAAGAGTACTGGTGGCTTCGAATCTCAAGTACCTACTTACTATTAAGGTCGCTGGAGCTTAAGTTGCTGAACCCCTCAGCCGATCGTTCATCCCTCCCGGTGGGGCCGGGCTGCCGAGGCCATAAGAACACCACCTGCCCGAAATGAAATCAATGATTTGTATAATACGATTGTTATGGCCCATCCAAGACAATTCGGTTCCTGGATTTCTAATAGAAGCCTCGCTATCCAATTGATCAGTAGCCGCATGGAAACCGCTTAGGAGCGAGATTCCGGCAGCATTACTCGGGTTCCGGAAAGTGGGTGGAATGACATTGCATCGCGACTAAACTTAATTAACTCCTGCATGTATTTGATCTAGTGTATCATTGAGCATCATCCCGTCCGCCAGTAAGAGCGAAGCTTTCGGGAACGTATGTTCTGCAGTATCAATACGCTTAATTATTCGGATTGCCACCCCTGTTGAGACGAGAGCCAGGGGAGCTCTAATCTCTTGGCTTGTTAATCCGCTCCTTACGACCATGTTCACCGCTTTGTCAGCGGGAGCCGCTCCTTATGAGCTGGGCGTCTTATCAACTGCACCTTTCCTTTGAACCAGCTCGACTATGCTTGACCTTTACAGCTCGTGTTGCAATCCCTCTTCCTGCGACTTGGTGATGGCACAGGATCCGAGCCACATGAGCCGCATGATGAAATCGGACGTTCTCTGAATACGTGTACTTTCTTCGCGCGTTGGAGTCCGTGGAATTGCTGTACGGATTGCGTTCGCAGCCGAAATGAGAAGCTCGAGATCGAGCTGGCCGTCCGTATCTTCTGGGTGTATGATCATGTTGAGAAACAGAGCAATGGCTGCATTGGTGGCGTAAAACATCAGAAGCCTGGGGACTTGATTAGTTGCTAGACATTTACCCACGAAGAAAACTGGATGCGTGCATGGGTTCAATGCTGCTTAAGGAAACCTGAGGGATTGTGATGACTGACCAAAAACCTTCGTTAGAGAAGGTATTCATGCACACTCGCAGGCATCGAAGCGTCGACCTGCCGGCTTCCATTGATAAGTCATAGCTAGAGTGAATGACCCTGTGAAGATCTTGGCCCCCGTCGCCAATTATCGTGTGTGCATCATATCGTCTGACTGTAGTATGGACGTAAATCATCAGATACCAATATTCTAGAAGAAGGTGAAAATATCGTCGTAAATGAGGTAGTTTTGTTTCAGGCGTAATTAGAAGAGTATTTAACGACACTGAGAGAGCTGGCCGGAAGTCCACCGGAACCGACAGACGCCAGCATTCGATTTCGTCATCTAGTTCCCGAATTGATATCAAGAGTCGATTGTCTTTGTCACTCAGGGCTTGTACTGAGTAAAGTAGCCGATATACTTTCTCTTTGAGGAACCCTAATTGAGCGTCTCCCGAGAAGTGGGGTGTGAGATCCGCATCGCCTGATGCATCTGGCGGGTGGAGATGCTCATCAAGACCACGTAGGTAGGTATAAGAGCTCAGGTAATTTTCTGGAATGGTGACATCACAGTAGATGTCAGCAAGAAGTGGAGGTTGTCCTGTTCGTAGGGACGAGTCTTTGTCCGACATATAGCAAACCCAGAAGAGGTTCCTAACATGTTGTTTTCTTCTCTCTGACAGCGAGATCTCTCCTGTGAGGGCATTCGAGGGCTGACAAAGATGCCCACCGAGTGCACCGACTGTACGGCAAGCTGCTGGTAGTAGCGAATCGGCTTCTTGCCAATAACCGCATAGAAGACGTTGCACATGCTTGACTTTAAATTTAGCGTGCCGATCATTGCATGAACTACTGCGAGCCAATATCTAGGATGAATTCACCAGTAATAGAGTTGTTTGTAACGTTGCCAGGCTTGCATACCCGATAAGTTGACTGAGAAGATAGCTGGCTCTGGCTGCGCTCTCATTGCCGTCTAGCCCTAGAGAACCAGGCTGAGCATCAGGTAGGAATGTCATGAGGCTGACGGCTCCAAAGACGCAGGCCCGGGCAGCCAGGCGCACTGGAGGAGGTAAAATATTGTCGGGATCTCCATAAGCCTCGTTGATTGTGTCTTCGAAGAGGACCTTGTCAATGAGTGGGAACCTTAAGCGGAAAGATGAGTTGAGGTACGAGGAAAGAAGCTCTCTCAAAGAAGCCTGATCTGGAAGATGACAACGATCTGGCGAAAGCTGCGCATGTAACTTTGCGAAGGGTGATGGCTTTGCGGTGAATATTTGAAGTTTACTCCAATCGATGGTCTGACCAGTCTTGGAGGAGATCCACCGGCGGCCGTCTTCCGAGAACGCGTGAATGCCTCTGAAGAACCAGTTGGGACCGATATAGCTGCCGGGCCGGGACCCATCTGCTGACGGTGTGATATGAGTGTCATCAACACTGGCGGGGGTCTGAGAGAAGACCAGTGGAGAGAGTGATTGCTCGGAAAAAGCAATAGAGTTCTGAATAGTTGCTGGAATTGTACTTTGGACAGATGCTGAGTTTGGAGTCTCCTCAGATACGGATATCGCTGGAGTTGGTTGGCCTTGATTAGGGGTGTCTGGCTGAATTGGTTGCTGCGAATTCGCCTTGGCTAGCGCATCTTCGAGCTGCTGTATGCGATTGTTGAGGCCTTGAACGTCGCCCAACGTTACCCTAAGGGAAAGAACCGTTACTGGTCAGCAACGGCGCGTTATAGGAATATTCTTCCTTTGGCAAATGGTTGGAAGTTACAGACTTGGCTTTCTTCTTCCTTCGTGGCGCATCGCGGTGAAAGGTGCATTCGGAATCATGATGGCTGCACCAGTCGCACGGAGGGCCCTCTGCAGGGATGAGACATTGGATCTGGGGTAACAAAGTACATGGGTTAGCAACTGAGTTTATTTTCCTATTGATATACGAGTGACTTCATCGGCCTCACCTTTCTACGATAGCAGATATCGCATGCTCGCTTTGGTGGCATTTTGGCATTGATCAGCACTCCCTGGGAGCTGGCGAAGCTGCCGGGGCTGGGTGGTGCAAGACAGCATCGAATTAGACACACGGAGCAAACTCAGCTCCGTCGGCGGCCATGGTTCAGCTTTTGAAAGATCCTCTACCATGACTAAGCGGGGGATGAACACAGGTTTGGCTCCGATGACATAAAATTCGTCTCCCACTCTGCAGAGAGAGGATGGGCACTAGACCAAAAATGGGACAGACATGATTCAAGAGACGGGTTGATGGCTTTATTCTTACTTTCAAAGCTCTGGGATGACATCCATCTGCCAGAAAGATTTGGTTCAAGAAGAGGCATCAGCATACGATGACTGGCCGTTTAGAGAGAAAAAGACTATTTTGACTAAAGCAGTTCTGAGTTGAGAGACGACTTGCCAGAGCAGAATCTGGTTGCGCAGAGATGAGTGACATAAGGTGCCTAGCAACTCGAGGCACGGACGCGGAACCTGATTTACCTCCGTTGCCTCGACCCACGCGCTCACGGACTTTTCAACCAGGGCCTAAACCTCCCTGTTCGGAACCTCAACGTTTCCGTACCCAATTGCTTGCACCGCAGAGATTCAGGAATGTTTTCACCTCCCCCAGTCTTCCCGTAACTATGAGATAATAATTCCTGCTCACCGTTCATCTGAAGTCACGCCACGCCAAGGTTAGAATGTCTACCCGTACATTATCTGATGCGGCCCTGCCCGGGCCTAAAGCCATCAAGCTTTCTCCGGTTTCTGCGCAGTCAACTATATAGTCCTCTCATCCTTATCAGATCCTCGCATTTGAGGCTTTCGCAGACCAGTTATGAATGATGACGTACACTCAGCCTCTCCCCGATGAAGAGGCCATCCGGCCCGACGAGCAGACGCCGCTTCTCGGAACCGGAGCAGGCCAAGGAGATGGCTCGGTCTCCGAAACCCACCGGGTGGATCCCCGAATCGCACGCCGGCTCTACCTGTCGCACTTCCTCTCGACTTGGAATTCCCGGATGTTCGAGTTCGGCGCCGTGCTGTACCTGGCGACCATCTTTCCGGGTACACTGTTGCCCATGTCACTTTATGCGCTTGCCAGAGGGTTATCAGCGCTAGTCTTCGCGCCTACAGTTGGACAGTATATCGACAACAATGACCGATTGAAGGTTGTGCGCGCATCAATTGGTGAGTCTCGGCGCATGCGAGTCTACAACTGATAAGACTGACTTGTACTGACATGTTTTCGCCAAGTCTTCCAGCGACTCGCAGTATCGGCATCGTGCGTCTTATTTTATGTCCTTTTCATCGGGCTACCGCTAGGTGATTATGGACGTCCGGCTCTGCTTGCGCTCCTCTCATTCATGGCTTGCGTTGAAAAACTGTACTCCATCGTGAACATGGTTTCAGTAGAGAAAGACTGGGTGAGTCTGGCTTGATTTCCGCTAGGCAAAACGACGACTCTAATGGGTGACTAGGTTATTGTCATCGCCAAGGGTGACATCGAAGCTCTAGCAGTTCTCAATGCGCAGATGCGCCGCATCGATCTTCTCTGCAAGCTACTCGGGCCACTGTCCATCGCTCTTATTGACGGATTCTCCACAAAGGCAGCGATTATCGTCAACTTCTCTATGAACACCGCTTCTGTTGCTATCGAGTATTATGCCATTGCCAAGATTTATAACGAGGACCCTGATTTGCAGGAGCTCAAGTCTAAGCCAATGTCTACCTCCGAAACAACGGCAGCATCGGTAAATCCTGGCAAAAAGGTCCTGGGCCATATTAAGAGGTCCGTGTCCGACTTCAAGTTCTACTTTGGCCACCGCGCATTCTTGCCATCGTTTGCCTGCTCTCTACTATACCTCACAGTACTGAGCTTCGGAGGCCAGATGGTCACGTACTTGGTCGCATCAGGTTTCAACACAACGTACATCGGCATTGCAAGAACAATCAGTGTGGTTTTCGAGGTGTTGGCGACTTGGGTTGGGCCTTGGCTTGTGGGTCGAATTGGACAAGTACGCGCTGGCCTTTGGATGAGCAATTGCCAGGTTCTTCCTTTGATCGGCGGCTTAGTGGCTTTCTGGGTCTTCATGCCGAACCCCCTCATATCGGCAACAAGCCTCGTGATGGGAGTCATTATCAGCCGTCTTGGTCTCCGCGGCTTTGACCTATGTACTCAAATCATCGTCCAAGAGGTGAGAAGCTCCCGGCCCAGGGAAATCTTTGGTGTGAAAATGTCTAATACGAGAATTCAGGAAGTCGAAGCCGAGAGCCGTGGCAGATTCTCGACAGTCGAGGCGGCCTGGCAAAGTGCATTTGAGCTACTTTCATACATGGCGACCATAATCTTCTTCCGGCCTTCGCAGTTTAATTGGCCCGCACTGGTTTCTGTTGCGGCCGTGACTTCTGCAAGTCTGGCGTACACGCTCTTCGTATGGAAGAGGAGAGGGCATCTGCTTCATTTTGAGAAGTTTGGACTGTAGCCTGAACTCCATCTATTTACCCAACATATTACTGTATAAAAAGGGGGATTTTCATGTGTAATTGTAATGAAAATGGAAAGCATGGGGACACCTTTACCACGGAATTGTAATTCCTCTGGAGACTTAAACTCTTCAATGTTCAGAGTGTTGAGATTGATGTACTTTGCTGGCTATTTCTCAACCATGATACCGCAGCAGAACTATACAGCTTCCTTGGGCTTCTCAGATATTTGTTTCATCGTCCCCTATCCCGTTCAAACACCCTAGACAGGGCAAAGCACGGGTCCTGCGAGGGACTGGGTGCAGGACTCTCCGACCTTACCGATACAACTTCCGGAGGTGCAGTCCTTGATAATTCCGTTTTGAGAGCAGGCACCAAATGCCGCGCAGACACCAGCCTATTCCATGTTAGTGGGCAGACTCACGACTCATCACTAGTATAATCCTCGATGGGAACCACGTACAGAAATAGGCATGGCGAAGGCCAATGCAGCAGCAGCAAAGGCAATGACACGCATGTTAGGCGGCTATCGGATTTGACTTCTAGTTGAGCTTTTGAAAACGAAGGTGGAAAATCAGAGATAAGTGCGTTTCCGAAGCGAGAGGCAAGGTGAGAAGAGTTGATGAGACTACAGCGGGGAGATGTCCATCAACTCAGAGGGACACAGCGTTGCCTTAAGTACTATTCCAACTGGCCGCAGGCTTTTAAGATGATTTGCATTGTTCCTACAGATATCACGACTCGGCCGAAAGTTGCTCTTTTCGTAGACCTCGTGCCGAGAAACAACGGTAATGAGTCAAATTGGAAGACCCGAGTTGCTTGGCTAGTCATGAAGTCAATGTCTTTAGGTTCTCGCCAAGATCGTACGAAATCATGATATGTGGGTTTCATTTCAAGTTCAGTAGAATCATAAGCTGCTTGGCCCTACTGGCTCTTGTACACGCGCGTAAAGCCGGACCTGGAATAGGATAATGCCGTCTTCCACGATCGTTCCAAGCGAGCCCATTAGCCACGGAAGGCTGGTAAGTAAATACTCTTTGTCTTGCTTGTACGCAATGACACTCATTCCATACGTCAGATTTCCGGTAATGGACAGCAGCAGGAACAGCGGCGCAAGACCTGCAAAGTTTCAGCTGATATCGACATTTCAAGTAGTAGTCGGGTAAACTGACCTTCACAAGACTTTCCTCTGTAATTCTTGATGATCTGAGGAATCCGGGCACTGCACTCTCAAGTCAGTTGGTGCAACATTTTGCAAGTTTATCATCACATACCACAGATAGCAGATCGCGCCGATGACTCCCAATGCTGAACCAACAGATTCGGAAATACCTGGCAGTTCTGTAACGCTGACGGCTCCAGGAGGATCCTCACCGCCAAGCAACCCAAGCTGACGAAGCAAGAACCATCCTGAGATCCCCAGGATAGCGACCATGACAAGGCATGCCGCATTAAACCGCCAGTCGTGCAGAGTGCGTACAGTGCTAATGTCGGTTTCCTCATCCTTGTCCACAACTTGAGTCGAGCCGGGAGAGGCAACTTGGTAGTGACCCGTTGAGTTCACGTCTTCAGAAGAGTCTGCGGGTTCGAGAAGAGGTCGTCGCTCGGGAGATTGCGATCGTGGCGTGCTGGGCTGTACGAGGTTTTGGATCCGACGTTTGGAGTTGTAGTACAGGCACTGGCAAATGAGTGTGGAGTCCGAAAAGCAAAGATATGTTGTCACGGCTATGCTTGCGGGCGCGATGCCGTTCGCTAAACCGCCTGTATCGTGAATGGTGAGTACGTGTAGTCTGCGCATGCAGCCGGTAGACTACCCGGGAGAACAAATCCAGAGATTAGGTTGGCTGGGCTTATGCGTGTGGTCTTACCTAGTAAATTGGTGACATCTCCCAAAAGCCAAATGAACAGGAATGCCATAGATAAGCTGTCCGCGCTCTTCAACTTGTAGTTGGCGGCAAGCTGCGGGATCTAGAGATTGTAAGTAGATGGTCCCGGAACTTTAGCAAGAAACGAGATATACCAAGAGGCAGAGAAAAGCAGCCATGCTGATGCTGCCGAGTATCTCGGATGCGTCATCCTGGGAGATAGGGCCCGGCGATAGCAACGCAGGTTGTCCCAGATTGACGGCGGCCATAGTGAAGAACGAGAGGCGCTAATTCAAGTTGTCAGACTAACAAATACATCATTATACATCGAAGTAGAGAGCACACTCACTCAGATTTTATCAACCCAAAGAGAGACAAGTTAGGAGAGTGTCGCGTGCAGCAGCAGGACGCATAGTTATCAATGACGATAACAAAACTATTCCGTTATCTTCCGCTGAGTCATCTCGTGTGACTGTGATCAGACGGCGGCGCTTTGAGCGGGCATTGGCATGCGGGTAACTCGGTTAGGCTTTATGCGCTTTAGTGGGCGCGTAGTTGGTCACAGGGTCCAAATAGCGGTGTCTCATGCGCTTATCCTCTGCGCCCGACAACTGTTGAGGGTCTTGGTTGATGAGACCATGTTGAATTTTGCTTCTCGAATCCAGACAAAGTAGGCTCCTGGCTTCTCAACTCAAACATAAATGTCTTTGAGCTGCTTGTCAGCTCGCTGGGTAGGCCGCACGTTTGAGATTGTTTTGTTACTAAATTTGTAGAAGAACGACAAGCAGCAGATGAGCCACTGAGTGAGCTGTCACATGCATAGTGTATACAAAGGATCCGCCACAGAGGAGTTGATAAACGACTAGGAGCTTAAAGTGGAGAGACCAGGCGTGCCAGACTCTTGGTAACGACCTAGTTCCAAGGATAAGTCGTCCCCCGAGCTCTTCTAGCTTGAACCTCCGCTTCAGACTGATCGTATAATTCGAAGTATTGGGACAGAAGCTCTGTCAGTCTCCCGGTACTTTCGGATGCTGCGAGCTCCATAGTTCTGGCGCGACCACTTTCGGCGTAGTTATCTCCTTTATCCTGCAGGCTGGAGGCGAGCAGTAAGACCTTCTCGGGTGAATCTTTCCAGTAGGACTGTCGTGATTGTGGATTAGTTTAAACTTTCTTCGTGAAAGTAATACGTCAATGTCTAGTTCTCAAAATTGAGAGAACGCACATCTGCTTGCAACGCAATGAATGGCGCTGCTCTGACTAGCTCCCAGTCTTTCCTCGGTCTGTAAGATGTTGTAGAAATGCCATGGGCCCGACAGAGCGCATCTCTAGCCCTAGCTTCTTCCTTTTCAGAGCTAAGAGGGGCGTTGAGAAACTCCTCATAGATGTTGCTGAACTTGCTGTCGTTGGCTAGATGAATTGCCTCAGCTAGAGCTTTCTGGGTGTCTGCCAATGGCACTTGTTCCCAGGAGAATTCAGAGATCGCTACATCAAATTTCTTCACGGGAATTCCAGCCTCGGCGCCTGCCTTGTTTCTCAAAATGTCCTAGATGACCATATGTTCTGTCAGCTGCCTAGAGAACTGCGGTGTATGTCGAATGTGGAGGAAGACTTGACCAACTTTGAACTCACGATGCTGATCATCGAAAACGGCTTTCTGTGCCTTGCTGAAGTCATGCACAGCCATTTCGGCAAGATTCTGTCAATGCAAAGGCTGTTGAAAGTTGGCTTGCCTGCAATCAACAAGGTCCAATTGATGTATTCAATCCCAAGTGTATTCCGCTCGAGAATGAAAAATACCATAAACGCCTCGAGCGGGGAAGTGAGACTTTATGAGCCCAAGTGTTATTGTTTGAAGCTAGTTCTCGACTGAGCCATCGCTCAAGGCACTATGACGTACTCTGCACTGACATGATCTTCTTTCGCGGCACAAATGTTTTAGCGACAAGCTAGATACGAAGTATTGCGCAATTACATTCGTGCTTTTTGTAGGAGACCGCCCTTCCTAAACATGTGTTCGGGACACAGGCTGGCGTCTATATGTGGACGGTTGTTGCAATATACACTCTATGTAGCATTGCAAGGTCATGAAGCTCGGCGATCAAGGTATTAGAAAGATTTGGCAGGATATGGGTATTGACTCAATTACTGCGTAAATCTATACATGGCCTGAGAGACTAAGACAACAAGGTGACATCTCCAACTACGGGTCTGTGATCGCTAATGAGCATGCCATTGACCAGGTTGTTCTGGATCTCGTATCGCTGGACCGAGTACTTCTTCGCATCTTTAGGCCCAAGCCAGACAAAGTCGATGCGGCTTCCCTGCTTGGTCGTATCGAAGGTGGTGTAGGTCAACTGGTTAGGGCCGATGCGCTGTTCAGGCGTAGCCATGTTGTACAACTCCTCCATGAAACCCGTTCCTGTCAACGCTTTGTACCCATCGCCGTTGGGGTCAGAGTTGAAGTCGCCGGTGAGTGAGACGCCCAGAGGGCCGTATGTTGTCTGCACAGCTTGAATCTTGGACACCGCGACCTTGATTCCCTCGCTTCGAGCCTGGGAGCTAACATTGTCCAAGTGCGTGTTGGCGTGGATGAACTTCTTTCCACTAGCGGTATGCTCGAAGACAGCGATAGTAACGATGCGCTTGCTGCCTGCTCCCCAGCCAGACGAGACAGTATCGGGTGTCGGCGACAGCCACTTCGTCTCTTCATGGAGCAGCTTGAGGGCGTTGGTGCGGTAGAAGATGGGGTTGTACTCGCCGCTCTTCTTGCCGTCATCGCGAGCGACGCCGACGTGGGCCCAGCCGGAGCCGAGTCCGTTCTGGATGTCGCTGAGCTGGTTGTCGAGAACTTCTTGAAGACCGATAACAGTGACGGCGCCTGAGGGGGCATTTGTGCCTATGCTCTTGATCGCGTCGATGACATGGGGCTGGCGGCAGCGGTCCTTGGAGATACCGCAAAGGATATCCCACCACGGCTTTTCGCCGGATTCGCGTGAGCCGGCGTCGTATCGGATGTTGAACGAGGCAACACGGATGGGGAGACCCTGGCTCAGAGCGACTCCGGCCAAAAGAATGGGCGCGAGAAGGGTCTTGATCTGCATCTTGGGGCAAGAAACGAATGACTGGGGTTAGAGCAATAAGACTCGATGCTGATTAAAATCCTCGAACCACAATACCTGCGACTGTCTCTTATATACTTGACCATTGTTTCCTTGTCCATCGCGAGAAAGATGACCCGAAAGCTACAAAGTACAGCCCAATAAGGCAGTTGAATAATTGATTGACAGGGATCCCCTCCAAGACGTCAACGTTCCGCGGGATGTAGTGCCCCTCGCGAACGCCAAATCGACACGTGGGTAGCATTCACGCTGATTTTGATCTTGAGACGCGGATAATTATGCGAATAAGGGTCAATAGCCGCTGCTTGCCCAGAGGAGCGATGTCATATTGGGCGGGATCTGCCAGATACATGCCCCTCCCTTGCAAAGAGGGGGTCGCAAGTAACCTTAATGGCAAGCCTATTAAGAGCCGAGCCACACGGCCTCCCACGCCAGTCTGGCATTGATAGTGGCCGTCTCAGAGTCTTCTTTTTTAGTAGCGTTGAGAGTAGAAATAGACGCCTATCATTAAGAACCGGACGAACCATCGCACCAGCGATACGGGACTTATTACATAAACTCGACTAAGTAGTAAAATTCGTTAGTTGTACTCCGTGGCCGGTTTTGCCTACAGTGGTGGCAGGCCTGTCGTCTGTCCACCTGGTGTTGCCGCTCATATCATATAGTAAAGTACGTAAGGTATTGTTCTCTTGAATGGACCATAGTTCAGCGAAACTCAAAGTCTGAGGCCGAACTTTCGCCCCGAGGGAAGTAGAAAACCGAAGGTCTCATCTGCGCTTATCGTAGGCTTGATGTCTTGCAGCCTCCAGGAATTGCCGCCCATGATACATCGTCTGGGCGTCTTTAGGCGGTGTGCGTACGTCGAAGAGCTTGTAGGACCCTCAACGACGATGGAACTGATGGATCTCAATTTGAACATCCCAGTCCATGATCAGAGTCTTGCCAACTGGGTACCGGGAGTTTATCAATGAATCCATCTATGCGTTCGTGAGCTTGTCTAGCTCATTACCACTTAAATCGTCAGTAAAGCACGCCAGCTGTTATTCTCTGTATTCCCAGGCGTATGACTGGCCTTTATGTCATTCTCTATTTGATGAAGAGCTGGAATGTTGTCACAGTCGTGTAGGCTCTCTAGCTAGTCGGTCATGTGCGAGGTTGTCAGACGGCCTCTCATTATCTGCAGCAGCGAATCAAAGGTCGTCTGTAAGCCTGACCTTCCTCCGTAGAACATGCCTTGGAAGCTTTTGGAGCGCGGCGTAATGAATAACCGCATGTTCGATCTCAGGAATCTTGTTCTCCACCTATCCTTGGAGCTGCTTGCAAGTGGTCACAGACTTTGGTGCATCCGACTACAATGTGGCCAAGAAATTGATCGATTGCATTGGGATGTAGAGACCTGGAGAGTAAACCAGAGACAGCACGCTGGCTCTAGTTCCTTGGTTGAAGATTGAAATTGAACTCTTTGGAAGAGCCCGATAGCTTCCATCTTGCAAGTAGCTGTCCATTCTTCACCAAAATCTGACGCAGCATGTCATCCCTATTCTCTTCAAAGTCAGGTTTTCCGTCCTTCATACGTAGGTATGGCTCCATGACCTTTAGCGCTTCTCGAATCCACTGCTCGGCCCGGCTCTCATCAATCCTACCCGCAGCAACTAGCTGACGCTTAATCTGTTCCACTTGCTGTCCCTTGTCGACATCAAAAGCAGAACACATCAGTCCAAGAAGAACGTGCGATCGTATCCCATAGTCCAAGTCTTTCACGTCCACACCTTCTGTCTCCTTCATTTCAACAGCCGCTAGGAAGGCAACCTCCTCTTCGCTCCCTACTTCCGGCTCCCACCCTCTGCTGCGCGCCTGCTCACCCACCCCGCCGTCCGGCCATCCACACCAGTTGACCTCGCTCTCACGCGTCCCATCCAGGTCTGGCTCAAGATACGGCGTGTTGACAGTTTCCCATCGCTCCTGCGAATAGTGTGCTTCCCAAGCCCACATGTCGAAACGTCCCTGTGCGACGGAGGTGCCAAATTCGTTGTGTTTCCATGCGTCCTTCGAAGGCTTGCCGGGGCATTCCATGTTCATGTACTTGAGCCAGAAGCGAGCTTGGGTTTCCGAGTACGGCTGGACGCTCGGATAGTCCTCTCGCAAAAGTGCGATGGTCTGCTCGAGAGTGCTCAGGGCTATCTGGGTGATGGTGTCGACGGGGAGGGATTGTTGTCGTTGGCGAGTGCGCGCGACGTTGTGTGCCCAACGTGCAAGCTTGGTTAGGTGGCTATTTCCCTCTTGGCGTGGCTGCGCGAGGGGGTCACTCGAGTCTGGGAGGTCTCGCAGGTCGGGAAGGCGATAGAAGCGAGACGAGATCGGCTGTGCAAGAAGACTAGATGAATAGTATTTTCGCCAAGCATTCTCGTCGAGTAGCTCATGATGCTCTGCGTAGAATTCGTCAAAGTCATCTGCCGATGCAAACTCGCCCTCGCCCTGGTCTGAGGAGCGGTACATGGCGGCTGCTAGTTGAGCGAGATAGAATATGTCCAGAGTCCTCTTCATCGTAAGCTCAATTTTCTCAACCACAAAGTTCCTTGTAGCCAATAGACCTACCGGTTGAATCTCAAGTCTCCATGGCCAAATGACCAACCGCGTGTGTGAAGTTGCTCTATAACATTGAACACGCCTCTGCCATCCCACAACGCTTCATCTAAGTAAATGAACGCTATTCGTAGTAGTTGACCATGACTGTTGGCTGATGCACCCCGGCTTTCGATACTCTTGTGAAATTCTTCAGCACTCATGGCTAACAATGTGACGATCCCCCACCATGACAGCTAGAATTTGAAAGGTGTACAGATAGCAAGAGGTGTAGACATGACCGATTCTAGGCGGCAATCCTCCCAGTTTCTGCGGGGCTGCAAGACTTGCTCGCCTTACGTAAGTTTAGGCCAGGTTTAAAAGTAACAGCCTGTGGTCAATCTGTGGTCAGGAAACGCGTTTGGTGATTCTGTGTGTGAGAGATGTGATTTCATGTTCCAAAGCGATCCTGTCAGAAACTTTGTATCACGCTGACGGCTTACGAGGTAGCTTGATTTGGGGGGACTCTGGCTCCCGTGACTCAAAATTCTGACGAGTTTGTTGCACTCTCCCTATTTGGATATGCTAGGTACTCCATATATGAAGTTGATTTAGCCTAGAATTAGAGGTCCTGGTTGATCTAATCATCTGGCGGTTCACTGGCAAAGCGTCGCTTTACACTGGTAAAAGGAGTGCGATATGTGAAACTCGGACGCAATGAAAATCATACCACACTGCCCTGTAACACGTTGCCTTGTTTGTGTTTTGGACAAAGCGAAAAAGAACTGTGATCTGCAATTAACCGCTTTTTGGCTGTATTCAAGTCACTTCGTCATCCCCCGTCCTCGGCACTGGGGTCCGTAGCATTGCCTCATTAGGCATTTCGGAAGATGCGCCAGTCGAGATTGTCTCTAGACGGAACAAGAAGCAGTGCTTTTGAGCTTCAAATGGTCGTATTGTCACGGCTTTGTGTCGGTTAAATGCTAAGACGCGAGTTCGCGAGACCTTCGGGACTGAGACAGGATTGGCGGCATGTTGATAACCAGGAGACCTAAAACAATCAACAAGGATCGAAGCCCACCACAAAAAAAGCGGCAAGGAGAGAATTTTCCTTAACCCGGTTTGGATATCTAGCACAATGGGACGCATCTCGCATTTTCTCTTATGCCTTACGTTCCTTCAAGGCGCCTTTGCGGCGACTCTCATTGCCTCGCACTATAGCGGGCAATTGTACACGCTGAACTTATCGTCAACAAACCAACTCACTATTACGAACACAGTCAGCGCTGAGAATCGCATGCCAGCATGGCTTGACTTTGACCCTGCGTCGAAGACCGTCTACATTCCGGATGAAGTACAACGGGGCCAGCCACTCCTGAAAAGCTTTTCTGTTGCAGCTGATGGCAGTTTGACATCGAAGGCGCAAGTTCAGACAGCTGGGGGCGAGCTTCATAGTACGTTCTATGGATCTGGCAATGGCTACATCGCAACGGCACAATAGTAAGATTGCAGAACCGATTCTCTCGAGAGATACCCTTCACTAACGGATTTTATAGCGATGCATCGACAATTTCCACCTATGGACTCCCGCTGGGCGGCACAAGTCAACCCTTGCAAACTTTGACATTCACCATGTCCCAGCCAGGACCGGTGCCATCTCGGCAGGACAAACCTCACCCTCACTCAGTCTTTACGGATCCCAGAGGGAAATATCTTCTTTCTGCTGACCTAGGAGCCGATCTGATTCGTGTCTTCAGCATCGGATCGTCAGGCATTCTGACTCAATGCACATCTTTTTCGACTGGCTCCGGAGACGGACCCCGCCATGGAGCGTTTAGAACACAGGGCAATACAACATTCCTGTTCACCGTCAACGAGTTATCCAACTCTCTGACATCTTGGTCGGTAACATACCCGGCAACCGGTTGTCTTGTTCTTGCGAAGAAGCAGACCCTGTCCACATTTCCTCCCGGAAAGGCTGCACCGGCTGGTTCGAAGGCAGCCGAAGTTCACGTCAAAGACAACTTCGTGTACACCTCGAACAGAAATGACCAATCTTTCGGGACACAGCAAGACTCGATCACGGCTTTCTCGATTGATCCCTCGACAGGCCTGGTCACATACCTTGAGACCACAAGTGCTTACTCATTCTTCCCTCGAACATTCTCGATTAATAATGCCGGAACTATGGTTGCCATCGGTGGGCAGACGAGTGCCAACGTTGCGGTTGTGGAGAGAAACGCCACCTCGGGTAGACTTGGAAAGCTTCTTGCAACTCTCAAGGTTGGCAATCCAGGGACTGTGAATCAAGAAGATGGTCTCAGCGCTGTGATTTGGAACGAGTGAGCGCGGCGTTATAAAGAGAACAATCGATGCACATAGCCACATCATTCCGTTCATTACATGTATTATCATGAGATCTAAGAATCTAGTATACTCATCCAATATCATCATAAGTGGTATCTTCAAGGCAAAGACGCATCTTCAGAACGCTTCAATCATTTCGCTTTGCAAAGTCGGTTCGCATAGTCCACAACACTCCACTCCTCGCTCCCCGGTGTAGACCAAGAGAAGAATACGCCATTGGGATCCCACTTCTTCTTGATCGACGCGAGCTTAGGGTAGATGGGACCCCAGAAAGCATCTTGCCAATTCTTCATGAAGGCATAGTTCTGTCCGCAAAAATTAGGACTTGTTGTACTGTGTAAAGTCAGGAGACGGCGGGCTTACCTCATTCACGTATGCCAGGCCGTTCGGACCAGCCTTCTTGAACTTCTCGGTGATGGTGTTGACCATGAGATCATTGAGGGCCAGCTTCGTTGCCCACGTCGCGTCCAGGGCCTGCGGCAGGATAGCCATGGTTCGCATGGTAGCGCCTCTCCACTTGGGGTGCGTTGCGCTTTCAGACTTCTTCTCATTACTTCCCGGATCGAAAAAGTGGCTGATGACGATGCCGAACTGGTTCGGGGCCGGTGCCAGAGCCAGTTGTATGGCCTCAGCGATGGCCGGCTGGTTGCTCGCCATGTCGTCGTGGGTAAAGACCCAGCCGCCTGTCAGACCGTTCTGGGCCGCACGCTCAGGTTCGAAGATGTCGTGGAAGAGGGCGTAGTAGTTGGGATACTCCTTGATGCCGAAATCGTAGGGGATCTTCTCGGTGTCGAGGTATGTGAGGAGGGGCTGGACTACGGCTTGGAGCTGCTTTGCGGTCTTGTTCATTCCCATGATTGGCTGCACGTGCAGTGCTGGTCCGATCGCTGGAGGGTACAACTCGTAGATCCCATACAGTCCGTTGTCGACCATTTGGTTCCCCAGCGCGTTGAGCTTGTTGACGGCTTTGGTGACTTGGTCGAAGTTGGCGCCGGTGGTAGCGTTGACGTTCAAGAAGAGGGCTGCTCCGGGAATGGTGTCGGGGTATGTCTTGACAGTGACGGATAAGACAACCGCGTAGTTACCAGGGCCGCCTCCCCTGAGAGCATAGTAAAGATCAGAGTTGGAGTTGGCGTTGGCGGTGACAAAGTCCCCGGCTGCGGTGAGAACTTCAAAGGAGAGCGCCTGGTCGGCGCCGAAGCCATAGTTGCCACTCAGGGGGCCGTGACCACCACCTCCCATGAAGCCACCCGCAACTCCCACAGTCTTGAACATGGTTAATTAAATAAGGCAGATGGATCGGTACAAACTTACTTCGCATTCGCCGGTGACCACATTCTGCGGTGGGTTTCTGGCATGAGCTGCGTCCGAGATTTCGTAGCCTTGAACTCCGGCACCGATAGTCATGGCAGGCCCCTTGTAGTCTCCGGGACCTTTGTATGAATCAACGAAGGAAATGTCCTTGAAGTTGTGAGTGTTGATTGCCAAGGATCCAGCACCTGCACTTCTTCCCTCAAAATCGTGGCCCGTATTGCGGATGACCAGGCGCAAGTTGTTCGACTTTGCAAAGTCCACGCCGGCCTTGACCTGAGCTTTCGTTTTGGCGATGATGACGAACTCTGGGTAGTTGCCAAGAGCACAAGTCTTGGTGGGGTCTGTGGTCAGTTCGCAGGTGTTGTTGCTTCCCCACGTCCACAGCTGCGATGCAGGTTGAGAGATTCTGATAGTCCACTGTTAGTTCCGGACTTGGTTCTCGACAGCTCCGCGCCATAGGTGAGACTTACTGCCATCTCTCATCCGTCCACTTTGCGGTCGCCTCGGCGCACTTGGCGGCATCGTAAGTTGCGATACCACGATACGTGTTGTAGCAGACTGCAGCAGGCGGAATGTGCTGAAGGAGAGCTCCTCCAACGGTCTTGTTCAGTTTACTCCAAGCATCGGCCTTGGGCCAGCAGCTGTCGGCTGGAGAACATCTGCACTCGTACTTTTTGCCATTCTCCTCGTACGCGACGAGCTTGGGCGTCGAAATCGCACTGACAACCCAAGAAAGGCACGCCAGAAGCACAACGTTGGCCATCGAAGCCCGTGTCATCTTGCTGGAAGACTTCTGCGTTTCCGTCCGATCGCTGTCGTCGTTACTGTTGCTGCTATCGACTAATGGTCGCTGGCCTACTTCAGAAGCAAGCTGCTCCAAGGTCGTGCTCCTCTTGGACATTTTGTATTCGGATTCGAGCTTGACACTAGTTTTCTCGGTGTGGTCGCCGAGCTGCAAGACACCGGCGCGAAGCTCTCTCCCTCGCTGTGTGAGAGGCGAATATCACCTAGCTGCATGGCCTGCGTTGTACTGCAGCGAAGCTAGTTGTTAGTCTTGTGGGAGGGGGGATCGGTAGTGAGATCTAAGTTGTTTCTCCGAGTGAAAGAGAAAGAGACAAGAACTACCATCCCCGAACCGCAAGTTCTCAAGTTCTCAGTAGCCGAGCAGTCAAACGGGTGGTGGGGAAGGGTAAGGTGTCAGCAGGGAGGGTCTTGGTATTAGCCGCCATCTGTCTGCTGTGTCAGCCACATCGGCGGCACGGGAGGGTCAAAGGAGGAATAACGCTGTCGCGACAAGTGAATCGAAGCGAGAAGTGAGTGTGGTTAGCTAGCGCGTATAGTAGCATCGACGGCGTGGTGCGAGTTAAGATCATGCGATTAGTCGGGGTCCAGTTCCATGACTTGGAGCAACGCCAGTGGCTGTGGCAACGTGCCGATAGACGTTGGGGTACTAATTAGCGTTCAATGACGGATACATGCAATTTTGCCAATGGACATAAACTCCTAGAATGCGAGCTTCTCGTCTCTCCAGGGAGGCGTCAGAGTCAAACTTCTCCAGATATCTTTTCGTCAAAATATTGCTTAGACAAGGTGTGTACAGCGAGGGAGAGAAGCGCGGATCGTGAACGCAGGGGTCGAGCAAGAATCAGCCAAACTTCAGTCAGTTGCCCAAGTTGTGGGGGTAAGACACGGGCAAATCCCGAATTTCACAAACGTCACCGCGGCTCCAGCGAAGCTTCAGAGAAGCTTCAAGTCTGTATCCGTAAGTGTAGAGTGGGACTTCCGGCAGGCAAATCTCCTAATCTATGTAAGTTGCGCGGGAGCTGGGGTCGCATCATCCGAAGTCCCCTCCCAAATTTGGGTCGATAATTGGATGGCACACATCCCCATGTCCTGGTACAGTATGCCGAGCCGCTCGGCACGACCTTTTCCATGTTAGCGGCGCCAACCAGCGCACGGCACAATGCCGACTCGGAGGGGTAAGAAAGTCGGCAGACCCTTGACAGCGCAGCATTGCAGCATGCTTCGAGAAGCTCTTGAGTCGAGAAGCTTAATCGCTGTAATCAACTTCGAACAGCGACCCGTGAAGATACAAGAATACGATGTTGATGTTATCTGCCCAATTTCGAATTTCCATGTTTTGCGCTTCGAGGATCGACATTACGGGCGTCAATAGGGTGTTGGGCGCCCATTGTTAGTTGGAGCGTTGGAGCGGGCCGAGTCATTTCATGTCACCTAGCGCAAGTGCGACGAGTCCAACGGCTGACGGACAAAGGATAAGGAACGGAACAAAGACTTGCGGGAAGGCTTCCGGCGGGAACGCATTTTTCAAGGGATGGTTTGTAGTCTGAATTGGGATAAAAAACTAGCTACTTCAGCTAATTCGGGTGACCATGAAGGCTTGCCTTACGGCCTCATGTTCTCGTACATTAGTTTAACGGCCGAAGAGGATACAACGGAGAGGCCGAGGCAAGTGACGCCGAAGGCTGAAGTCAAGCCTTCGGCCGGTACAGTTGAGAATCAAGGTCGAATAAACTTCGCCAAGAGTCTTCGGGTTCGGGTCATAATCCTGACTCGGGGTTCCGAATAGACAGCTGGGCTAATATGGAGCAAATGAGAGGTCGGGGCCAATATGGGACGGGGCGCCCTCGAAAACGCTGTGGCTGACGAAGGGAAGATCCGAATCTTACATCCGTACACTAGACTATCCGCAGACCTCGATATAGTCATCAGGAAGTTCACAGCTCCGCTGCTCCGCTCAACGCCGCTGCCGCTGACACTACTTCGTACATCGTCGTCGGCGGCGGGGTCAGGCGAGCTATAATGTGGATGCCTGCTGGAAAGCGTGGGAAAGAGTCGGCGGCGACAGCGATCTCGACATTCGGAAGTCGTAAGTCGACGAATAGAGTCACGGTCCGGATACCCGTCCCTTGCTGGCGGAGGGAGCTAGGAACCTCCCGACGGGGTTCTCGCATGCAGGAGCTTTCCCCGCCGGCATTTTGAGCTGAGATGCGAGGTCGAGGTGAATTGGACTGACAACCATGATCGGAGAGTCACAGACTGTCTTGCCATCTAGGCTCTGGTGCTGTTGGATTTCTACCTTCAGTAGCCATTAGAACTGCTACACAGCCGCGCCAAGGCCGACGCGGTCCAAAAATTGGGCAAAGAAACGCCGGTTTTCTTCGAGCATGCCGAAATCCTGATGCCGACGGCCGAGATCATAATCGCATGGGTACGTTAGGTGAGAGTTTAGGCAGCGTTTCAACGTGGCGGTTGCCGGCTCACGACTGCCCATGACCAAGTGTTGTTGAGTTCAACATTCAAAGATTCGGCAAACTTTGCCAAATTGCCATTAAGATCTTCAGGTTACGTTGTGACTTTGCGCAAGATACGGGACGAATAATCCAGGAAACGATCCCAAAGGGATGCCGCCTTGCCGATCTTACGGATATCCTGAACTCAACATCATAGTTCTATATCCTAAGTCCTAAGTCCTAACTCGATTTGACAAAAGCAACTAAGTCACCGTGCGAATTGCTCCTCGGACAAGCCCTCGCGATGATGTTGAGCAAAAGAGGCTAGAGAGTCTTATTTAACTACGAAAGGAGGCAATTATGATCTAGATGCCCGGACTCTAGGATAGCGCAGCGCCGCACTCGAGCTGAATCTAGACCTGCATCGTAGCCGAGACTTTGATAGAGCCTGGTTCAGTAGCTGTACGCCCTTCTTGAAGCTCTCGTGTCAGACCGTGCCAAGGTATTCGAGCTGAGACCCAGTTTGAGTCTGTCAAGGGGGAGATCTCGACAGAGACGGAATCCCGTGGGTTGCACACGCGTTGACCACCACATGCTCCCGAGACCCTTGATGTGATAACGAATGGTAATGTGATAGCTTCAGATCCTGGCTATTATGAGTTACCACAGCTCGGCGACCTCGGCGGTCCTAGCCATTCGCAAGCCTAACCAATGTCCTGGCCAACTTGATGCAAGGAGGTCACACCAAAGACATCCAACTAAAGCGGTTGATGCTACAGGCGAAGGCGCTCAAGGGGCTAGACCATGACATGAGGAAGTGATTTCTCATGTCTCTCTAATAATCACACGACGCTGACAGGTGTCGGCTAGGCCTTTGGCCGGTGAGGGATCGCCCTTCGGGGGCTGATAAAACGCATCGACGGTACATCAGGGCAAAAGGCATCTATTGGGTCTTTTAGTCCGGCTTAACTAGCAAATAGCGACATCATCATGTTTCTTGGGCATATCTGCCTGTTTTTCTTTCTTCGATATTGGGCCCATATCAGTTAGCAGCCTTGGTCCAGGCTGGAACTACAACCTTCACGATGATCGTTTCAGGCTGCTACTTTGCGACCTTTACCTGCACCTTGAACACAAACACATGTACCTACCTTGACTGGAGCCGAGAGTCAAAATGCACCAAATGGTGGCTGTGGCTCTTCCAGGGTTATTTGTCGCAAGATCCTGCGCAGCCTCGAAATATCTTCCCGGCCTTCCCAAATCCTTATTCAGGGGACAGACATTAGGACTGGAGAGATCACTCACTTCGCTGAGGTTTTGGGATCCATCGCCCAGCGCAATCAACAGTACAGCTGATGATGATTGATGTGCGATTCTGAATTCTCAGCCCTTTGAGGAGTAACAGAACTATTCAAAGATGAGAAATGGCTTGACCAAAGTGCCCCCCTATGCCACCAACTCCGTTGAAAGACTTTTGTAGTTTACATTCGGGTATCACGATAAGTTCCAGTTTCACCGCCCGATAGGGTAGTTGAACATGAGGAGGCCGTTAAGGCCACCAACCCAGCCGTCGTCGTCGTAGTCCGACGCGTCGCCCTTGCCTGGTCCGCAGATGACACACGGCACACCTCCCTTCCAGTCACCGTTGCTGGACTCGCCCACCATCTCGCCCTCGACGCGGATCTCAGTCCCGATACCTGCGCCGGCGCTTCGCTTGCCGTCGATACTGACCTCGAGCTCGCCATCACGATTTTTGCTGCTGACCTTGAGTGTGACCTTGGTATTAAGGGGGAGAACCAAAGGCCGGAAGCTTAAACTTCGAGGACAGATGGGAGTGATGAGAAGTGATTTGACGAGGGGGTGTATGATGGAACCGCCAGCGCTCAGGCTATATGCGGTTGAGCCTGTAGGGGTGCTCAATAGTATACCATCTGCGACAGCTTCCGTCAGGAATCGGTTGTTAAGGTAAATGTCAATATGGGCAAGGTGAGGCTTTGGCCCGCGGTGAATGAGGAGTTCGTTCAGAGCGTGGATCGGTTGCGGAATGTCACGTTTCGAAAGTATTGTGTCCTCGGGGTGTTCGGCTGGTAGGTGTGCTTGTGACTTCGTCGTTGGAAGTAATTGGCTGCTGATGTTCTGGCCGTTGTTGTCGTACACGCCGACCCGTAGTCGGTGTCTAAGCAAAATCTTGGCTGCCCGACTCTGTCCCATACTCTTTCCAGGAGAAGCGTGCCATCCAGACTGAGCCCCGTCCTTGACGTCGTGTTCCTTCTCTCCGCTTGCGACTCTTGTGTGTGGCGTCAATAGATCATCCGCGGCGACGCCACTCCCACTCATGTAAGCCTCTCTCCAGGCCCTCTTGTATTCCTCGAACTTCCATTCGGCCAGGAACCCTATTGTACCAAAGTTGAATGCAAGAATGGGGGGCACGGCTTGGTACATGCTGAAATGGCTTGCGGCGCGCAAAATGGTTCCGTCGCCTCCAAGCGTCGTGATCATGTCAATTCTGTCCGGGAATGCAGATGGGTCACATGTGTAGATGGGGAAGTTGAAGGACTCGTGCACCATCTGAGCGACTCTCGGCTCAAATATCAGGTTCAGACCAGAGTATGTACTTTGTAGGTGTTTCGCAAAGTCGATGGTCGCTCGTAGGACTTGAGGGGACCGCAGCTTCGGCATCAGTAAGATATTTCGCGGAGGCGTCGGCCAGTGTAGGGAGAGCAGGCCAGAGGTCGAGTTCGGAGGATCGCGGTATTTCGGGACGACTCTGGGCGGGAGAGAGGAAACATCGCGAATCTCGGCAGCTCGAACAGGCGCGGTTGTCGAAAAGTTCAAGGGTCGAAAGGCTCGAATCTGCGCCGCGGCCCCCGGCCTGGCGCACAGGCGGAAGGCTCCTGACCTTGACATTGTCGTGAAGCTAAAGTTTAAGTAGAGTAAGGCGAGAGGTAGCGGGCGTCACTCATGGTCGAGCGGCGTGCTCTGAGCCGCTTCAAATGAGTTGATTGAGCGCGAGATGTGGCGGTGGGAATAGTTGCGTCGCGATGAATTCCCAATGACGACAATTCCATTGGAGAGCCCCACTCGCGCTTTTCTTTCGCGCCTCACCGAGCTGAGTCATCCCTGTTCATGCATCTGACCGAAGATGCCGAGTCGGTGAGAACCCACTTCGGAACATTGCTCCGATCATATCGGTCCCACACCCCACTTCCGGGCCGGCGCCGTTGAGCATAGGTCAAACTAGAGAAACGATCACGCGAGTCCGGAGGAATGATTGTACAAGAGCGGAGTGGCGATCTCATTCAGTGACATTGTCATTGCTTTCCGCTCGTCCATCCCACGCGGCACATTCTTCGAGTCTACAATTTTTAATCTCTATCATTTCTATTTCTTCGAGAACGCGGTAATCTTGCTTGTCAGCTGCCTCGCAGCAAGTTGCCCCAGCTGATCGAAGCTCTGCGCGCTGGTCAGCTGCAACACAGTTATGTCTACACCAAGCGTGTGCTTCCACCAACTACGAATCTCAATGGTCATGAGAGAGTCGACTCCAAGTGCTGAAGGTGAAAGGGTAGTGTCAATCCCGCCTTCTTCTACCTCCCGCATAAGGAACCCGTATACCCGGCGTGCGATCTCCTGAGCGAGATAAGTTGTGGACCCTAGGGATTCGATTTCCTCCGGCCTCGACTGCAGACTGGATAGAAACTCAGCCAAGCCTGATGACCCGCCCTCTTCCCGAGAAGCCATCTCATTCTCTGCAATATTTGGGTAGAGATTCATGCGAGGATCATGTTTCCACACGACCCGATTGCCAGAATCGTTGATAGAGGTTTTGCAGTCTAGACCAAGTATCAGCTGGCCATTAGTGGCTGACCAGTATGCTTCAGTGTCTACGCTCGCAGTCACTGGTCGACTCTCAGCGATGGCGAGCTGAAGACCCCGGAGCATGTCGGCTTCGGAAACCAACTTGGCGCCAGATTTTATCATGGCATCTTCAACTTCTTGTGTACGACTGACATAGCCCACATCCTCAACGCCTCCTAGGTCAATCACCGAGCAAGGCAGACCCAGACCACGGCGGTATTGGGTAAACGCATCGAGGAAAGTATTAGCAGCTGCGTAGTTTGCTTGACCTGGGTACCCATGCACACCCGATGTGCTACCAAAGAGCACAAAGAAGTCAACATCATGGGGCAAAGTACGGTGAAGGTTCCATGTCCCGCGTATCTTGGGTGATGTCGCCGTTTGCCATTGAGACAGTGTTAGATCGGAAACTGCACCGTCGGCAAGCACCATTGCCATGTTCAGAACGCCCGCGATCCGCTTGGAGAATGTGAATCTTGACATGACCGCTTGCATGGCTCTCTCGTCTGATATGTCGCATGGCACGGCATTAGCCTCGCAACCTGCACAACGAAGTTCTGAAAGCAGAGCTTGATCGTCATTGCTGCGTCCGGCGGACCTCGAGATGAAGAGCAGACTTTTGGCGCCGTGTGAGACCATCCATCGCGCTATTGTGGTTCCCAGACCTCCCATCCCGCCAACAAGTACATAAGTAGCTTGTTCGCGGAAGCTGGGAGGCAAAGGCACTCGAGATACCTTCAGTGCCGCGCCATGGTTTTCGGTCATGTTGATGACCACCTTTCCAATGTGGGTACCCTGGTATAAGTATCGGAAGGCGTCTTCAGTCTCATTACACGCGAATAACTTTGCAGTCTTCACGGGTTGGATGTGACCTTGTTGATACAAGTCCACACATTGTTGCAGCAAGCGAGAGATGGCGGCGGGGTCCTCAGCGGCTAGATTCGCCATCTCGACGCCAATGAAGGACCGATTTCCGTCAAAGGCCGCCATGGCAAGTTTCCCTCCCGCTAGGGTATCTTTCTTGCCCAGCTCGATAAAGGTACCACGAGGAGCGACACAATCCCATGATGCATGAAGAAGCTCTCCTGATAGAGAGTTCAAAACGACGTCAACACCGCGGCCATCCGTCACTGCTTTGACGCCCTCCACGAAACTGACGTCTCGAGAAGAAAAGATGTGCCCTTTGGGAACATCCCACTCTCTGACGAGGAAATCTGCCTTGTCGTTGCTGCCCACAGTCGCGTAGACTCTGGCTCCGATCCAACGAGCTACTTGGATGGCCGCAATGCCAACACCACCGGCGGCGCTGTGGATAAGCACTGCTTGGCCAGCCCTAAGATTGGCTTTATCTACCAGGGCTCGGAGGACTGTGATGAATATGCAGGGCATCCCAGCCGCTTCAGCAAAGTCAAGTGTATCAGGGATGGGGATGCAAAGTTGTGCTGGGGCCAGCATCTCCGTAGAGAAACAGGCGGCCTCGGGCGCGAAAACCATGACGCGATCGCCAACTCGAACATTCGTCACAGAAGCTCCTGCGGACGTCACGATGCCGCTGACTTCACACCCGAGTCCTTTTGGGGCCGAAGGTTTGATCAGGCCCATTGCAGTGACGACGTCTTTGAAGTTAAGACCTGCTGCGTGGACATCGACCTTGATGTGGTCGGGTGGTACGTCGTCAGGCAGATGACGAGACACCCATTGGAGAGTCTGTAGGGCACCGGGTCTCGAGATCTGCAACATCTTGGTCGAGGAGATTGGAGTCTTGGACATAAGAGCATGGGAAATCGGTGTCCACTTGCATCGCGGGATCAGGGTGCGGCCCGAGGAGAAGGAGAACTCCATGTCTTCATCCACGTTCGACTTCAAAGCTGCATGTTTGGAGAGAAGCCTCCTTATGACGTGGGAAACGGCTTGCAGAGAGTCCGCAGTTGTACCGTCAAGCTCCATGGTAGCGCAACGTACACCCATCTCAACTCTTGCGGTTCTCGCGATGCCAAGCACCGGAGCGAAAGTCGGGTCGACCGATCCGAGTTGGCAGGGTCGTGTAAGCCACAGTAGGCTCGAGTCGGTTTCCTGGAGAGTCTTCAGCAGCCTCTTGAGTGTATCTAGCTTGGTTCCCGTCACATCGTGGAAATAGCCGTCGCCGCGACACAGGTCGACTAGAGACAAGACTACGCTGCCGGCCTGTAGGTTCTTACAATCTGCATGTAGCGTCGAAATGATGACAGAGTGACCTAGACACCGCAAGGCTTGGTCAACCTCGGCCACCACTGGATGTGACTCTTCTTCGCAAAGCAAGTAAATTTGCTGTGTACTGAGGTTGTTACCGTCCTTGGGCACAGCAGGCCGAGCAATGATGGTGACGTTGAGCTTGTGTTGCAGCTCAGCATCGTAGACAAAGTCTGGGGTTGTGAAGTCAGCCAGAGACAGACGTTCCTCCCATTCCTTTGGAGAGATGTAAGGTTCCTCTGGGCGGCTATCAGAGTCGCCAAGCCACCATCCCGAAAGGTAACCCATAATGAAGTTGATCCACTTCGTATTGCAGCACAGCTCATGCATCAAGAGTCTCCCGTCAGGCTTCAGTAATGATCTGGCATGTTGCAATGTCTCGTTCAGCTTTGGAGTGGCATGAAGCACATTGCTCGCAACGATGAGATCGTACTCTTCACCGCGGAACCCCTGATCCGCTGGATTACGACTAATATCCAAGACACGATAGTCCAAGAACCCAGAAGCAACGTTACGAAAGCGCTCTTTTGCTGCCGGGAAGAATCCAGCAGAGACATCAGTGAAGACATAGGTCCCGAGGACTTTGCCATCTTCGAAACAGTCTGTCAAATCTTTGAGAATACGCGAAGTTAACCCTCCGGTCCCGGCGCCGATCTCGAGAATCTTGAGGTGGCGACCTCGCTTGTGGGATAGTAGTTGCAACAGAGGCCTGTAGGTGAAAAGGGTGTTCATCCAGTCGTACAGTTCGTGAAGTGCGTTGTCTTTGAGGAATACCTCGAGAGGGCTACCTGTGCCGTTGAAGAGTGCTTGGGCATGTGTGTAACAACGTTTGATGAGAACGCCCACGGCGGATGCAGGCGTCTTCTCAAGCTTCGAACTGATGTCTTCGATCTTCACACGCACCTCTTCAGCATCTTGTTGAAGTATCTTTGGGTCGCATCTAGTGATGTGGGATCGGAGCCAGCTGTAGTGCCTTGTCAAATGTGTTTGGGTCTCGGTGACCGGTATGTCTGCTTCGTCTACTTCTTTTAGTGCCGCTGCGCCGCAAAGTACGAAAAGTTCTTCCAGTAGCTGGTGTGTCTTTGGAAAACAGGAGTCGGAGGTCGCCGAAACCAGGTCAGCGGCATCTGCCGTATCAATATCTCGTTCCCAGGACATGAATGCAACATTTGAACTATCCGTGGCACCTACAGCAGCATCATCCAGGTCAATCGTGGAGAGTCGAAGGCCTTTCATGAAGACGACTGATTCATCTCCAGGACTGTCGCACAATGTCCCGGTGCAATCACCCTGAAAGTCTCCTTCCTCACCAGACTTGACACTCTGGAGCAAGATGGTCCCATTCGAAGCCTCTGAACTGATGAATAGCTCATCAATATGAGTCGGCAGATGCAGCTTTTCAAGCAAGCGAGGTTCCCCAGAGTGTTTCGCGACGATGATAGACTGAAGCATCTGATCAATCGTAGCTGGGTGTAAGGCATTGCGATACTGATGCTCAGACGTATCTCTTTCATCAGAGACTTCAACCAACACAGCTGGTGATCTGGCACTGGCACGAATCCTTCTCATGCCTCGGAACTCCGGACCATATTTGTAGCCCACCCGCGACATGGCTTTGTACCATCGCGCAGGCTCAACAGAATGAAGGAAAGACTCTGCGTCAAGTCCAACAGAGTCCGGGTCCTTGGAGACGCGACCATCCATGACACGACATCTGCAGTGCGTTGTCCATGTACCTGATGGGGTACAACTTTGGATCGTGAGTTCCCACCACCCCGAAGTCTCCTCGTGAGTGAGCTCTTCCTCTCTCACAAAACTGAAAAGCTCGATTTTGCTCCCCTGAGATAAAACCAAAGCATTCGCGATCCATAAGTCACGGATAGTGTAGGATGGCTTCCTCGAAAGCTGTCGGATGACTTCGCCAGCCATCGCGATATACCCGGCAGCTGGGAACACAACATCCGAGCCGACGCAATGGTCCGCAATCCAAGGAACGCTGTCCAGTGAGAGAAGACACCTCCAACTCGGTGCTGTACTCGTACTTTCCAAGGTGCGCGATCCGAGCAGCTCGTGTGGTGGGTGTTCAGGATACTCCCAGGACTGAACTGCGCGTGAATTTGGCCAGAAGGTCTTGCTCAAATGCCATGGGTACGGTGGCAGGTCCGTTAATGGCCGCGCCCCATCGGGTATGGGAAACTTGACGGGGAAGCCTCGGCAGTGCAGCTCGCCGATGGCAGCAAGAAAGGTTGCTGTGCTATTTGAGCCTCGTTTCTGCACGGACAAGTAAGGCGGAGTGATGGCCATCTCCGTGTAGATCTGCTTAAGGGGACCGGCCAGTGCTGAGTGTGGTCCGACTTCTAGGTGTAATGTCGTTGATGATGTTTGGAGAAGTCGCACCACAGCTTGTCGGAAGAGAACTGGTGATTCTAGGTTTCGTTGCCAGTACTCAGAATCGAAGTCGAAGCCTCGTTCGAGGATTTGTGACGAGACGCTGGAGTAGAAAGGGACGTTTGGTGAGTTGGGAGTCAGGTGTGACTTGAGAAGAGATCGGTACGCAATGCCAACCGCACGCATGTGATCTACAAGAAGATGCTGTCAGTAAATACTTGAAACACAAGGTGCTTTGTCTGGACATACGAGAATGGTATGCCTTGTCAACTTTTAGCAGACGAACTAACGCATCTGGCCGAGCAGACCTGATTGCGCTGCAGACTGTCTCAAGGGCATCCGAGTCCCCGGACAGAGTCACACTAGAGTTACTGTTTTCACAGGCAAGGACAACTCCAGTTGTCAAAAATGGTGTGACTTGCTCTCTTCCCAATCCAATGGCCGCCATGGAACCTTGAATTTTCAGTTTCTTGACCGTGAACCCGCGGTAGTAAGCGACGATGATTGCTTCTTTCAGCGTGAGCACACCGGCCGCATACGCAGCTGCAATCTCACCGCTGGAATGGCCGACAACGGCCTTGGGGGTAATGCCATATCTGGCAAGGTGCCTGGTCAGGGCAATCTGGACTGCAGTGCAAATGGGCTGGGCAAATTCTGCTTCTCCAAGGCGCGAGGTGGATTCTGATCTCATGAGCTCGTCTGGTACATGCCACTGTTAGTAAGTCTTCCTCGTTGGTGACTTGTGTTGAAAGGATGCACTGACTTCTTATTTCCCAACTTGGACGGTGTTCTTGCGGAAGACTCTTCAAGACCGCGTCCATTTCCCTGATGTCTTGTAGGAAGTCTTTCTTACTCTTCATTAAATGCAAACCCATCCGGGCCCATTGAGCGCCTTGACCGGTAAAGAGGAATGCGATGCCGTCAATTTGAGAGCTTGGGCGGAAACTAGGTGTTGGCGGAAGAGTGAAAGCCAATTGGTCGCAGTCATCGGTGACGACCGCAAAAGTGCGGTACGCTAGGTGAGAGCGACGATGCATCAACGTGTATGAAAGATCTTCCAACTTTGCAGGGCTGGCTCGGAGGAACTCCTGGTACTTGTGTACGGTTGTCTTGAGGGACTCTTCGTGTCCCGCGGAGAATAGTAGCAGGGTCGCGGGCTCTCTTCTCAGAGGTGGTGAAGGAGGCGGCGTCTCGACATTGCCGTGGCTTCGGACCGTGGCCGAACTTCCTACTGATGCAGCAGATTCTAAGATTATCTGGTCATATTAGCTCTCGAGCCTGGAAGATATTGATTTGGTGACATACATGGACATTGGTGCCTCCAATTCCAAAGCTATTGACACCTATTCTTTCTGCCCTTCCTTCAGGCCACGGCTGCGGTTCTGTTGGCACCTTCAAGCCTGTTGATGTGAAAGGAACTGTGGTTGCAGATCAGCACCGGCCGCTGTCAAAAATGAAAGGAACGAACTTACTGCTGACACTGGGGGTATCGAATTTGATATTAGGTATAATGTTTTTCGTTTCCAGAGATACGACTGCCTTGATTATGCTTGATATCGCCGAAGCTGCTTCAGAATGGCCGAGGTTGGGCTTAATCTGAGGAAACGTCAACAGCTATTCGTGGAAGGCAGCCGTGGCACTCACTGATCCAATAAGCATTCCCTTGTCCCCGAATATAGTGCCAACAGTGCACGCCTCAATGGTATCGCCCACAGCCGTGCCGGTGCCGTGGCATTCAACCATGGCAGTTTGCCACATCTCGTTCTCTGGTATACCTGCGTGCCGATATGCATCACGAATCAGCTGCTGCTGTGCCTGTGCACTTGGTGTAGTCAGGCCAAGGGTCCTCCCGTCAGAGTTCGTTGCTGATCCTCTGATGATAGCACGAATCGGGTTCCCGTCGCGGATCGCGCAGTCGAGCTTTTTGATGAAGATGCAATTGATGGCTTCTGCGCGAGCATAGCCGTTTGCTTTGGCGTCGAAAGTCTTGCACGAAGCATCGGGCGAGAGCACGCTCTGCTCAGCCATGAGCTTGGTGAAGCCTGGTGAGAGCATTAGATTTGCCCCGGCGACGATCGCTGAGTCGCACTCTCCCGCGCGGATTGCCTGGCTGGCTAGGTGGACTGCTAGACCCGCGGCTGAACATGCTGTGCGGACGGTCATGCTATAGACGAAAATGATTAGTTTACGAGGGAATCTCCAAGACAACATAAGCTGAGAATCACCTTGGACCTCTGAGATCAAAGGCATGAGAAATGCGATTCGCCTGTACAAAATCCATGTACCCCGTCAAGCGATACATGCCGTCGTCTTGAGCATCGACGGCGTGCATTTCTCTCCAGTCATCTCCAAAACTGCCCACGTAGCACCCAATCCTCTGGCCCTGCCAGTCTGTTTCTGCAGCACTTTCCAGCGCCTCCCAAACGACTTGTAGAAGCAGCCGCTGCTGGGGGTCGAGTTTCAGCAACTCCTTGGGGTTCATAGAAAACAGTGAAGGGTCGAATTTGAATACATCGTCGTGTGAGAGCCAGTATCCTTCCTCGGTCGGCAAAGGCTTCGATTTCCCGCTCGCTGTGAACTGGTGGTTTTGCGAGCTGTATCGCGGGTGATCTGGTTTGGAACGCGCATCTTTGCGGTTGATGAGGAAGTTGTACAGTGAGGTTGGGGTATTGATGCCGCCTGGTAACCGCAGACCAATGCCGCAAATCGCTATGGGCTCTGGCTTGGACATTGCTAATGCTCTTGGAAAACAACTTCTGGTGGCAGTGAATGTAAATGTGACAGTCAGTAATTCGATGGAAAGGGCCACAGACGCCCTGGCTTCTGGTGTTCAAGGCGACTATTCAGCTTCAGCTCCCCCTGTTGTTGTGATGAAAGCTCACTAATCCACTTTGCTCGTTCTGCCCCGGGTGGGAAAAAGCAACGAGACCGACTTACAGTCTGAGCGGGATTTCCACATGGCTACTGTCATGGCGAACCCCTACAATCCCCTGGGCCAAGGTTCGGACCGCAAGAGGTACCATGTTATAATTCGGACCGGACCCAACCTGCGGGTACGATCGCTATGCGCAAAGCCTCTTACCACCATACCAACTGAAATTTCAGTTGATTTGCTGTAGCATGACAGTTCTCACATGGATCATCCAACTAACTAAATTTCTTTCAGCATCGAGTGATTCCATCTATTACCCATCGTAGAGGTGTTCACGGATTTTCGTGACCGCAGATTGATAGTCGATGGTGGGTACAAACTTTTAGCAAAAGTACGCACATGAACTGTGGGCCATGGAGAAGCTGAGGTCAGTATTCTGGCAATCTACGCCAACATACAACGCTGTACGCACAAGCCAGTCCGACGATGAAGACCAACAAAACGGCGTGGAAGAAAAGCTACGCAGTGAACTGGCGGCATTGGAGAGCAACGTTTGGTGTCTACGCGCCAGTCTACTCATCACCATTGTAGCGCTCCTCCTTGTGACCATCTTCGCAGTGGTTGATAGAGTTTCATATGACAAGGCGTCACTGAATTGCGGGAAGGGGCACATAGGTAGCGACCCGAATGGTTTCGTGCCTCCAGGTGAGTCGCGTCTTCCTAGGTGTGAAGCAAACAAGGCGACAGCTTGACTTACAAGTTGTGCTTTAGGGATCGGTGAGCCGCCGCGGTGGACGCTGTTTGACAGCACGTCCCCGTACTATATTGAGGAGGACACGTTCTACGATTTGAGCAAAACAAAAATGATGGCTAAAAGGTTGAAGAGCCTTCACAACTGTAGGTCCTTGCCCCTCCTCTGCGTTCTTGAGCACACCGTTTATGGATTTCCAGCCTCCAACGTCCTCGTGAACGGGAACTTCGCAGATTGGAAGAAGCCGGATGGTACTGTGGCGAAGCTGCCAGCGTATTATTCTACAGTATCATATCGACAAACATACATCATCCGGTCCTTTCACCAGATGCATTGTCTTGTGAGTGCCAGCACTACCTGTTAACCTCACGCCTTCTAATTTCCTTGCAGATCTCGATTGCAGAGGAGTATGGACATCGGGCAAACAACGTATCGTCACAGTGGGCTCCCAAGCATATTGCTCACTGTCTCAACGCGATTCGCGAAGCCATCATGTGTTTAGCGGACGCTACGCCAATGACCTACGTGAACGGGTTTGCCGTCGGGCATGTCACAGATGACCAGCAATTCATGTGCAGGGACTGGTCAGCGCTGCGCAAGTGGGCGAACGATCCGGTGAGGGGAATCCGCTATAAGAACATCGCGCCTGAGGGGGCAGGCTACGACAATAACACTGAAATCATCCCTTTTCCGGAGCTTTCTGAGTTGGAGAAGGTCGGCTTGGCTTGAGCTAGGGCGCATACAATCTACCAACCAAGGCCCTGAGTTAGTGGGTTTAGTATAGACTGCAACGAGAGGAGGATAGCACTATTCATACCATTCCAAAGAGAACCGTGTCCCACCCCCAGGACCTAGAAGAAGCTGACATATCCAAAGAGCCCTTTCCATTTATTCCTTAGAACCTCCAGCTACTTGTACATTGGAACATGTCATTTGCCTCCTCTCAAGTTTGAATGCTGTTGACCTGAGCAATCTGAGGGAGGCAAAAAGCCCCTTGAACACCGCTGCAGCAATCGAGTGATACACCTCAGCCATCGACCAGACCCCCCTCGTTCCACGCCCATCGACACATGCAATTACCCAACCAAACAGTCCACCTCGTGAGGCTCATTGTACACCCGAGTTATGTTTGGCAAGTCAATCTCCCAAGACTGCGGGATACCGTTATACAAGATGCAGTGCTCAACATGCTTGGGGTCTCGGCAAAGAGAGTCCAGAACTCGAGGCTTGAAATGCGACGCATATGTGATTCTATCCCAGACATAGCTGCAATGCATGTGGTGGATGGTGCCGTCTGTAAAGATTTCGCCATGTTCACCACTGGCAGCCACATCAAACGGAACCTCGTTGATACGTTCTCGTTCGTACCAATACGTCGTGTTCCTCCACTTCATATAGCCCAAGTATTTCTCGTGCATCTCTTCATTGAAGCACCTGGGATGCATCCATGTGGACAGCATGAAGTCGTAGACACAGCCTCGAGCTTTGGACTCTTTCCAGTCTGGAGAGCATTTTCCCAGCGATACAGGCTCAGGTGGTCGCGCGGGGGTCATGTCGTGAGTTATCCGCCCTAGGTAAAATATTCCGACTGCCAGGGGTATGAAGGCGAGTTTTCCAGCTATTCCCCATATACCGCTGCGCCGGGCTTTTCGTTTCTGCGGGACTTCAGCGCTGTAATCCACTGCATCGGTCTCATCATGGTAGCTAGTTCGTTGTGAGCTCGAGCCCTCGCTTTGCGGTTGTGGCGGGAGAAAGGCCTGTTTCTCCATGTCAAGGGATGGGTCGGTTGAAGGAGCTGTGTCGAATGGATTCGCGATCGCTAGACGAGACTGATTGTAGCGGCCACAGTACCATAAACAGCACTGTTGATAAGTGAATATGGTTCTTCGTCATGGATGAGGTGTGTAACATCAGCTGGAGTTTGAAGGAGCAGCAGTTCGGATACAACTGCGGTTAAGGTTGGAGCCATATCTCGGACCGTAGCCAGAGTGGGCCAGTATCCCAGCTTGTCAGTCAACTCACGGAGAGCAGACTGTTGGTTTGAAGGCTGCAGTTCTCCCCCAGAGAGATCATTGCTTTCAATAATGTGATTAGTTCTCAAACTGGCGTAGCAAAATCACCAATTTACAAAGTGCTGGCTCAGGTTGTTGCCGATAATACACCACCAGGTCCTCCATCATGCCCGCCGCAAACCCGGTGTTAATCCAAGATATACCGAGATCTCGCAATGAGCCGCCACCGGTATTCTTGATCCACGATGCCAGTGGGCTTCTCACCAGCTACTTCAAAGTTGGAACCTTGGGACGCAAAGTCTACGGAATATGGGATCCCAAGTTCGATGCGGACGGTATTGGCGGATGGCAGAGCGTAAAAGAAATAGCTGAAGCCTATATTCGGCTCATCAAAAGAGTCATGCTCAGAGGGGAAATCGTTCTCGGCGGTATGTGGCACTAGAGTCTTCGCCAATTGCTTCGAAAACTTACCAAAAAACAGGGTGGTCATTTGGCGGCGTTCTTGCAGTGCAAATCGCCCACATGCTAGCCACCTCAGGTCGTGGCCTGCGTGTGTCTCGAATCATTCTCATCGACTCAGTCTACCCCCGCTGCCCTCGCCCCGAAGCTCAAAAGGAGCCAGCAAAGTTGCATCACGCCCCAGCTCTTCCTGGTATCAATCAAGAAACCCGCGACAAGCTCATGACTGCTCTCATGCGAGCGACTTGTCTCTCCGACCAGTGGGACCCTCCGTCGTGGGCGCTGCCGAGGACCGGTGTTCTTGGTACAGCCCGATCCCGGGATGTCGACCCGACTCCGCCGCACGCAGTGCTGATCAGAGCCAGGGACTTGGTGCCCATGGCGGACCCAGGCGAAAAGTGTCCTCTCGATAGAACTCGGTTCCTGCCTCAGCTTGGCTGGGAGGATATGCTCGAAGGGTTTGTGGAACAAGTCATTGAGACTACTGGTAATCATTACAGCGTCTTCGATTCAGAACATGTGAGTGGTCACTGAAGCGACCCTAACGTGCAAGAACATTTGCTAACCCTCCGAGAAAGATTGATACTATCACCGCTCACATTCGAAAAAGCTTAGATATGAACCTTGATTGATTTGAGGAGATAGTCTATGATAGGAGATAAATTTATTACACATAGGGGTTAGGCTGTCATCATAGCGGCCCAACAGCACATTGAATTGATGCCTACCATTACCAGATGCTGTGAACACTCGCCGTTCTAAATGACAACACGAACTGTAATAGCTGCTGAACACACCTCCACACCCTCGACATTGTATACTTCATGCAGTACCACGAGGTTTTCATCAATCAGCGAGACTCTAGTCTATGATCTCGTCATACTTATCCTTCTCATCTTCGGGTGCAACATTGATCCATTTCACTGCCCTCACTGGGTCGTGGGCCCATTCCCTCAGCGCAAAGAAGTCCCTACAATGGCTCTGTTGATCGTCTGTAGTGTGGCCGACACCCATACCATGAACATAGGAAATTGGCGTGGCGTCCGCTAGGCATGTTATCGCTGACCTCACCGTGTTCAAACAGTGAATGACATGACCCGTTTCCCACTTTGACGTCTTGTTATTCACTCTGTAGCCAATATCCTCAAAGATGATTGACTGGCATCCTGTTGTTAGCCCACCCTTTCAACCCTCCTGTCGTTGAGAACACTTACAATGCAGTGCATCTGGTGAAAAGCTCGGATGCTGTACAGCTCTGAACCCTTGCGGGTGACATACGCAGGGAGCGGTTGCTGCTTGTTATCGAAATCCATATACGTGCTGTATTTTCCGTTGATTCTAACGTTTGATGCTGTGCATCGAATCAGCGGGACTCAATGTCGACCAGCAGCATTGCGTTAACAAACCGTTATGCAGCATTTTAAAATCCCTCGCAGCAGCTTGCACACTTTCGAGGCTCTCGAACACGTCGGGCTTGAAATAGTGCGGATCGGTCTCATCATCGTACTTAGCCCATTTGACAGGCTGTCCGATTTCTACGTCTCGAATTAGGGGCCACATTTTACCGTCAAGAAAGAGCTTCGCTAACCTGGAGGGACAAAACCACTAGGGTCAACTCCCAATGGGGTTGCATCTTCTCGAGACCAGGCGGTGCCAATATTAAGAAAAACGATGTATCCGAAAAGAATTATTAGCAGAATGCCCTCGGCCCAGGCTACTCGTCGAATCTTGCGGAGGCGCTGATCCCATAAGACACGATCACGATTCCACTGATCTGGGAAGGTCGGAGAGTCACCACGGGGGTCACTGTGATCTAGGTCCATGCCCCCGAGACTTTCCAATTCGTCATCGTCCTGATTTTCGCCCTCTTCAAGGACGTCGTACTTGGCCGTTTTTCTCATATTACTCGCAAAAGTAACGTTCTTGCCCATCGCTGTTGACTAGACCTGTACGCAAGACAGAACGATACATGTACCAAATGCAAGTGAATAGCAAACCCGTCTGAAGCAATGAGGTTTGCCGGACTAAACATTCCTAGTATCGCCTGGCGATCAAAACCCAGAGCTACCAAGACAGACAGTCTTTGCCTTCAAAATGCCAACTGAGTAGCGGACCGAGGTGGCCTGCGTGAAGGTTTAGTAGCACTGTTTCAATCTGACCTGCCCCACCGCGGACCGAAGCTTGCACGGAGCTACCCCGCCGCCGCCGTCGGACTTGACTCGGAGCTCTACTTTCCTAACTGGGGTGCAGCCGGATGCAAGTGTGGTGGTCGAGCTCAATGAAGGTGGGCAGAGCGAAGAACGCAAGCTTCTTACTGAGGTCTCTGGTTTCTCTAGAGCAAGTTCGACCCGGGAGAGGGAGAGACGACCGAAACTTGGATTCGAGCTTTACTTGAGACCTTAACCACTCTCAGAACTTCATCAGATATGGAAGCCAAGAAGGATGAAGTGACTTGGCGGTCTCTGCCGCGGAAGGACCAGCTTGCAATTTTGTGTTTCTTGCGTTTTGCCGAGCCGGTAGTGAGCATTTCACTGCTCGTGAGTAGACTTTTTCCACGAGAAACGCAGATTTGGTGGTGGCTGACAAGGCGTCTTAGACATATCTGTTTTATCAATTGCAGTCTTTGGATGTAACGCTTGATTCGGGTGCAATTGTCCGACAAGTTGCTTACTTGCAAACAAGTTTTATGCTATCACAATGTTTCTCGTCAATGTTCTTGGGGAAACTGGCCGATTCCCCCAGGGGCGGTAGGAAACTTGTTCTCATGGGGGGCATAGCTGGATCATGTGAGTTCCCTAACCAGACGCATTAGATGTACGATTGAAGTCAGCATTCGGCCACTAACGTTCGGGTTGGCACATGTAGTTATCGGATGCGTAGCTTTTGGATTCATCACAAATTTCAAGCAGGCACTGGCACTACGGATCCTCGAAGGCCTAGTCAACGGAAATGTGGCGACAGTGAGGACGATGGTGTCCGAGGTTGTCATTGAGAAACGGTCAGTCACTCCTAGGGCTGATTAGGATTCTCGAGAAATAACTAACGAGGCGGAAAGATTCCAGCCTCATGCGTTTTTATTACTCCCGATCTCATTCAATGTCGCCGCCATGGCTAGTCCCCTGATGGCTGGGCAGCTGGCCGACTTGGCGGGAAAATACCCGGATAAGTTTGGGAACAATGCGTTCCTAAAAGCGTGGCCGTACGCACCACCAGCCATTCTCAGCGGATGCATCATGCTGTTGGCCTTCTTTGCTGTATTCCTTTTCCTAGAAGAGGTGAGCTCGTACCTTTCAACCTGTGATTGCTGACCCAGCCTGACAACTCGCGTTTCTACAGACACTTGAGCCTTTGAAAGATAGATACGATCCTGGGGTTGCCTTTTCCCGAAGAGTTCGATACCTTTTGTTTGGGACCAAGATTTCGATATCAACTAGAACAAGCCATGAGGATGCCACTGACGAAGAGATGTCACATATGATTGTGGAAGACTCAGACCCATCCGAGAGGGATTCCGAAGAGCGAAAGTCACCAATGAAGACCGTTAAGACGACACCCATGATCCTGCCAACCAAGCGAATGTTCACCAAAAACATGTGTCTCACGCTTGTATCATACGCAATCCAAGAGTACCACATCACGACATACAACACCCTATGGACAAGTTTTCTCAGCGACCCGGTTGACAAAGAAGGCAAACTGAAACTCCCTTTCTTTTTCTCCGGCGGAGCTGGCATGAAGCCAGACCAAATCATGTGGTCTCTTTTCATTGTCGGAATGATGGGGTTGCCCACACAGTTGTTCATCTATCCCCGCATCAGCCGTCGTCTCGGCACTTTAAAGATGTGGCGCAAGTTCATGCTTGGGATGCCGCTACTCTACTTCATCTTGCCTTACATCGCAGCTATGCCCTCGACTACGCCCCCTCCAGCCGGCAAAACTGGCTTCATGGTGTGGTTCCTCATCATTCTAGTCCAAATCATGATGGTGGGGACGTCCACCTTCGTGGTACCAGCACAACTTGTTCTGACCAATCTGTAAGTCGGATTTGATCTCCCTCTTGCAATACTGACACACATATGCTTACATCCTCTGTTAAGGTCTTCGCCGCACCCATCTGCTCTAGCACGAACCCACAGTAGCGCATTCTTGTTGTCTGGTTTGATGAGGTCAGCGACTTCATCCATAGCGGGAATTGTGTATAGCTACGGGTCATCCCATAATATCACTGGCTTGGTCTGGTGGATCGCAAGTGGTGTTGCAGTCCTGGGGTGTCTAAATAGTCGCATTGTAAACGAAGGGAACGGCCACGAAATCTGGCTGACTGGTGATACTGAATAAGGTAAAATCTAGGGTTGCGTTCTTTGTCGGGCGACTGATTGCACTATTCCAATAAAATACATGCGAGGCGTAGAAAGAAAACCCCTTCAGTCGACAATACCATTTTGAGCTCTTGTCAGCGTAAATTGGATGTGAGATGGATCGAATTGGCATGGCTCTAAATCCATCCGACATCGAACGTCATGATGCAATGATTGCTCATCACTGCTATGGATCACTGGCGAACACCAGTGAAACTCATTCGCTCATTAACATCGCAGTGACAAAGTTGTTAGGCGAAACAAGAGTTTGGATTTCAGTGACCAGTCTGCTGTTGAAGCTACTTCGTCTAGCATAATCAAGAACAACTCCAGCAAATACCGCCGGTTTCCCAAGAGGACAATCTGTATCCTTTACCACCACTTGTCTGTCACATCCGATTTCATCAATCCTGAGGTACCAGAGATCGCAAATGGATTACTCCATGTCCTCGTCAGTAATGAAGGCACGCTTGTCCTCAGTAACAAAGCCTCTCTTGTGGGGCTCAGTGATGAAAGAGCGCTTCTCCTCAGTGACAAACCCACGTCTCTGAGGCTCGGTGACAAAGCTGCGCTTGTCTTCAGTAACGAAACCCCGCTTCTCTGTGATGAAAGATCTCTTCTCTGGTTCAGTGACGAAGCCCCTCTTCTCTTCAGTGACGAAACCACGCTTCTCAGGCTCAGTAACAAAGCTTCTCTTGTCCTCGGTGACAAAGCCACGCTTCTCTGGCTCAGTGATGAAGCTACGCTTGTCCTCGGTGACGAAGCCTCTCTTGTCCTCGGTAACGAAGCCCCGCTTCTCAGGTTCGGTCACAAAGCTGCGCTTGTCCTCGGTGACAAAAGACCTCTTCTCTGGCTCCGTCACGAAGCCGCGCTTGTTCGTCTCGGGCTCGGTGACGAAGCCTCTCTTCTCCAATTCATCTTCGGTGACAAAGCCGCGCTTCTCAGTGACAAAGCCTCGCTTATCCTCTGTAACAAAGGCACGTCTCTCTGGCTCAGTCACAAACTCGCGCTTGTCTTCGGTGACAAACGCGCGAGGATCTTTACTCGTTAGCTAAGTAACTCATATATCCAGAACTGTTTAAGGGGTGCTTCTAATACGTACCAAGCTCGTCAGTAATGAAAGCCCGTTTCTCTTCTCTCTGGATGGCGGGTGCTGCAATAGCAGTGGCTGCAAGAATTGCAACGGAAGTAAGGGCAGTGAATCTCATTGTGCCGGTGTTGAGTGAAGACAGTAGATAGAACTGGTGTATTGTTATTGTCTGATTGATTATAGAATGATGTGCAAAGCTGTAGGACGTGGGATGTAGCCCGGTCATATATGTCGTGCTTACCTCCTCTTCCAGCTTGTCTTCCGAATTTCTCGCGACAGACAGGCAGACCTAATCATGTTCTCTGCGGTAACCGATTAGCTCAAGGTTCTCTGGAATATCTCCATTGGTACATATCAGCTTAGAGAAGGACAGTTAATGTTCCGGCTCGAGCCGTACATCTGCGGAACCGAGTATCACCAAGAGCATAGCTAGCAAGACTGACTCGATTAGGAAAGGTTTCCTAGTAGACTTGCGTTACTTTATTGCTGCCATGATCCCATTGAGGACCGCTGCCGCGTTTGAGTGCTCCCATGCAGCTCTACAAGGCCAAGTTGATAGTTTGGGCACGCACACAAAACTCTTCCAACCTTGAGCTTGCTGGGTGGGATGACGGAAGCTTAAACGGCGGAAAGTGGGATACTTCCAAGAACAAGTAGTTGCCCTGTTTTGCTTTGGTTCTGAAAATCCCTGATCCTTATTGTGGACCTAGTTGTGACGCGAAATTCTAACTACACTTTCGCTCTCGGGTATCGACAATATTGTGTGGCTTACTTTATCTGCCCAACGATGGTCCAGTTCCCGGTAGTCTAGACTGTAATTTGCATCGTAGCCAGGGTATTGTAATTGATTTGAAACGAACTTCGTTATCCACGTATGAGAATCAGAGGACTTTACGTTCATCGTTGCGATATGTGGATTGATGATAGTAATGATGACTAGACTTTTGCATGACGAGCCAGAGAACACAGCCATTGGCTAATCAGCCTGCTGCTACATCTGCCCCTAATAACGAAAGTGGTCTATTCCCTTGGCTTGTGATCAAATTCCTTGTTCGCCCCATGAATGTGGGAATGCCCATGTACTTCAGCTAGCTGACCATCACTACCAAGCCCCTTTTCCACACCAGGCTTCAAATCGAATTGGTGAACAGATAAGTCGCTAGGTGGTCGACAAGACGTGAAGCGAGGCCAGTAAGGGATGCTTACATGGTCCTTGGGCCTCGTGTAGTCCTGCATCAACGCATGGTCTAGGCACTGGTGGTAGTCGATGGTACCAGAGACTAAACCGTGCGCGATCTTGACCTCTTTCTTCCACAGGAACGCACAAGAGTAGAGATGGAACTCCCATGTCGTCCAAGCCTGTCCTGCTTTGATCTTCTCCACGTCAGACCAGGATAGCTCGGTGGTTGAATTCCGAGACGTGTAGAACTTCCATGGGCGAGTCTGGCGGAACTCGGCATCTAGAGCCGAGTCAAAACATTGCGGAGGTTGCCATGTAGCCGTGTATGACTCAAACTTGCAACCACGTGACAATGCAGTGGGAGCGTCTCTGCCGCAAGGGAATTTGTCCTTGAGAAGGCTGGTGATGAGCCCGAGGTTGGTATCAGAGTGGCCGTGATTCCCGTGTTCAGTTCCGTAGAATGGAGAGAAGGGAACCAGAAGCGTGAACAGGGTGCATATCGATGAGCCTAGAAGAAAGAAAAGAAGTCGTAGACAAGGTGAAAGGCTATTGTCGATGTTTCTGTCGAACCCCATGGCCTTTTCGCGGTGATTTGCCATAATTGTACGGTGACAGCGTTGGTTACTGGAAGTACGTGGTAGGCAGTCTTGTTGAGAGGGCGATAAATAAGATATGTCGACATTGCATGACATTTGTTTCTATCTAGTCCAACCATGCGGAATGATATCGTCCGCGTCATCTTCTCTGACTCAGCATGAAGCTAGGATATGACGGTCGCTTGCAGCAAGCACAAGGCGATCGAGAAGGAAGTCTCCGTGTCATCTGCCCAGCTCCTCCTACAAGTCGATTAACTTCCGAAACTGACGTCCATCTATCATTAGTGCAGTTATAGTACCGCTTACAGCAGGTAGTTCCGCCTGTTTATTCGATAGGATCCCGGTGAGAAGGGACAAGCTCTTCGTTTAGGTTCCGTGCTCGGTTAGTCCTGTGGATGTTCTCGACTTTGTGCTTAAGCTTTGAATTGTGACACACTTCACAAGGGTCCCAGCGGGAGCTTGGAGAATTTCTCGGGTTCCGCACCCATGCTTCACAGTTGAACCTTGGATACCTTGTCTTGTTTGTGTGTTCTGCCGGGTAGTTGTCGTAAAAGTCCAAGGCATAACTCTCGCCCAAGCAAGCCCGCCTCACATATTCTGTAGCCATCTGGACAAGTCGTAGTCTTATTCAATTGTTGAATGGAGGAGGCCATCGTCTTGTCGTACAGCGGACACATGTAAAACAACGTTTTTTGCACTATCCTACTGTTTCTACGCGACTTTTCTGTCTCTGTATGAAACAATGTCAACTACCACAGAGCATAGCAACGAAGCGGAAGAGAGGCTCTTGTCCTCTCAGTCCAGCAGCTATGATGACGACATACTGGAGGAAATAGCATCGAAGCAGGTGTTAAATCATTATCCAAGACGATTTCCTTGGAGGAAGATCTTCCAGGGCATTGGCTACTCCACATTCGGAGCTATCTTGGTCTTTTCATTTGCTTTGGCGGCATACTTCGTAGACTCACCCACGAAAATGTCTACTATCGTTCCCGAATGGAGTATCGTCGACAGTGGACAGAGCTTTCGCGCCTGGGAGCCGTCCTCAGCCTGCGGGAATACGCCTACAGAAGCCCGCGCATCAAGCTGCATCTACGATGACGTTCTGCTTCACTGGATGCCGACACAATGCTCTTCTCCCGAACTCATTGACGAATTTGAGCACGTATGGCCGTGGGAGTTCTTCGAGGACCAAAATGCGACAAAGGCGATCACTCTACCACAAGTTATGGAGGGTACGCAAGACATAAAATGGGTGTCTATGGATCTTCATCGTTGGCATTGTGTTGCAACATGGAAAATTCTCAGCAGCGCCGCACGATGGAAAACGACGGTTCCGGCTTATGCTATCAACTGGAATCACTCAACACACTGTGCCGATCATGTGTTGATCAACATGCACGTCGAAGACCCGTTTGCCATCAACTCCCATCTCGACATTGAGTACACACCATGTGTGACTCTGGCAGAGGACAGGTCACTAGAAAAGGCAACCGAGTGGTGAGGATTTCGTTACACAGTCATCTCATCAGGAGGTCTATTACTAAGTCAGAGCCATGGTCACTCTAAGGCCGCGAATTTGTAGTGTAAATTTGATCAAGCTAAATATTACTCACGAAAGAAACATGTTCACTCCCGAAAATGGACCCATAACCCACACCACTGTCTTTGTGACTGTGAATGAGACTTTATACTTATATTGCGCACTAACAATAGCAAAACAATTCTTAGTAGTAGCTAGGTACGACATGTACTTGAATAGAACCCACAGCCCTTCTACTGCCTGGTAATTGGTCTGTAAACTTAGGTACGTGTGGCATGAAGTGATCTAGAATGTGACAGCAAACCTCTCTCTAGCTACCTGGCCATATCTTTGAAGTAGCCATGGAACAGGGCAGAGCAAAAGTGAGACGAACCCTAAAAGACTACTTCCCCAGCCGAGTCCTATCCGATTGAACAGTGACTCCCCTGCGAGTGGCAGAAATGCACCAACGATGCAGCGGAAGATGGTCGATGCCGCTATCGCAGAAGCAGCGTACTTCGTAAACGCGTCAATGAGGTATGTGTGCAATGGCATCTGGGCGCTCGATTAGTATTCGGAACGCGTGAAAGATGCTGAAGCACCCACCATAATCAGGATTAGTCCGGCTCCGAGAAGTGCTGAGCCAATGATTGGGAGTATCCAGTGCAAGTGGTACTGCGCAGTCCAGCCGTAAAAAAATAGTCCCAAAGGTGTAAGCAGAATCGACCTGGCCATGATAGGCAGTCGAAACTCAGGCTCACGATGTCCGTCGTTGCGTGCCGTTCGTTTATTGGCCATGCGGTCGTTGAAGATGGCATTGCAAATCGCTCCCCCGCTGAAACCCACGCCTAGTCCGAGGTAGACTAAACCGACTGTGCCCAACGAAAAGCCGTACTCCGAAGTGAAGACCGGAGTGAATGTTGTCAATAGTATGTACTGCCTACCGTCAGACTTACACCACATCAAGTAGAAATTTCGTGGGACTTACCATATACCCGTATGCTAAAGCAAGTATCGTCGAGAGAACAAGCACAATGGGACTCAAGAAAAACATCTTGACAGGCCGAACCAGCGCATTGAGAAGGAGTGTACTTGGACTCAACGCCGACTTTTCACCCGGCGCTACGAAAGCACTTTCGGGATGAGCTTTCTTTAAAGCCACTGCACGCTGGTGAAGCAGTCTTGGAGGATATGTCTCCCGCAGACAGAGGAAGCAAATCAACGTGAAGGCACCAGACTGTGGCTCTTGATCAGCAACGGGAATTAGACCACGGTACGCGACAAGCACTCACAGGAATTGCGGTGACCCAAAATATCCATCGCCAGCCTAGATCTTGCGAGATATAGCCGGCTGCGACCGGCCCCAGTGCTGGTCCAAGGATGGGACCAACGAAGTAGATGCTCACCACCAGGCCTCGCCGCTCAGGTCGGATGAGATCAGCTATGGTGCCACCGCCGATAGCTAGGGGGGCTGCACCCGAGGCGCCAGATAGGAAACGAAAGATGATGAGGGCCGGCAAGTTTGGTGATACAGCGCTCAAAATGCTAAACAGAGTGAACAGGATGTTTGAGCTGTGGTAAATGGGCAGTCTCCCATACAGCTCGGATAAAGGAGCAAAGAAGCTGCCGAGCATGAGTTGATTATTACGAGAGGCTTCGTTACCTTGAGGTAGACAGAGCTTACATCGGACCAATTGCATATCCCAGAACAAAAATAGAGACGATGAAAGACGAGAGGACTTTGCTGTCGCTATGGAATTCCGCCATCATGTCTGGGACTCCAGGTGCACACATGGCGGAGGCGATGGACCTATGGAGCCACATCATTCACAGTCAGTCAGCTATTTCAGCTTCGCTCTCGTGTCGTATTGGAACCTGGGGTGACTTACGCGATGAAAGTTAAGGCGCTGACAAGTCCAACGTTGATGCACTTTCGAGTAGTTGACCAATTCAGGGGTTTATTCTCGTCTTCTTCCCCATTCCAGTCCACAACGATATCACCATCCTCATCCTGCCGTTCGGCCCCAATTTCAAACTGCTTCTCAGGAGCCATATTAGAAATTTGCGGTTTTACCTGCAATTGTTCCTAGCGACAACTGAACGCACGTATACGAATTTTTGGCCAGCCAAGTGCAGGGGAAAGTTCCATGGCTACATACTTACTCAGGATTCAACCTAGGGATGCCGCGTATTGTCAACGAACATGGAGTACCATGTAGGTTCGAATTATCAACAACCCTGAAGCCTCATCCCAAGTGCAGTATCGTTGGGGAACAGCACAAGTACCCCGAAACTTTCCTTCTCACCCGAAGTTGCGACGAAGCCCCCACATCACGACTCGCGATATTTCGGCTCATCTTAGAAGTCCTTTCCCGTTCTTGCTTCATCTCGACCAACAGACGTAAGATGGGTACGAGCAGGCGGCAAGGGTCGTGCCGCCACCCAAATAGAGTTGCCTTTTTTCCGCTGCTACAAGTCTAAGTGTTGTAAAGACGTGCCTACGCGCCCCATTCGTAGTAGCCTTTCAGTGTTCTCGGGCCAGCCTGCAGGAAAGTATCCCCTCAGAGGTGCAGTTAGGCAAAAGAAGACTCGCTACCAAACTTCTAAACAGAAACCTTTGTTCCGGATTATTAAACAAACCACGTGGAAATTTTCTGCCTACAAGTTGCGAGTTAGCCGTATAGTCGAATGTCAACCATTCTAGCCTCGCTTTAGGTTACAGGTAGCCTCGAAACCTCATTGCAGACGTTTCACCGGGTATCCGCTTCAATATAGCCATGCCTTTTAGGAGGCATGAAAATCTAGTTCCGAGGGTTCAGTTTGATCACCTATGTGTCTACCTATACAATATCACAAGGACGAAGCAATAGTGTCCGCGGTTAGGTCGGCTATTAAGTGGCGTGATCTCATCTCATCAGACTTGGTGTACCAGACATGAAGAGGAAGATTCGTCATGTGCAACCGAAACCGAAGTTACAGGCACTGTACCAAGAATTATAACCACAAGCTACCTTATTCGGCCACTGTCGCCAGGAAAACTCTCTGCAGGCCGGAATCCCTCAACTTCCCCCTAGTCCAATCAACATGATCGAATCCAGATGCCTTGAAAGCATCCCGCCATACCGTCTCGTCAGCCGTCGCATGCTTTCTCCCATCGCTGAACAACCACCATCCCTCAAACAATCCAAACACAAAGTCAGCCCAGCACAAACGCTCCTGCACCTCCATCACCAGTGCAAACCCGCCAGGTCGTAGGAATTGCCGCGTATTGGTAAGTGACTTTACCATGTCGGGGGTGGCGTGAACTGCGTTTACAGCAATGACTATGTCTTGCGTGCCAGCCAGATCTACAGGTGGTGGGTTCTCGATGTCCTGTGTTCGATAGTTCATAAACGGGTAGTCTTGGAACTTCCGCGCAGCCTGAGCAATGAAGCCGTGTGCCAGATCAGTGAAGGTGTACTCGACAGGGACTCCCGATTTAGCGAGCAACGGGGCAAGCCATTTGGCTGTGCCCCCTGTTCCAGCTCCGAGCTCCAGGATTCTGAGCCGAGAGCCAAGTGGAATGGTGACGGTCTTTGTGAAGCGGGTCATAAAGTCTTCCATTAACTTGTGAAAGGCCTTGCTCGGATGCGCCGCGCCGTAGATATCTTCGAGATACTCGCGCCCCTCTGGAGACCCGAAAATCGATCGGACGCCATCGGTACGGCCCACATAGATCTCGGCGAGGTTGTTGCCGGCATGAGCTACAAGTTTGTTAAGAGATGTGTAGGTCGGAAAGTCATTGAGAATATGTTGAAGAGAATCTCTTGGATTTCCAGGTGGCATGGGTGTGTCTGTCCTGATGTACGAGTCTCCTTCTTGGCGTACAAGTTCTGCATCTGAAAGCATTTCATAGCAGAAGTCGAGTTGTTTCTGTACGTTGACGGCGCATTTGATCGGTCTTAGCTTCTGACCCGGTTTCGTACGCGCAATATCGCATCGCAATTTTTGAAATGATTTGATGATCAGCTGGGCGATGAGCAGTTTCTGTCGTGAATGGACGTTTTCATAGTAGCCCGCAAATCCACAATCGGTGACAATCCTGTCTGTGCTGTCTCTCGTTTCGTTGAAGGATTCCACAGCCGCCATTCTGCCATCTGGTCCTGGTTGACTCTGGATCATGACTGCGTCTTTGATGAGGCAAATTGAACTTTCGTGTCCTTGATCTTACGTTACTTTCAACCGGGGTAAGTAATACAGCAGTGATCATACGCGCGACGACTCTACAGTATCGGAGCTGTCAATCCGTCACTCATGTGGAGAAGGAGGACCATCGGTCCGGCTCGGAGGTCACTTACTCGCGTTGAACCAACCCCTCCTGTGTGCGTCGCACAGCTATGATTGAATCGCAATTCCGTCACTAAATGTACATGCACTAGCGAGATAAATTCCACGCAATCCTCATGAAGACGATGCAATTGCAACATGCCAGTGACACAGTCTACCATACAAACGTCGAATCTAGGGAGTAACAAGGTGACGGAGTTTGATGGGCGGCGTTGATGAGTTGGTACGGTTGTAGCTGATACGCGCGGCTGAGTTTTTCGTTGTCAACTCTTTGATTTTCTGCTTTCAATGAGATATATCCCGTTTATCTGCTTCATCTAAATGCTATTAATAGCGAAATGTACGCATATTACACTAGCGTCGACGCCTTCATCTAAGCGGGTTGGAATAGAGCCACGACCTATTGCACTATGATTCCACGTCGAAGCGAGGGTGAGGACCACGACCAAGGAAAGAGTCGCTCGAGTCTGTCTTGATTCCCGCGTACATTTGAGGCTCGCCCCCAACTACCTTTCGGATTATTCGAGTCTTGAATCTGAGAATTCCCGAGCTTGGAACAACACTGATAGGTGAGTGGCCCAATGGGTTCCGATTTAACGGACCGCACGGGATCGGATTTCGACAGGACGTGGCAGGACTTAGCGAGAGTTACTTCAGGGGGTTCAATGCGCGAGTCAGTCATCGCCGCCCTGTTCGACCACTCCCTCTCGCGTAGCTGATGCCCCGGAGACTTGTTGAACTCAGCGTAGACAATGAAAGCCACCAGACTTTTGATACTCGGTTCCGGAAACTTGTCTTCAGAGATCGATGCATCTTTCTCACGATATTAAATGATTGACCAAAACAAAGTCTTTTATTGAAGCTACGTGTATCTACGAAGCAATCGTGTATACCAGCTTTCCAGCACTCACGTTTCCTTGCTTCAGGTACTGGATGCCATGAAGAACACCTTCCAAACCATCGCCGCCTTCATTCACAATTTGCCTGGCAGGCCGAAACTTGTCCTCCTGCAACAATTTCTCACTTACGCCCCAGAATATCTTCCCAAACTCATAGTCGTCAAGTCTAGGCTCAATGACAGTTTCCTTCTCTATCGCCTCTCCTAGAATTGTGTAACCCAAGGTTGTAGAGCACTCGATCTTGGGATTAATCTTCTTGACAATGGAGGGAACCAAGTACAAGAGGCTGCTATAGTGCCCTCCTCGTACCGACATCGCCGCGGCGCATATTCGTGCAGACTGGGCTGTCGCAATGCAGTCCCAAGCATGCCGCAATCTTCCCTTTGTGAAAGCCTTGACTTGCTCTGGACAGTCATCTGATTTGTAGTCCACGCAGAAGTCAGCCCCCAAAGCCTTCATGTAGTCAAAATTCTTGGGCGAACAGGTCACAATGACCGTACAGTTGGACATTTTGGCGAATTGAATGCCCATGATTCCCGACGCAGTGCTTCCCCCGTAAATCAGAAGGGGAATCGGCTCTGGTGACGGCTTGGTAGGGAGCGGTAGTGCTAGGGACTGGTAGAGTCCTTGGCCCTACATCTGACTTTAGCGAGGATATTTCAGGAGCAAGCCAGGATCAAGCACCAACCACCGCTACAAGGCCAGACGTGATTGCCGCCGCCTCAGTGTCATTAACATGATCGGGTATCTTCATCTGTAGGCTTGCCTTCGCAATGAGATACTCTGCGAATGCGCCGTCTTCCTTCTGTCTAACATTCCTGTGGAAAGATGGTTAGAATCATTTTGTAACATGGTTTCCCCTATAACACGAGAGGATATTTCACTCACGAGCCATTCACAATCCCGAAGACTCTGTCGCCAGCTTTAAAGTCCTTGTCCACTCCACTGCCGACTTCGACAACAACGCCTGAATACTCGAGGCCTGGTCGCGTACCAGTGGGGTTGCCCACCCACATGAAGTCAATATGCTTCCAGTCAGAAGGATTGATAGCGACGGCAGTCGTTTTGACGAGGATATATCCATCACGTAGCTTGGGAATGGGCGATATAGTTATTGCCGATTTACCGCGACCTTCAATAATGACAGCCTTCATGGTATCGGGAAGAGTAGAAGCCATTGTGGTGCAATGTGTGAGCTGATAGGTGATGCCAATCGTCCGCCGTAGCAGTGCTGGAGTAGAGCTAGAGATCGAATATACCTCCAGTCGTCCAGCGCAGGGTTTTTGCTGGCGCGACCGGTACATGACACTACATGCACTATTGATGTGGAAATTAGATTTTGACTATCCAGATAGCTTTGGCCGATGTCTCTCGGAGTGATGAACTTCATGCTGTGATGCATCTCGGACCGCAAGTTGTGCAGGGACCGGGCCATCATGAGGTGCTCGCAACTCGATTCTTGCAGCCAATCACATTAGACGGAAATAGTGTGGTTCTCGGAATTCGAGCAATAGACTTTCGCAAAACTCGGACTCAACTATTCTGGCAACATAGTAGAAGTCTTCTGGAGTACCGAGATCGACTCCATCGCGACGTTGTTCATCTCTTGTTAAGAAGCTCTCTACATTAGCGTCAAAGTAATCTCGTTGACCTTGCAACCCAAACCGTAATACACAGCCAGAACTGCACATTATCCTTTACTAGGCTGGCATTTGACTCTCACTCAGCAGGCGTTTGCGGGCTTTCACCATCAATTTTATACCAAACTTCAGACAATGCCACCAAAGTCGGGCGCCGCCACGCCTTCGTCCGAGATGGACACCTCAGACCCCATCGCCATCGTGGGAATGGCCGTCCGGCTTCCCGGTGGTGTGAAGAACACAGAAGACTTCTGGAACCTGATGATGAACAAGCGTAGCGGTCTCATCCCCATCCCGAAAGAAAGATGGAACAGCGAAGGCTTCTACAGTCCCGTTGCGAAATGGGGAACTGTTCAGAACAAAGAGGCATACATGTTCAGCCAAGCTGACAATGACCTTACCAAGTTTGACGCATCTTACTTCACATGTGGTGAGAAGGAAATCGAGCGCATGGACCCTATGCAAAGACAGCTGCTGGAGATTGCGCGCGAATGCCTTGACAATGCCGGCGAAACCAACTGGCGCGGCCAAGAGATTGGCTGTTATGTCGGCAACTTCTCATCAGATTGGCAAGATGACTTGTCAATGGACCCCCACGCTTCTGGTCTATACCGTGGATCAGGCTACCTTGACTTCTTGCAGCCTAACCGTGTGTCGTATGAGTATGGCTGGACTGGCCCGAGGTAAGTAGCACACCCTGTATGAGTGAAGCTTCTCGGAGACTAACATCTCCCAAGTATGCTTGTCAAGACAGGATGCTCTTCATCTATGGTCGCTCTACATTTAGCTGCTGAGGCCGTTCAAAATGGTACCTGCAAGTCGGCAATGGCTTTGGGATGCAACCTCATCACATCAGTCATCACATCCATCGTCTTCACAGAAACTGGTGTTTTGTCTCCCAGCGGCAAATGCAAGACCTTTGATCTGCTTGCCGATGGGTATGGCCGCGGTGAAGCTGTAAACGCTGTCTACGTCAAAAGGTTAAGCGATGCTCTACGAGACGGCAACCCAGTCAGAGCCATCCTTCGAGCAAGCGGCACCAATAATGACGGTCGGTCCAACGGAATTATGAGTCCGAACACTTACCTGCAAGAGGCCTTGATTCGAAAGACTTACGAAAAGGCTGGTCTACCATTCAACAAGACGGCCTTCTTCGAGTGCCATGGCACTGGTACTCCTACTGGTGATCCGCTTGAGGTGGCCGCAGTTGCTCGAATCTGGAAGGATCACGATGGTGTGATGATTGGCGCTGTAAGTTCACCATGGATTTGAGGCAAGCCTGAGGTCTTCATCTAACAAGGCCAGGTTAAACCCAATGTCGGACATTCAGAAGGTGCGGCAGGTTTGACAAGTGTCATCAAGGCAGTCCTCGCATTGGAAAATCGAGTTATTCCGCCAAATATCTACATGGAAAACCCCAATCCAAGGAGTGAGTTCATCCAAGCCAGCCTCTTCGTCACAGACTAATGTCAGCTTAGTTCCATGGGATGAGGCCAAGCTTTCGGTTCCAACCGAGCCAACTTTCTGGCCCGTAGACAGAGACGAGCGTATCAGCGTCAACTCTTTCGGTGTAGCTGGCTCTAATGCTCATGTAAGATGACTGTTCTTGTCCTTCCGACAATACCCCGCTAACAGATTCTGAGGTCATTCTCGAGTCGTACGAGGGTTGGCAAAAGCTTCAAGATGATGCCAGCTCCATTAGCTCGGACTCCGGCGTCAGCGTTCGCTCCCCCGGCCAGCGACTCTTATTGTTCTCTGCTGCGCACTTGACGTCTCTCGAAAAGCAAGTGGATCAACACAAGCAGTACATTGAGACTAAGAGTGCTGATCTTGATGATCTCGCTTACACGCTGGGCCACCATCGCGACCACCTCAGCTGCAGAGCCTATGCCATAGCTAACGAAGAGGGCGTTTTTGACCCGAGCAGCTTCAAGCGCAAGCCAACCACCGCCCGGCGACTCGTTCTGACCTTTACTGGACAGGGTGTGCACTGGGCTGGGATGGGAAAGTCGCTGATCGAAACCAACGAGGTGTTCCGAGACTCCATCAAGAAGTTGGACGTGTGGCTCCAGTCGCTTCCTGAAGAACACAGACCAGCCTGGACCTTGGAGAAGGAGCTGTCTATCGACGATGGCTCTAGCAGGGTTGGTCAGCGAGGTTATTCTCACCCATGCGCAACTGCCGTACAAATCGCATTAGTCGATGTTCTCGCTAGCCTTGGGGTTCGTCCTGATGCTGTTACTGGCCACTCTGGAGGAGAGGCTGCTGCTGCGTACGCTGCCGGTAGTGTCACGGCCGAAGCTGCTATGGCAGTTGCCTACTTCCGTGGCTGGCTCTTGGTCAACGGCACTGTCCCGCCTGGCACTATGGCTGCTGTCAGCCTTGGTCCGAAGGAGGTTGAGCCCTTCTTGATTCCAGGTGTGGTTATTGGCTGCGAGAACAGCCATCTCAACTCCACCTTATCAGGCGACCCTGTTTGCATTCAACACTGCGTTGACCAGATCATGCGTCGCCATCCCGATGTCAAGGCCAAAGTTTTGAATTTAGAGACATCCTTCCACTCTCCATGGATTGAGCCTTTGGCTGGGCCGTACGAGGAGCTTCTGAAGCCATACCTCGCTGGTGCCAAGGCTCCGACCGTGCCTCACTTCTCCAGCGTCACTGGTCTTGAGATGACCGAAGCTGACTTTGGAGCCAACTACTGGCGCCGCAACTTCGTCCAGCCTGTGCTGTTCAATACAGCGATGAGGGCGATCTTGAGAAGCAACAATAGCAACCTCTTTGTTGAGGTGGGCCCCCACCCGGCTCTTCAACGCCCCATCAGTGAGATTCTCCGGAGCGTGCCTGAGTCTTCCTGCGAGTACATCACCACTCTCCGCCGTGCTGAAGACACCAACCTGTCTTTGCTCCGTCTAGCTGGGGAGCTCTTCGTGCAAGGAGCTTCGGTCGATATGTCCACTATCATCCCCAAGGGCAGAGTTTTGACGGACCTGCCGACTTACCCTTGGCTCCACGATGTGACCTATATGGATGAACCTCGCAATCCGTCCCGTTACAAGCAAAGAAAGCATACCAGACATGTTCTTCTTGGGGCTAGGGTTCTCGAAGGCAATGATATTGAGCCTGCCTGGCGAAACATGCTTGACCTCAAGGAAGTTCCTTGGTTAATGGACCACATCGTCAACGGGCAAATCGTTTTCCCTGGAGCTGGCTACATGGCAATGGCAGGAGAGGCCATGCGCCAAGTGGCTAATGGCTCAGATGCGTACACCATTAGGGACATGTCAATCATCACTGGTATGACAATTCCCAAAGAGAAGAAGATGGAACTATACACGCGCATGATTCCGGAAGACAAGCCCAGTGACGAAGGCCAATGGTACAATTTCAAGATTATGTCCTACGATGGACACGCCTGGGTCACGCACTGCTCCGGTTTCATCCGCTCAGGAGCTGAGGCAGAGAAGACTTCCATCACAAGCGCTCAGGCCGAGCAAGAGTTTGCTCGCGAGATTGACGCTGAAGGCTGGTACAAGGCCGTCAAGGCTGTCGGCATTGACTGGCAGACCGCTTTCCAAGGTCTTGAGCAGATCACCGCGAACACAGTCAAGAGGGAAGCCACGGCGACAGTGTATGACTTTGAAGACACAACTCATTACGCTGCTCATCCGACACTTTTGGATCAAATGCTTCAGATCAACCTCGTGGCGCAAACACATGGCCAGAAGCGGCGTCTGGACAGCATCCTGCTTCCCACCTTTATCTCGCGACTGGGTGTTCTTGGGAACCAAGACCTATGTATGAGGGCATATGGCAGTATCCAGGAGGATGCTAAAAGTATGACCGCAAACGCTGCCATTTACACAGATGAGGGTCGGCCTACGGTGTATTTGGAAGGTCTTTCCTACTCTGAGCTACCTGTCGCCAAGCGTGAAGAAGTTCTTCTTGGAAGTACCTTTGAGTGGAGAGAGGACATCACTATGCTTGACTCCCTCGCAGAAGTCGGAACTGCCAACTCGGACTTTACCAAGGACATTACCGAAGCAATCTCTCTCCTCGGCTTCAAGTCTCCAGACTCGAAGGTGTTGGAGATCGGATCTGGATCAACCGACGTTAGTCGACTTGCCCTGAATGCTTTGCAACCCACCCAGCACAAGCGCCTTTACTCCGAGTACACCTATGTGTGCACCTCTGAGGAGCAGGTTGACCAACTCACCGAGGCAATTGCAAGTCTGGAACGCGAAAGCGTCTCGGTCGTTGATCTCGAGCAGCTTTGCATGTGCAACACGACTGACATTGTCTTCTTGTCGCTTTCCACCTTGTTGTCGGATGACCGCTACTTGCTTGATGATTTGACGGAACTGAAGTCACTTCAGACTGCTGGAAGCCGGATGATTGTCCACAACGACGGCATTCCGACCAGTGGTACTTCTGAGAGTGAGAAGATTAGCCACAGACTGAACAGCCTTGGCTACGTCCTTCATTCACAAACAACGTCTGGTCTGATACTCGCTGAGCCAGTGAAGCGTACCGAGATCGACAAGAGCACCAATATCACCATTCTGGCCCATGACTCAAAGGAAGGCATTGCCCTTGCCAACGGCGTCAAGTCTCAATTCGAGTCCAAGGAATTTGCTGTACAAGTCTGCCACCAGCACACGGTTCCATCTGATGGCTCTTTGGTCATCTCACTCTTGGATCTTACTGGGAACACAATTTACAACCTGAGCTCCGAGACCTTTCGGCCTTTCATGGATAGTCTTTGCACCTTCCGCGGTTCTCTCATTTGGGTCATCCCCACCGTTCATGGCGCTTGCAAGGATGCCAAGCCAGCCATGATCCAGGGCACTGCCAGAACTGTCCGCATGGAGAACAAGGTGGACATCACTCTTGTCGAGGCTGATGACATTTCGGTATCTGAAATCGGTATTTCAAAAGCACTACTCAATATTGTGCAGAGTCTACCAAACCGTCGCAAAGGCGGAGAGTTGGACGCGGACTTTGACTATGCCATCGTGGGCGGCAAGGTTCAAATCCCTCGAATGTACTGGTTCGGCTTCTCGGAGCCCGAAGTCAACAAGGCTCTTCCATCAACCAAAGAAGCTTCTGTGTTCCGGGACGATGTCTCATACCTTCTCATTGGTGGTTTTGGTGGTCTTGGTCGATCTGTGGCTACTTGGTTGCTCGAGCATGGAGCCCGCAACCTCGTCTTCCTGTCGAGGTCCGCTGGCAGTGCTGAAAACGAACCTTTCGTGAAGGAGCTCGAGAGCTATCCCGGCTCCATCATCAAGACAGTCTCCGGAGACGTCAGCAATCCCGATGATGTACTCAAAGCAATCAATGAAGCTCCCAATCCTGTTGCTGGAGTGTTGCAGCTGTCCCTCATTCTCAAGGATAACTCCACTGCTGAGATGACTTGGGAGGAGTGGAGTGGAGTGATTAATCCTAGGGTTCGTGGTACCTGGAACGTCCATCAAGCGCTTCTGGATGCGAACGTTCCACTGGACTTCTTTGTCGTCTTTGGCTCCGGTGGCGGGCACACAGGTTACTATGGCCAAGCCAACTACAGTGCGGCGAACACTTACCTCGACGCTTTTGTTGAGTACCGCCATCACCTCGGTCTTCCTGCCTCCATCATCGACCTTGGGGTGGTTGGTGACGTCGGATATCTTCTCGAGCGGGATGATCTCTACGAGGGATTCAAGAATGGTGGCTTCTTCTTCTTGAAGGAGCAAGATGTTCTCGACTCTACAGCTATTGCTGTGGCTAACTCCTTCGGAGGGCCGTACAGCAGCTTCTGTCTTGGAGGTCTCTCTGAGAAGCCCCTTTCTGACCCATCCAATCGTGTCAATTGGAAGAGAGATGTTCGTTTTGCTCAGTCTCACTATTTCCACAAGGTGAATACCGCAAGCTCTGGGGAGACCAAGGAAAATGATGAGGCCGAGACATTCATCTCGCTCGCCAGATCCGATCCCGCTACTCTCCGAGACAGCACAACGGTCACCAGCCTCGCTCGCTTCATCAGTGCCACTCTCAGTCACCTTATGCTGAGGCCAGTTGAGGATTTCCCCCTTACTGAGAATTTGACCTCGATTGGTTTGGACTCCATCATTTCGATTGAGTTAGTGGACTGGATCCATCAGCAATTCCACATTGGTTTGACTTCCATGGAAGTCACGCAGTGCACTTGCCTAATGCATCTCGCTGAGAAGATCATCGAAGAAGTCATTTCATCCGTGTAAGTAGATAAGATTGCCATCAAAGCTCTGTGCAACAGTGCGATTCTCGGGGGGTAGCAACTTTATTCTTCTCAATAGACTAGCGGCATAGGTCATAACAAATCCTACATATTGATTGTACGTCTTGATTTCAATTACAAACTTCCAATGGCTGTGAGAGTTTAACTCGCTCGCTTTACTCGGCCTTTTATACCATATTCGTCGTCTGGATCTCATCGAAAGTAGAAGCTAGCACATTAATGTTTGTAAAAGCCTTAGCATCCTACAAAAGTTGTGGTATTACACCAAGCTGAACCCTTATTTGAAGGAAACGATTCTATAACTTCCAGAGATTGCTATTCCTGAAGTCTACAAGTATTTATCATGCTACTGAGCTATTTGGTCTCATCTCTACTACTTCTTCGTCTGGCTCTCTCTCATCAAAGGAATCTTGCTCCACCACTTCATATCGACCTTTTCGTAGCCACTTCCACTCCTTCGCTGAAGAAACAACGATCAAGCTAGTTACAACACCGCCTATGCCGATTAATGTCAACAAATTAACTTGGGAACGGAATACGATCCAATCCAGTAGTAATGCCCACCCGACCTGAGAATAAATCATAATCGTAGCAGCTGATGAGACGTCATTGGCTATTCCTGCAGTGAGAAGAAACTCCTAGAGACGCATGCGGTGTTAGTCGAGGACACGAAACAGCATACTTGCCAGGGTGAAGACTAACCATGACAAAGCCGAAGATGCCAAGGGGTATCAACTTTACCCACGACAGGACTGTTGTTGTGAGATGGACGCTGTCCATAAGGAGAAATGCCACAGTAGAAACAATGACAATCGTCCAAGCGAAGAACATGATACTCATCAAAGGGTGCTCGCGTGTACCGATGGATCGGATCGCCGTAAGCGCTACCTAAGAAGATATTCAGTGAAAGTTCTCACCAGTATCTCATCGTTGACTTACCGCTCCACCACACACACTGATCAACCCGAACCCGAAACCCATCATTCTGCCTTTCGGGGACCCATCGGCAATAGACTGATCAGCGGTTGCGAGTGTTGGCTTAGAGCCAAATAGCGCGTCTGGCTGGACGACGAGGATCACACCAACGAGCGCGACAAAGGCGCCAATCCGATCAATTACTTCGAAGGTTCCATAGTCCAGGTAACGTATCAAGATCATGGCAGTGAGTGGGCCAAGAAAGTTCAAGGCCGTAGCTTCACTAAGCTTAAGGTACATGATGGAAACTAGTAGGTAACGTGTCAACAAGGTTACTTCATCAAAAGTTCATGTCACGACGCGACAGTTTATCTTACAATAGAAACCAAAGGCTCCAAAAACACCGGCCGCTGCCCTCAGAGCTAGTAGCCATCTCAATTTTGGTGATCCAAACGGGAAGTTTGGAGTTTTCGTGACCCAGAGGTAGACGGTGCATGCTGTACCCGTGATGAGGAACCGGACGAATAGGACTTCGAATGGGTGTACGGGGTCTTCGCCCGTCTCAAAAAACTTGGCAAGGCCGTTTAGTGCCGCAGCAGAGAGTTGGGATGCCAGCACCAGCATCGACGGCCTGTGCCGGTCCAAGAATGAGCGACTCAGGTCTTTGTCCATTTTGCAAAGCCAGAGTGAGAACAGCAGATTGTGGTTCGTAGAGACATTTCACCTGCCTCACAGCGTCTACCCAGAAGTCTTTCCCACAAAGTTGCTTACCGCAACTCAAAGGGCCCCTTGTTCTTCCTACTCCGAGAAGGCAAATGAACACAATGCCCGGAAAGTCTGGAACAAAGGGGCTGGTGGCATTAGGTGGCATAAGGTTTCGGAAACTCCTTCATGAAACCATAAACGGGACATCGACGGGACGCTATCCCTGGGCTGCCAGCACCGTGCGTTGACTCGAGAACTCCCTCGCGCTACCCCTGGCCCCGCCCACTCGGACCGAACTACCCCAGTCAACTTTACCATCCGATCCGGGGGGTAAACGGAAGAACGGCAAGGCGCCGGTGGCTCGGAGCCGAACATGGAGAGGAGCGCGTTTGGTTCCAAATATGCTAGTTGACATGAATGAAGGTATGTGGCGAGGTGAACGCTGAAGGGGCCGTTGGTCAGGGTCTCATTGCTCCACTCGCGTAGAGCTCATGTTGGTTTAACAAAGTCTGGAAACCAATCACCCATTTACGTGTCCTAGTGGTTTACAGTGAGAAAGTGGCGCTTCAATCAACAAACGATGGCCAGTTATCTCAACACCAACACTCAAACGACACTTAGTCTTCCCCGGCCATCATGGGTCGACTTGGCCAATTTCGGGCTGCCAAGCTCGATGGAGACCGGCAGCTTTGTACCCTATCTGATGGCTATCATTTTGGTAGCCTCAGTGATGACTATTTCGCTGCGTAAAAATAAGCTGTCTGCGTTCCCGGTTATTAATGCCTCAAAAAATGAGTATCTCATGAGCGGAAGGGCGATGTTGGCCCGGGGTCTGAAAGAATTTGGTGGAAAGCCTTTCAGAGTCAACACCGGACTTGGCGGCGGTGTCATCATTCTCGATCACAGCGTCATGCCAGAGGTTCGAAATGATGCTCGTTTCGACTCAACGAAGTTCCTACTCCAGGTATGGCAATCTGTTAATTGAGCTTGTTACTCAGAGCGCAATCATTGACTTTTGCGCTTTCCTTGTAGTACTGGCAAGCTGGCATCCCCGGGTTCGAGCCTTACATTGCTCTGGGAACTGAGATACTGCACAATGTCATCAAATGGAATCTAACACCTTCTGGTATTGGTATGTTGTCCTTGGGCTTGAGTGATTGTCAATTTTCTTTTACTGATTTCAACATGATTCTAGCCAAGCTAAACAAGCCATTGTCCGATGAGGCAAACGCTGCTCTGAGTGATATCTTGACTGATAACGAAGGTAAGTCATGATCATAAACCTCGCACGATAGCATCGAACTCTAACAACCCCTACTCTCTCTTCAGAATGGCATGAGGTTCTCCTTGGCGATGTAATCATTCGAATCGTTGCCCGAGTGTCCTCCGTCATTTTTCTTGGCCCAGAACTGTGCCGAAACCCCGACTGGCTGAAAATCACAGTGAACTACACTAATAAAGCAACAAATGCCGCCAAAGTCTTACGGCGTTGGCCTGTTTTTCTCTATCGCACAATTCACTGGTTTCTCCCAGAATGCCGTGAAGTTCGCACTATGCTGGTTGAAGCGCGGCAAATCATCGCGCCGATTCTAGAGAAGCGCCGTGTACAAAAGACTGCAGATCCAAGCCTAGAGTATCATGACGCTTTGTACTGGTACGAGACGGCAGCTAAAAGAATGGGCGTTGAGTATGACCCTGCCGACCAACAGCTGGCCCTCAGTATCTCTGCCATTCTGACTAGCAACGATCTCATGTCCCAGAGCATCATGGATCTTTGCAAAAGCCCGGAGATGTTTGAGCCCCTCAGGAACGAAATATGGTCCGTTCTCGGGGATGGGCAATGGAGGTCTACGAGTCTCTACAACACGAAGCTTCTTGACAGTGTTCTCAAGGAAACTCTGCGTCTTAAGCCCGTCGCAGCTGGTGCGTTTCTCCCATCCTTGATCATCTGTTCCTATGCGCATTCTTCGGGCTTTTTTTTTTTTTTTGCCGTTTTTGGCAGGCTCAACTGACGTGTTTTGCAGTGGGTCTTGGCCGTAGAGTTATGGAAGACGTCCGCCTTAAGGATGGCACAGTTCTTCCCCAAGATTCTGGCATCGCTGTCAATGCGGAAAAGATGTGGGACCCGGAGATCTATGAGAACCCGCGAACCTATGATGGATACCGATTCCTACGACTGCGGGAAGCTTCCGAGCAAGGGGAAAAGACATCCCAACTTGTCAGTACTTCGCCTGAACACCTAGGTTTTGGCCTCGGCATTCACGCTTGTCCTGGCCGCTTCTTCGGCGCCAATACCGTGAAGCTAGTCATGTGCCATTTGTTGCTCAAG